TTGTAGGTTACCAAAAGCAACTTCCTGAAAAATTAAACCTGGGGCTCTGCTTTAAAATAATTCTTACCAATATCTCCAAGGAATATGAGACAGCGTTGACAGGCTTTTACTGCCCAGGATTGGACCTCTTCATCCTGATTTTCAGCTTTGAAAACACAAGGACCTTGTTTAATATTACTAACACAAGGGAGTTTCCTTGTTAAAGGGGTTGACAATAAAACAAAGGATTTTTATCGAGTAATGTAGTGGTAAAGGAATGATATAACCCTTCAACTCCTTAGAGTGATTGGCTTCTGATTTCTCTTTACAGCATCATCCTCAAATCAAATGTAAAGGTCATGAGAATAAAGGAAATGATCACCAATTTAAGAAACTTCTGATTGTGAAACAAATTGTCCTTGTTAGTAACATAGGAAATATAAAGAGAACAGAAAGAGAATATAATACCAGATGTTAGGGTGTAAAGGGATAAAGTAACAGGAGACTTTTTTTGTATGAAGAAAAAATAGCTGAGGTCATTGAAATTCTACAGGAGAATTCTGCTCTGTGGTTAAAAAAAAGGATTTATTTTTCAGAAAACATAAGGCAAAAGCATCTGGCATAAGGCAAAAGCATCAAGTCATTGTAGTCAAACGATGCAATCATCTTCAATCTCCTAAGCCTACTAGACACAATCCTCAATATTAAAGAAACACAGGGTAATTTACAGATTCCCAAATAATTGCATTAACTTTAAACAAAGCAAGGAATTACTAAATAATAAATCCATGTTATTGAAAGTTGATGTAAATAAAAGAAAGCAAGTTCTTACCTTGGTGCCTGGATAGCAAACCCCAAGACAATATACCATCAACAGCAAGGTGATATCGCCATTGAAGATGAGTCAACAGGTGGTAATAATATCCAGCTGCAGAGGACAGATGGGTGCGGAGAACTCCATCTAGAGGAAGGGTATCACCCTCTTGGATCTAACACAACACAATAATTAACCCTTAAAATAGCATAGGTGGTGTTACTCCTCTAAGCTTGTCAATTCTCTTCATAATTTCAATATACTATTATACATGAAGGTAAATGTAGAACAGACAAATGTATTGAGAAATGAATATTATGCTGAACCCAATTCCCTTATAATCACTTGACTACACCAAAATGGGGGCCAGCTAAAACAGCTCTTGAGTCAGAGAGTATGTGATTTAATTAACAAGGATAGCAAAAATTACCTAATTGACAACCCTGTAGTTTATTCTTTATATGAGGTTTATTTTTTTCATTACCTTTCTATGGTTCCTGAGCTTCTGGATGACATCATAGAAGACCTTTCTCCATAGTCGTTCTTCAGCCCTACGGCCATACTCCTTGGAATGATGAAGAATAAGGCTTTCGCACTGGGCTCTAAGCCTGGAAACCATTCAAAGGTGATTAGAGGGTATTTTTAAAATCTTAACAGTGAAGAGGAAATTTTTCTCAACAGATGATTAAGAGGAAAGCTAAAAATGACATAAAACCACTAATAACCTACTATCTGAAGATGATGCAAGGAAACATGACATTGTAATGATTTCCCTTCTTGATAAAATATGATTGATACTCAACACCATATCTTTATCAGTTATTAACTCTTTCATTCCCAAGATCTCATCAGTAGTTCTCCCTACTATCAGCCACAGATTGCTTGCAATTCTCATTCTGAGAACTTAGTGTTGGATCAAATGGTTATCCTGTAATTGATATTTTTATATATTCTCATCAAATGTCTACTTGATATTGTATGGCATATCTTGGTCACTCCTAGGAGTTAAATGGTTAAAAATGTCTAATTTTCTATAAAGACAAAATGAAAATAGGTAACTACTGTACCTCTGTCGCAATACAACAGCATCTGGATGAAAAAGATCTTGCCATTCCACTGCAGACCTCAGCTGAATATCCACTCTATTTGCAAGTTGCATAGAGGACCTACAAAGAAATGAGTCACTCTGATGTGTTGAGGCACAATTTTTTTTCATATCCATTAACTCTAAAATTTAATTTGCAAGTCAAAGAAAATTGAATAAACAATCTGATCATTGCTATTGTTACTGCTGTGCCATAATCAATCATTTTTTGATTATCATCAGTTTGATTTACACTTGTAAAAAACAATAAATGAATTCCCTGTACATAATGGGAAGCACAATCAGAAACCTAAATTGGCTTTTTTTATTTTTAATTTTTGTTTAGGAAAAAGTTTAAAATCCAAAACGTGATTTAGGCCTGTCATAACTGCAAAAAGTTAAATTTACCTTGTTGGGTAGAATTTTTCCATTTATTGTATGTTTCTGCATGTGCATATTATTAACTTTGTTACGCTTAGCTGCCAAGTTCTTTTTAATCCAACGTAAACTATTCAGGTACACGAATATGTAGAGAAATACCACAATGTTCCATCGATATTCTATATTCAAAACTGAATTTAATTTCCATTAAACACAACATCAAACAGCTCAGCGAGTCGTTTGATATGGCAAGGTACAAATTGGTAAAATTATACGTTCAAAAGTATCACTTTCAACTTTCACCCAAGTTCTTTCATCATTTGACTCTGCATAATGAAAATGCTGGAAATTAGTAGAAAACGTTTAACCTAGGAAGAAATGTAGTAACTCGCAACTACTTATTTAAATTCTTACTCTATCGTTTATGCGATCACGCAAGAAGAGCGAGCAATGTCGATTAATTTCAATATACTTTTCGTACGTGTTCAGATTTAAGAAAGGCTAAAACGCGCTTGTTCTCGAAATGATTTTTGCCCCCAAACTGCTAATTTTTGGGAGCTAAAAGTAACTGGAAAGACTTTGGTAGGATTTAACGATGTCGAAGACAGATTTCTGTTGTTATAAAACTGTGCTTCGTTCGCGTTACAACAAGAATCGCTAACAATCCCGTAATCTAACGTAGAAATTCTCACCTGTTAAGCTTGCTTCCCTCTTTTCCTTGAGTTTTTCCATTGTTTTCCTCAGCTACCGAAACTTTCTTCATTCTCATTGAAGATATTCATTGGCACTACCCCTTTTAGGAGCAATCTCGGTTATTTTGCAATACAAATCTTTTTGAAAATACAGAACTATCTCCTTCACTACCGACATCTTTGCTTCCTGTTGAGTTTCTGAACCGAGGGAAACTGGAATTCACCCATGCTGCACTTTGGGTGTCTGGAATCCAAAATGGCGAATAAGCGCATGGTTTACGTTGGTGGTTTGGCAGAAGAAGTTGACGAGAAAGTCCTTCACGCCGCTTTTATTCCTTTCGGAGACATTACAGATGTTCAAATACCAATGGATTACTCAAGTCAGAAGCATCGAGGATTCGGATTTGTGGAATTTGAGCTCGCAGAAGACGCTGCGGCTGCTATTGACAACATGAACGAATCCGAACTCTTTGGGCGAACAATTCGTGTGAACATCGCCAAACCAATGAAGATCAAGGAAGGTTACAGTCGTGCTGTGTGGAGTGAAGATAGCTGGTTAAGCAAACACGCAGGGCAGACTTTAGAGGATGCCGAAATGAAAAATTCGGAGGATAAAACTGAGGAATCTACCGAAGAAGCAAATGCAAAACTAAAGAAAGGAAATCCGCGAGTATTCATGGATATAACTATCGGGGGACGCCAGTCAGGAAGGATAACTATAGAACTAAGACATGATGTTGTTCCTATGACTGTTGAAAACTTTCGTGCCCTCTGCACCCACGAAAAAGGCTTTGGATATCGAGGCAGCACGTTCCATCGAGTAATCCCCCAGTTTATGTTGCAAGGGGGAGATTTCACCAAGCACGACGGTACTGGGGGAAAGTCAATTTATGGTCAGAAATTTGCAGACGAGAACTTTGTGCTGAAGCATACTGGTGCTGGTGTTCTATCAATGGCTAATTCTGGCACCAATACCAATGGCTCCCAATTTTTCATCACCACTGAGAAAACTGATTGGTTAGATGGAAAACATGTTGTGTTCGGTCATGTTATTGATGGAATGGATGTTGTCAGAAAAGTAGAAGCAACTGGATCAAAAAGTGGTAAAACAAGCAAAAAGATCGCGATTGAAGACTGTGGCGAGTTATAGCGGTCCTTGTTTAGAACTAATGACTAGCTGTCTACTTTCTTTATCTTATCGTCTGTTTAGCTGCAAGCAGGCTCTCGTGTTTGAGTTTCGCCTTTTGGCCCTTTTTTCCGGCCATAGCCGCCAATTACAGGATCGGAAACCGCCTAGTGAAATAGTTATTGAAACCTCCGCACTACAGCTGTACATCCTCATGTCATTTTTCGACATAAATTATAACTACAAAACGGTAGTGAAGAGCACTCAAGTTGAATGCTTGAAAAGGTTAGCTATTTGTTGAGAAATAAACGCACTTGTTAGCTGTAGAATAAAAGAGAAATTCTTCATATTGCATTCGGCTGCAAGCCTACATGTATTGCAGACTTTCGGTCCGGTTGAGACGAGTGAAAAAGGAGGCGAACAGAAACACTTCGGTTGTTTTTGATACGCATGTCTTTCTTACACGCACAATTTCCTTTTTTCACGGACCCTGTATATTTTTTCTCGTCGCCCCCCACCAAAAATGCGATTTTCACTGACTTTTTCCAAGGTTTGCCTTTCCCATTTACGCTCTATCCTCGTCAAAAAATCGTTTTACGCTATCGTGTGCTGGTGCCGAATTGGACAAATTGAATCAGTGGTAATCAAGACCGAAGACGGGTATCCCACGGCATCACCTAAATCTTTCATTGCGCCCAGAGAAGCTAAATCATGAATACCTCTTGATCCTACGTTTGAGTAGTCCCCAGTTTTCTACAGAACCCCAGGGGTTTACTCAGGCCGCCCGGGAGAGGGGTGTGACGGGTAAATAAGGAGAAAGCGAGGAAGGAAGATTTTTATTCCAACACTTAATTCTCTCCCGTCTACATAAAGGATCACGTTCCAAATACAGTGGAACATCCATTCAGGGGGACACCCTCAGGACGAGGGCAAGTGTCCTCTAACAGAGGTTCGGTTGTGGTTTGTTAGTTATGAACCACCAGAATAAAGTAAAACCATTACTGCAGGGTTCGACATCTCTGCTAGCCCAGTAGCCCGAGGTTAGAAAAAATTTGGTCAGGCTAATAAAAAACCACGTCTAATAGCCCGCTGGTTAGTAGAAAAATTAAAAGAAATTATACATAATTCGTTTACTTGAGTTTATGATAACACCAATAAAGAAGGCATAACCCTGTCATTTTCTGGCGCCTTTTTTTGGCTTGCGTGTCGATCGCAAACATCGCTAGATCCCAGACTCTGCGCTTACTGGTCAATGTCTTCCCCAGTCTTCTCCCTACCAATGTTACGTTCCTTGCACATCGCCTAGCACTTGAAGCAATTGTAAAGATGGAGCGATTTTTGACAAATTACGAGGCGCCACCATGTAAAAAGGGGAAAACGGCCGAAACTGAAAGTACCAGTAAACAGGAAAGCAGTTAGATTTATGAGAGCACTCAGAGAAAGAGAACTTTTAATCCATCGTGGAAAGAAAGCTTCCCATGGCTTGAATACCATGTCGTAAACAAAGAGGACAAAATGTTTTGCTTTGTCTGCAGAAGGTATGATCGCGCAAGTTCTTTTTGTGTTGGAAGCACGAAATTTAAGCTTGAAGTTTGGTTGCAGAAGAAAAGAATGCCCTATTTCAGCGACAATAGGTCTAGGTTGAGAGGGGAAGAAGATGATGGGCCTGCACAAATTCCTGGACATCATGATGCACATGTACGTGTTGAAGCACAGCAGGAAGTACAGGCAGCTGTCCCTGGTCCATCTGATGATGCCAAAGATGATGATGATGGCAATCTGTCAAACTATTACTCTGATGATGAACTGGTCACTGACGTTAAGTTGATAGATCAAGAAAACGAGGCTTACGAGAAGCTGACATTACTTGAATGTTTTAATACAAGTTGTGTTGACCTAGCAGTAGCAGTTTTTACGACGGGATTTGACAAGAGACATGATTCGGAAAGTGATAAAATTGTATCGCCCCACTGAGTTGTTGTTGTGAGTCCCCTGGAGTATACATGGGGGTAACAAGTCGAAAATCACAAGAACACATACTGGGGAACTGAATCAGTTCTTAGTCTTACGTGATTTTTTTATAAGAAAGTACATGACGACTAACGAGGAAGAAATGTTTTTCCTTTTTTTTTTTGTCACCAGGAAGCACAACAGGCATAAAATTTTGATCACTTCCGACAAAATAAAGGACCTTGACGTTTGCCGATTCTCTGTTTCTCGATAGCTTTAACAGGGGAACCGCATCAACGGTTAAGCATGGTGCGCAAAGGCAGAAGTGCTAAAAAATCTGCAAGAATTTTCGCTGTCACTAGCGGGAGATGACGACAAATCCATATTCACAGTATTTTCAGTAAACAAAGTGCTCGAGTTAGAAAGATAATAGCCACAGGAATTGTTTCGAACCTCAGCGCTGCGAACAAATGACGTCACAGATTTTCACTCAGACGTGCGAACGACTCGCAGCCGGTTGTCTGTTTGGTGTCTGTAAACTCGTAAACGTGACTTTTTTTTTAACCACTTTTTCGCGAGCAGATGAAATATCCAGCTCAATGTCAAGGAGAAAACCTATTATTTGTTATTTATTATTTTATTATTATTATTACAATTATTTGTTAGATTGACTAATGCTTGGGTAAAAATGCAAAGAATTGGAAAATAATGGCGATTTTGTCGTCCATTACCCATGTCTACAAATGTCTCTGTGCAGAAGAAAGGTTTGTGTGAATGACAAAAAAAAAAAAAAAAAAGGTTATCTTTTCATTTCTCTGGTGAAAGAATAAAATTACAGACGTTTGCTTTGACTATCAATAAAAATCCCCGAAAACTACACTGGAATCAAGAATAGGCAGTTTCTTATCTAACTTGCGATCAAGCGTTCTTTAGGGTAGCGTGACAGTCGGCAGATGGGGAAGGGCTAAAAAACAACGCCTGTCTGTCAACAGAGAGAGATCTTGACTGAGTCACGTAGATGAGCAATCAATCATACCTATTAATTTATTTAATTTATTTGATTCATTTTGAACTGATCCTTGATCCTTGATCCTTGGTCCTTGATCCCTGATCCTTGATCCCTGATCCTTGATCCCTGATCCTTGATCCCTGATCCTTGATCCTTCATTCGGTGATCCTTGATCCACTTTTTCCAGGAAACCGTTATATCGGGGTGTTCGTTTTAACGAGGATTTCGTTACATCGAACGTTTGTAATATCGAGGTTCTGTCCCATACATTTTACTGTAACTTTGGCCGGGCTGAAGAGTATCGGGTAAAATTTCTGCGCAGCCCCATACTAAATTATGCATTCAGTTCTTGTAATGCGGGTATCAGCGGCCATCCCGAGGGGTCGACCCCCGGGCACCCAGGGGCATTTGTCACAGCTGCCGTGACAAATACATGCTAGGTGGTAGGTGGTGTAGCATGTAGGTGGTTTTTGGTGGTCAGTTAGGTCGTTCCTTGTTTTAGTACTTACGATTCAGTTCCTGGACAGAGAAAACAATGATAAAAACAATACATTACCATTGGGAAAACAGATTTGTTTTACAATAGTATGGGGCTGTGTGGAAATTTTACCGAGTATTGTTCGTTGAACTGAGGACTTCGTTTTTAGAGGTTCGTTAATTAAATCGATGTTGTTTGCATGACAAAAGCACCCGCTGCGTCAGTCCCTCAAGCCAAGCCTCACGCCAGGCGTCACTGCTTTCGCGGCTCGTATTACCGTAAATTTTACCTACAGTGATTCAGCCGAATTATAGTATTTCTGATACTCAACTCAACGAATTCGTTATCATGAGCAGAACATTTGCCCCAAATTTCGTGGTGGCAATTTTGTGCGTAACGATGTGCATTGCATATGAAGACGATGAAGAACAGTTTAGGGATTTCAACGACATCCTGCCCCATAGATCTCGCCCTGAAAAGTGGCAAAGCAGAGATGATTCATCAGAAATTGTGAAGCTCGCAATGCCAGGTGTTCACCCGACGAAGGTAAAGAGGGTGTTACGATAGAAATTAATAATTGGGCCAATAGTCGTTATATAATTTTTATATAAGTTTCATCCCAATTAAGCGTTTGCATTTATTACATGCTTGGAAAACATCATCACTCTTTTGCTAGCAAGATTAACACACATCCCTATATTTCATCGACAACGTTATCTAGGTGTTTCTAAATAATCTTTCCACGAAAGTTGAATTTTAAAGCAATAGTATCTGTTGCGTTTTTATCGAGATACGGGTCACAGAATCAGAGGGGTTATAGGACGAGACATCAGATGAGAAACTGTCTGTCACTCATATTTTACTGTTTTCTTAGCCCCCTCTCGATCTTGCCACAGCATTCAAGCGCTCTTTTCCTCCACATCCCTTAGAGAGAGAGAGAGAGAGCTCTTCTAATAAAAACAGACTCCTTGAGTCTAAGCTTTGATGGATCCCTTAAGAGCTGCCTTAGCTAAATATGTTTGTGTTTATAAAATGATATTCTTTTTGCATACTGATTATAATGAATACACATTATTTTGCTATCACTTCCACCACCATCCCCCTTCCCCCCAAAAATGTTCAGAACTACTAGCATACATTTTTTTCCTGCTCTCATCTAAATTGGTACCTGGCTTGTCACTCACCAAAATGTTCTTCAAAGAATATTACTCTTAACAAATCAGCAACCAACTTTAAAAGAGAAATCGATAACATGCTGCAGGTGGATAATTTTTTTTTCATGTTATAGCTTTTCAATATTGTTTCAACTTTGTCAACCACAGTGTATGCATCATACATAACTGTCAAAATATGTTGAACAAAATGTCACATATTGCAGGAAGACACATACCTCTGTACTGCTGTGGATCTGCATAAAAAGAAAGACTATATTGGTAGGGTGTTTTACAGTAGATAACATTATGGCTAACAGAACTGTAATTTAAATCTTTTGAAAAGAAGAAAATTCATCACAGAGATACAATATTTTACAATATCACAGTAGATCATGCAGTCCCCTTTCGTTACTTTTCAAAAGAAAAACATATTTGACTTAACATCAGAATGAACTAATAATTATTCAAACAAAAATTACACATCATTACACTACGGTGAACAACCACAAATGTGTCAATGTTTTTCATCCATTTCAGTTGCAATCAAACCTCTGGTTAATATGAACACAGCCCACCATTTGATGGTATTTGGATGCCCTGAGCCAGCAAAACATGCTTTTGCAAGTGACGGAGAATATTGGTATGCTAATTAAAAGGGTGATGGACAAAATGTGACCCATAACTCAAAATCCAGTTGTATTTGAGAAATTTATTGCATCAACTGAAGAAAATAAAGAAGGAGCATGCAATTTAAGTTTATAAATAACAGTGCTTTCAATAGAACTGATTCAAAGTAGGATTTTGTAGGTCTAATGTATTTTGGGGTTGTCCATTTGGGTAGCCCATCAAGATAGTACATGGAATGGGGTCAGTCATTCAAGGTAGGACTTTTTAGGGTTATTCCATTTTCAGGTTGTCCATTTGTGTAGTCAATCAGGATAGTCCATGGATTAGGGGTCAGTGTTTTGTCCATCACCTAATCAAAGGAAAGGATCCAGTCAATAATGCTCCTATAATGTAACTTAAGTATTTTGCATGTGGCTTTTAATTATACAGCAAAGAAAAACTTGGTTACCAGTAAGTAGGTTTTACCATTGCAGCTACTGATCTTATTGAAGATAATTATTATAAAATTAACAAATATATTCAACATTGCTTTGCATCTGTTCAGTAATAGATCACAAATGAGGTCAAAATGTGGTAAGAACAAAAAGGTGGCACATAAAGTGCAGCCAAGAGTGATATCTAGAGTGATCCATTACAGACTCTACAGACCCACGGCTGCATGCAAAGAATCAATTTATTTTATATAATAAAAAGAAAAATGTTGCTAATGGTGACAAAGTAAGCAAAGTGCCAGTGGAGGTAAAAATATTTTTTGGCTTCGTGTCTTCTTGTTCGCTGTAAATGTCCTGAGACAAATACAAAAATAACTTAATACTAACCACAACAAGTATATGTTAATTAAGTATACAAAATAAGTAAGTAATATTTAATCTTCTTTTTTTTCAGGGTATGTGGAGAAATGGGATCCAATTATTGCAAGGGTTCTGATGCAAATATATTGTATGCTTGGGGAAGAAATGCTCCAGAGCTGGACTTACCACCTGGTACAGTATACCAATATTCACCTTCATATTAATTGTTTTATTGTTGTTATCATCATTTTTAATATCAGGAATGCTTAATGCCACTTTACTCTGTCACATAGGGCCTTTCTTAACCTGGCACTTCAGTATCAACTTCCTGTACAGCAATAATTGCATGTTACATATCTTTGATCTGATATATTGCATTAGATGGGCTGTCAGAGACAAAAGAATGTTGTGGCAAGCAAAAATTAAATGTTGTCGGAGAGTTTCTTATTTTTCATTTTAAATTTCATCAAACACTGCTAGAGAATTTGTTGTTAATTTTCTAGACACTGCCTTTGAAGTGGGTGGTAAATCTGATAACAGTTACCTTGTACTTGAAGTTCACTATGCAAGTGCAGACAGGTTTTTAGGTGAGTTTCATGGTTGGTCAATGGTGTTCCTTCCAGGTCCTTCCTAGTGGCAAATTAACACAAAAGTTTTGTCAGTTTCTAAATTTTTTCTTTAGGTGTATAACTTCCAATTATGTCACTTTACAATTTTGCTTCCCCGTCTTGTATTCTAGATTATAGGATTGTTTTCATGAACCTTTTCATATCAAATTTATGGCTAAGAAACTTGCCATTTAAGGGAAAGCAGATAGCTGCTTGTTGATAAATATTGTGGGCTTGGATGGAGCTCATGGTTAAAAAATCACTCCTTATCTGACACACAATGTGGATTGTTCAATCTCTCCACAGCTGATCCTACTCTGAAAGATTACTCTGGGGTGGATGTGCATGTGACATCAGTACGGTGGGTACCAGTAGTTGCAAATGAATTTAGTTCCTCAAGGTTCTGCAGCAATTTGAGCATTGTTCAAACCTGATTAGTACAAATAAGGTAGTAGCAGTGTACCACAAAACCACTTTCCATCATAATGTAAGAGTTTGATGGGTCTGTATCATGCTTTGAACAACTCTGATCTGAGCAATAACAAAATTAAATGACAATTAAACCTATTTATTAATAAACAAAAACATGAGGGAGAAAGGTTGCTCAATTTTCTTTATTCCTCCCTGTCCTTTCCTTCCTGCATTTCTTCCCATCCCTTCTCCCTTCCATCTCCCTTCCATCTCCCCTTGTCCTTACTTCTTTCCCCATTCATCAGATCATCAAGCAATTTTCCTGTCTTCCCCTTCAATTCATTTTTAGCCACTTTTTGTGACCTTCTCCCCTACTACTGCATCATAAATGGAAAAAGTTACCAACCTATGAAATTAATTCACAACGTCCTGCCTAAGGCTGCACTATAAGGCAAGCATCAAGTGTAGGATGATCACTTATTCTACCTAAAAAAAAAAAGGTTGTAGTCAGCTGCTGCAATTACTATCAGTACTTGTTTGAAATGATTACTGCCTAAAGCTAACCTCTGGAGTCCTAATCTCTGAAGCCATGGGTCAGGACTTGGCTCTTTTATTCTGTTTTCAGTTTTTAAGTTAATTCTCTTCCTGCAGGATCTGAATATTAATAATCAAGTAAAATTTAAACCCTCATTAGTTGAAAATGAATGAGGGGGTAGAATGATTCGTTACACTACTGTTCCCAACGTTTCAGTTTTAACATTTCTATTTCTCATTTTCCCTTCAAAGACCAAGTCAACTGGCTGCCATATTTGTCCTACAACCATTTGGAGACATTCCACCAAAGAAGGAAGGTAAAATAATATCGTTGACATCACTCTGGCCCCTAACTGTCTTATAACTTTATACTGTGTTTCTTCTTTATCCAGCTTGGCATTTTGACATTGGGTGTCGATACAATGATGGACCAGTCTTACATCCTTTTAAATTTAGAGTCCACACTCATGGCATTGGTGAGTTCCACTGAACTGATCACATTTAGACTATAATCAGTTTTCAGTCATTTTTTTCATCTTAGGTTAGGGTTTTTTATTTGTTTCTCTATGACCCCTAAGTAAGACTAGCATCTCAGTTCTCTTTACAATATCACCCTGAATCACACAGTAAGGTCATGAGAATCAAGGAAGTGATCACCAACTACCAAAGCTTTTGGTTGTTAAGAAATTATTGTTGTCAGCACCTTAGGAAATGTATAGAGAATGGTACAGAGAATACTGATAAATTAGTGTGTGAAGGGTTAATAGTGCTAACAGAGGGTTAAAAAGAATGAACTCCTTTCTAAGAGACTCCTTCTTCTATATACCTTTTGTGATATGAAGTCTTTTTGAAAATAATGGTGCATGACTTTTAAATATGTTGCAGTAATTACTAGAGATGTTTTTATCAAGAATTGGCATATGACTGATTATTAATGATAAAATTTATAGAACAAGTTTGCATGGCAAATTCAGCATTCCAAAAATCACTTGAGGGAGATTTGTAAAAATGGAGACCTTCATAAGGACTTTTTCAATCATTGTAATTTGTGGCTGATAAAGATTTCCGTTTCTCATCAATCACTTTTCTGGTCTCTAAAAAATATTTTGGTGACGTTTTCTATGTTTGGTCCAGTCTTTGAACTTGGGTTTTCAGAGTTAACAATATTTATACTTGCATTTGGTCCTAAATCCACTTACTGGTGTGGTAACCTCATAATTTTTAAACTTGTGTTTGCATAAAAAGGAAACCAACTGGTTCAAAGCAAATTTTCAAGTTTAAAAAGATTTAATGCATAAAGTTTGGATCTCATGTTTGCACACTCAGTTGAGTTCAATTCTGGAATTGCTCTAGGGACGGTAGTGGTTGGCTACAGAATACGTGATGAAAAATGGACTCAAATAGGAAAAATGGATCCACAACGACCACAGGTAAGTTAAATATGCTTCAGCAGCTACATAACTCTCACTGTCATCCAGAAAAAAGACAGATTTATCAGTAATTGGATGTTTTTTCTGTAAACTGAAAATCAGCCAGTGTCATACACAATGGGCGACATTTTGTCCCTTTCTTCATGTTATAGAAAGTTATAATTATGTAGGACAAACAGGTCATCCAAATTCTGCATATAGAATTGATTCAAATTCCACACCTTCAGATCACATGGTCCATTATGCTTTGCTACTGAGCCACAGATAAGCTCTAATAGGTTATTTGGAAGTCCTCCCCCTCTCTCTTCCCCCCCCCTCCCCCCAATGGGGGAGAGAAGGAGATAGATGAAAGTTACAGACAAAAAAATTTTAAATTATTGGAGTTCCTTTCATTTTAGGTTCACATGTAACAAGCATCTTACCTAATTCTGGAGTTGGCAATGTGATAATTTTTCTCAATAAAGTAAATATGGAAATTAAAAGTTCATTAAAATTACCCATCACCTGTAAGATATTTGTCACTGCATGATGAGTAAGTGCTTATCCACTATCAAGGGACCCCTCTAAAATTCTTGTACACAGAAAACAGAATTAAAGGGGTGAAAAATTGGTTTATTTCAGTGTAATCTCATTTGTTTTTTCAGGCATTCTACCCAGTAGATAATCTATTGGAAATTAAAAGTGGAGACTCTATAGTAAGCTGTGGTCTTCTTATTGCAATAAAAAAATCTCACCCTTCCCAATGTTTTCAGTCTCCTGCCTTGTTTTTTCCATCTCCTCACCTGACCAGCACAACCCTTCTCAACTTTCATGTTTACTGACTAGCTTTCCAAATCTCCTTAGTGTCATCTCCCCTGTTCTTTCCCAGCAAGCATATTTACACTCTTGTTTTTAATTTTCTTCTCAATTTTACTCATTTCTTCCTTTGTCCAATGCATCTCCCCCATTTCACACTTTCAAACAAAGAATTTTTTGCTTTTGCCTCCTGTATCACAGACTAAATTTGTTGTTTCGCTTTGTTTAAAGCATTAAATACTCTTAACTTACAGGCTGCCCGTTGCACTTTCAATTCCATGCAGAGAAACAGAGTAACACACTCAGGGTATGCTTGTTATATATCAATGTAGCCATTATCTTACCAGGCCACCGGTAGTGTTCCTCTGAATAAAAGGAGAATTATTAAATTTCTGAAGAAACTGTGGTGTTGCATCAGTAGGGTATTACAAAATAATTTTGGTTTTTATTAACTGAATTGATAATGTGTATTGGCCACCAAAGAGAATTTCTGACACGTACGTATCGAGCGTTTCACTTTGTTGTTATTTATGCCATCAGACTAATTAAGAGATTCAAATCTCTATCTCTGTTACCAGATTAACCCATAGCGATGAAATGTGTAATTTTTACATAATGTATTGGTATGATCCAAAACAAGTTAAAGGAGCCAGCAGTCCCAGGGATTTGTGTAAGCTTTTGGATCCAAGCAACCTTGATTTCCCGGCAGATTCTGATAAGCTACTACCAAACAAACGATTGATATTGGCCATGAAGTGAAACTGGCAAAAGTACAGGTAAGTGGTTCCCTAGAGTGAGATTGTTTATCACGAGTTGCGAGAAAAAAAAATCACATTCAGGATACTTAATGTAAGATCTTAATCTTGGTGAATTTGAGCATTCTGTTCCAAAGTTGGGATGTGTCTGAATGAGGGTAGTCTTGAATTTGATAAACTGAGCAAAAGTTGGGTCACTCTGGTGAAGACTTCTGCTCTGGTTATGACCTCGTAAAACACTGTCATAAACTACAGCCCTCTTTTGGGTCTACTCCAAATTCTTTAACCTTAATGAGACGTTCCTTCAACATTTAACTTGAATGGTTAAGAATAATGCTTTTCAAGGGTAATTCTCTGAGGGATAAAAGTGTATTTTTTTCAAAAACTTCCCCTATTCTGAGTGATGTCATATGCCAACTTTTTTATTTGTGTGAGGGAGTGTATGGGACATTTTAATTATTGGCGCACAAACGCGCATAAATTTCAAAGAACGATCTTGACCTTTACAAAACCCCTAGTCACTGTCTTTTCCTCTTAAGTTCTCCTATAAAATTTTAAGAGAATTTCAAAAATAACATAAAAGACGTTTCAGGTGAGGCACAGAAGGTTTTAGGTTGTGTGCAGAACGTTTTGCATTCCAAGCTTCAAGAACTGTACGGAATGTTTTATATTCAATAACTAGTAACGTTCTCTTTTTCCACCTCATGTTATCTCTAAAGTGTGCATGCTGTACCTTTTTTTTTTTATCAAGACTGCTGAAACAATGTCATGGTCATGGTACAGAGAGCACTAACTTTTTTAAATTTTTGTATAATTTTTCAATATTTGATTGCAGGCAGCTAGGATGAAAGTGGAATAACCATGAACTACCTAGTGACAGATCTTGATGGAAAAATAACTCTCCATATTTTCGCGTTTGTTTTACTTGGGGTGTGATTTAGAGTGGAGCAAGGCCCCTCATGAGACATTCCGTCTCGGAAATCATGTATTTTCAAATGAATGCTTTTAATATATTTCTGGTGACTCCAAGAGAAATTCAGTTCAACACGTCCACCTAACAGAATAAAAATAATATTGATGATGACTTTTGATATTTGGAATCCATTAAATATTTTTTCAAGCAAGTTTCGTGTAGTCATAATGTATACCTCGTTCTGGAGAAAGAAAAAAATGATGCCTCATTGTCGATCAGTTAATTCCCAAAATCACCGCTCCTATCATAGTGCAGTGTGACTTTCCAGGAAGGTGTTTTCAAGCTTAGAAAAAGAACGAAAAATTACGCTTGGAAAGCCATTTGCGCAATATAATAAGTGTAATTTACGTATTCAGTTCGAATTCATCACAACAACCTTGCCTGCGTGAAGACGCTTTCCAGCAGTGATATTAAACTAGCCTCTGTTGTTAGAATTTTGTCTCGCGCTTATGATATGAATAAACAGACGTTAACCAGCAACCTCTTTAAATAAATTTGAAGTATATATTTTAGGTTCTGTCGAGTATTTTGTTCCCTTTCGTTGATGAGGGTCCAAATCTTACTATCGTGTTCGCGTGGGGTTTCCTTTCCCGGCGTAAATGTACGTATTTGTTATGATGGAGCCCTTTTTCGGTAAAGCAATCTTCATTTTGCTTCACATTCCCCTCAAATTCAAGCGTTTTCTCATTCTCTGATTTCCTAACATCCTGAGTGTGTGGGCGTCTGACGACGTATTGAGGAAACTATGGAGATCTACCACGCAGGGATCAGAAAACACGTTTAACTGACGCTAGAAGGGATTCAATGAAAATATCGGAAGCTAATTTCGTGTTAATCAAAGTTTAAATTCGCGCTATGGAAAAATGGTTTTTATAAACAGACAAATTCCACCGATAGAATAGTACAAAATGCTTGACAAGGAGTTATATGCTTTAAATAGTTCAAGTGGTATTGAATAAAACAAAAAGGCTTATGATATGGGTTTTGAGTGCTCAAACTATTTCATCTTTTGGGATGTCAAAATATGGATGAAAGAGAGGGATTTTTGTTAGCAGCGACGGGAATACATCAGTTCAAACAGTTTCATTTTATCAAAAATTTTTCTTCGAAGAATATCTATCAGGAAGCCGAATTTAAAATCACGAATAAATTTAAAACTATTTGAAAAGCCGAAAATGGTTGGAACAATGAGAGAATCAATGTTGTTTGAGACACAATGGAATCAACGCCTAAGAAAAATACTATTTGTCACTGGTTTGCTATGCGTCGTATCTAGGAGGGTCAGAAACCCAAACAATTTCAATAATTTCTTTTTTAAAGAGTTTTGATTTCAAATTCCAACGAAGAAACCATAATTGTGATATTTTACTGCGATCAAAACACTTCGATATTTCCCTAGCAAGCTGATTATCGCGCTCATCATCTGTTACAGGTGAAAAATCTTGAACAATGGACCAATCACAGGTCTGTCTGTTAAATATTTTTTCCGCTTCACTACATCACTTCGCGATGAGAGATCGCATACATAACTAACAAAGAAAGAAGGGGGTACATTGGCGGGTGTTTCGTTGATCACAAATTAATAAACAGAGAATTGCTCTGTTTCTCTTTTCATATTAGAAGAAGATATGTTGTGAGACATCAAGGGAATATAACGCGCTGTTGGATTCTACGGTGTTGTACGGTAGTTACGAACGGAATCGAACGGTTGTAATTTTTGAATCCCTGTTCTTCAAGATCAACATGATCGGGAGCTTCGCCTCTGTTTTCTTGTGTACCGTTTCGTTTATAACGATGTCCATCTCCTACGGAGACTACGATGAACAGTTGAGAAGTTATTACGATAACCTGTACCAAAGATCTTCTGTCAAAAAGCAACAAAGTGACGGCAAGTCTTCAGGAATTGTGAAACTCCTTATGCCTGGCGTTCATCCAACTAAGGTTAGAAGTACTTTCTTTAAGTATCCCTTTTACACATAATTTTTTCAGCTCTTCGAGCTTATATATATGGGAATTGTATTCGAAAAACGTATAAATATTTTTGTATAACATAACATAGTTGAAAACGAGCGCGAAAGATTCATTTTTCGGGAAGAAGAGATCAATCTACCCCCAGTTATTTTATCGACTCATCCGACCGCCTCTGTTCTTCCACAGTTCAGTTATTCCTAATCAACTGGTTTCGATGGGCGGCTAATTATTTTTTTACATATTCCGCCTCATTATACTCGTAGGAAAGTAAATCCAGAGCTTTCCACACGTTTTTTCGCCTGAAATTTTCTCTGATTTTATAGGAGAACCTAAAGAGGAAATCATAGGGTCAAAGGGTTTTGTAAACGTCAAGATCGTGTTTCGAAGTTTTATTCATGTTTGTGTGTCAAATTTAGTTGCTCGAAAGTGCAAATCGTACGCAAAAGCTTAATAGAGAACTATTTGAAGCTTCGATGTATGTGAGTACAACAGTTTCTCCATTTTAACCTAATGGTTTGAATTTAAACAAGGGGAATATTAAAATTGAGGAGATGTTTGTCCAACGAATTTGACAGTCGGCCGCAGGCATATTGATAAGCTAAGCTTTTTATGTGATGTCAATTATATTCCACTCGATTTGCATAATAATTTTCCGAACAGCTGTTTCCCTTTGTTAATTCTTGGGTGGGCGATTCTTTTTATTTTTTGAACCCACTTGATCCACAAATGGAAAGAGAAAAAATATATACAAGTTAAATACGTTTGATAAACAGTGAATTCGAATGAATGGTTTATTTTTGTTTAAAAAATCCAGCGAATTTCATCTCTGCATTTGAAAAAGTGACTAGCAATCGAAAACACAATTAAAATTTTATACTTCCGTCATGCAATCGGAGATCACAATAACTAAAATACTGGCTAAAAGCGAAGGAACTAAATAACATCATGTTTGCTTGCTTTATTTGGTGGAAAAGCCCTACACAAATTTCACCAAAGTTATACATATTATTTTACATATAATATCAATAACTTTATGCGAGTCTTTACCAGTTCAACTTCTGTGACATTTACATAGGTTGAATTTGTGCCTTTTACGAAAAATCATTTTTATAAATGGATGGCGTTCTCCTAGAGATAAAAGAGATTATTCCTTCCCAGAGATGTGAATTGATCAATTTTAATTTTTCTGGTAAATTCTTGAATTTACCAGAATGAATCATTTTACAGAGATGTTTATCAGTCATTCAATCCCTCAGTAAATGCAACAGAAGCTGCAGTTTTAGAGTTCAATACATACAATTCAATTACTTTACAGCATGATTCCTACCTTTGTACTGCTGTGGATCTTAGGAACAAGAAAGCATACATAGGTAAGATGTTTCCTATAAATTTTACTTTTGTATAACCAAGACCAATTATTTGATAAGTGCTGTAATGTTGAAGGATGATACCACAGCTAAAGGGATGTAACTCTAACAGGGAGCAGTTAGCAGACAAGCATATAACTCTTATGTCAACTGTGCATGGGTTACAATCTTGTAGTGTTAGAACGTAGTTGTGCAATTATAAATGTAATTATAAACACCTTTGTTCATAGCTGAGCAACAATTCAAGCAACAGCTTTTTTTATAATTCATTTCAGCTGGGTTTGAACCTCATGCTGAAATGCACACAGCACATCACATGTTATTGTTTGGATGTCCAACACCAGGGGAAAATGCTTTAGCAAGTGAAGGGAAATATTGGTATGTCAAAGAAAAGTATTACTCAAATGTTGATATGCTACAGGGAATAAAAATTCCTACAGCCAAAATTTAGTAAATTAATGACACATGACTTTCATCATAGGAGAGAACATTGATAGAAAGATTTTTTTTTTTGTTCCCATGAACACTCTGATTCTGATAAAATAACCCTGTTTGGACAATTTATTTAGCCCAATTACTTTTTCTCACATCACCAATCTGACAAGAAGAGCTTTTACATGAGAATTGATTAATTAAAATTATTATGTGAAAAATGTTGTTGTACAAATTAAACTGATTGAACATTAATTAATAGATAAATAAATAAGTAAAGATTTTATGCAGTAGTCTATTTATATTCTTTATAAAAAACTTAGTTCAATGTTTCAATGTTGCAATGAATAGTGCAGCGATATTGCAGAACAGGCTGTCAACAATAGATGAATGTTGATTATTGATTGAATGAATGCATTAATATTTACTTACTTACAGATAAGTTGTTTTTGTTTTAGGAACTGTGGGGATATGGGATCTGGTGTATGTAAAGGCAGTGGAGAGAGAATATTGTATGCTTGGGGAAGAAATGCTCCTGTGTTGAAGCTTCCAAAGGGTAAGGCAGGAAAATAAGTTGTTACTGTAGTCATCATCATCATCCTCATCATTGTGAACATTGATGAGATCTTAATATGGGTGGTGGAGCATTTTGAAACACAAAGTGGGAGGGAAGTCATCACTCACCATGCCAAAGGCATACCTCTACTTAAGTATCCCAAAATGACCTTTGCATAGTTATTTAACACAGGAAAATCTCTTTACCTTCTAATCAAGCAGCAATGTCCAGTGTGTCAACCATCTATTTTTCTTTAAGAAAATGTATTGAAAAATGTAGCTGTTACATGTAAGCTTGCAATAGTTTTTTGCAGGGAATAGGCCATTTTACAGTTGTGTACTTAGTTGCCAAGCCTTTGATTTGAGGCTGAAGGTGACCTGGTTGTGATAGAGACCAGCATCTAGTTAGCGTGATAACAAAGTAATTTGCATTTGACAAGCAGCAAGGCCCTCCTTATTTCTAGTTTTCCTGTTCCTTTTGCTCTCTACCTCTTATTTTTCACCATCACCTCATGGCCTTCTGTAATACTACTGGCATGTCAATTGCTTTGAATTCATAACCATTAGTTGACCAAGGTGTAATATACTTCATTTGAACTCAGAAAGATCAAAATGAAAATGACAGTCTGACTGATAAAAATGAGGGCACTGAACATACATATGTACAAACCCTCTACACCTTAACATCAGTATGCATATTCTCCATACTGTTCTCTATACATTTTCTAAGGTGCTGACAAGGTGAATTTTTTTAAAAATCAAGAGCTTGTTTAGTTGGTGATAATTTCCTCATCACCTTAATGTTAGACTCAGGGGTGATATTATAGGGAGAGCAATATTAATAATTAACCCTTCAACCACTTAGGGGTTTAGGGTTAATTTTTTTGTTAAAAGTTGTACAACTACTGTAGGCTTAAAAAATTATTGTTGTTGATTTTGTAGATGTTGCCTTTGAAGTGGGAGGCAATTATCTTGTACTTCAAGTTCATTATGGAAAGGTGGACAACTTTGTTGGTGAGTTGTGTAATAAGTGGCCATTCCATGTCCCCCCTGACAGGGATTGAAGGTCAACAAATACTTTTCCATTTTTAAAAAATGTCTTATTAGGGTGCATCTGAATTATATGCTTCAATTTTTCACAGCCAATCCTAGTCTTAAAGATTACTCAGGGGTGGACCTACAAACAACAAGAGTCCAGTGAGTATTTTTATTTGTTACTTTCTATGCTCAAGGTATTGCAGGAATCAGGGCAGGGCAATACTGAAAATTCAGCTTTTAAACTAGCTGCACATACACTGTAAAACTTGTTTTTGTCATGGAATGATAATCACCAACTACGTGGGTAAGAAGTCTTGGTGCTGTTAGTTAGTTTAAGTACCAATAGCTAGATAACACAAATATGTGCTGCATTTAAGGTAAATGAGTTGAGATATTTTCTCAAATGCCTTTATAAGATTAATTCCCTTCCTTCCATGAGTGTGTCTTTCCATCTTCTTCTTTTCCTTCATTTTTGTTTTTTTTTACCTCCTCTTTTGGCTCTTTTTCTCCCTACCCCTCACTCCCTCCTTCTCTCCCTTTTTCTCACTTACCCCCTTGTCTTTCTCACAGTGTACATCATCCTCCCATTTTAGTTTCTACCACTTTTCTCCACACTGGCTTCCTTCCCTCTTTCCTTTTGTTCACTTTTTTGCCACTGTGTCTTGTAAGAAACAAGTCACAAATAAAACAGATTCCCTTGCTCCTCCTGCTATATGTAGGCCGCAGTACAAGGCTGGCATCAAGATCCTGGCTGTTAGTTGGTCCCTTGTCCCACCCAAAAAACAAGGTTGAAATTATGAATTAAATTGATAGTATGGGTAATAGCATAATTTTGAGTGCAATTTGGTGTTAATAAGCACAAGTTAATTTTTCAAAGACAACAAAATTGCACAAGCCGGTAGGGCAAGTGCAATTGGTGGTCTGTGAAAAATTTACAAGTGCTTATTAACACTAACTTGCTAAAGAAATCATGTTATTACTTGTTAATAATGTACATGAAAAACATCACAGAAAGTCAGGATAGACAAAATTTTGAAAGGTTGCTCTTTGTAATTTGCACTTGTGTTACATGAGAATGCACTTATTTTTAGCCAATCAGAAGAAGGTAATTTTTTCATGTACATCATTATCAATGTATTCTGAATGATAGCATAAAATCAGTTACTATGAAACAATTTAACAATTTTTAAACTGACAGTTTAAGAGAAAATATTCTTAACAACTTAAAAGTATAAATTTTGATTTTCAGAGATTAAATCAGACAGTAAAACTCAGGTTTTCAAAGTAAAGATTTAATTTTTCTTGAACATCAATTGTATAACTTGCCTAATGCCCACTTCTTTTCTTTGACTGAATGGACTAAATGGTTTTCTGAGAGTAAATGTTGTTTGAGCATAACATAAACTAAAAGGCCAAATTTTCAAAAGTACATTCAAATGAAGAACAGATAATTTAACTATACCATATTAAAAAAGGTCTTAAAATCTAAATTGCAGTAGTGTGTATTTAATTAATAAATGAGTTTTCATCCTGCTGGCAAATTTTCCATTCAGTTTTCCCATGTGAAGTTAGCTACTCCAGGTATAAGAGAGGATTTTACTGTTAAATCCACATTTTCTTTAGTGATTACACTGTCCTTCAAAGAAGTCTGAAACCTAAACGTAGCTTATCAGCCAGAATGGATTGGCTGTGTGTTAGCAGGATATTCTTATCTTCAATCTTAATAATTTTTTTTTTGTTTCTGACAAAAATGAGACCTGCAATCTCCTCTACCATAAAACTGATAAACACTCACCCATTCACTCATTCAAATCGCCTGCATCTTTTTTTAATGTTAGTTAATGGCTGAATAATGGCTGAACAATGGTCTTGGGCAATGCAAGCAATTTGTCCTTCTGGTCTAAAATAATCTTTCCTCTGTTAACCAGTTAGTTAGTTTTTGTGATTTTGCTTGTAGTTCTAAGCTTTCTTGCTGTTATTACTATTTGTTTGAATGTGGCATTGTTATATTTGTAAGAAAGGACAGTTTCTCCTCCTATCATGACTGGTTCTGTGAAATAGCATGATAAATCTCAATGGGGCTGATTGAAGTCACAACTGAACATAATTCATCTTAAATCCACTGGAACACTTGATGTAAATGCAAGTATTTTCTGTAACAACTTCCCTGACCCTGACAGTGATCCTGATCTCAGCCATGCATGACATCACTCTGGCAGAAATCCCCTCTTTTTTCATTTTGTTCCAAGATCTCTGTGGCAAAACTTGTTCTAAAGTGAGGTAAAATCCTCATGTGCTGACACATCTATGATAATAAGCCCAATTGTTCTTTGATCTTTAAATTCCATTCTCACAGTTTTGTTTCTCTCCTTATCACAGACCTAGTCATTTGGCTGCGATATTTCTTTTAGCCTCTGGTGGAACTATTCCTGCAAATGAGAAAGGTTGATTGATGTTGTTTATCTTATTATCCAAACTTTTTGAGTGTATGCAACTTGACCAATTGAACACATGCATTTACATTGTATGAAAAAAAAAAAACAACAACAACAACAACTGATATTGCCGTTCATCGCCTGACAAGCCTAAACAACCACTGAAACGATTGTTACACGAACTGTACTCTGTACGCTTAACTGACAACAAACTCTTGACTTGACTCTGATGATGACTTCCACTTAGTTTGTCAAAACATCCATCACTACTAACAACATCATTCCTTTCATGACTACCCTCATTCAGACGATCAGGCTACACAATCACACAAAATGATTGTTGCTGCTACCTAACTTCTGACATCAAAGTTGTTTAGGCATTATACATCAGCCAACGAGAAGGTCGATTAGAATTAACTTACTGGAAGGTTGCACTGATAAAGTACAGTAACCGTTTACGAAATTATTGTCAATCTCGGGCTCCCAATTCATATAGTCACATCGCAATAAACCCTGTAACCAAAGCCATGACCATGCAAGACAGGCACGGTTGGCTAAAGTAATCCTGCAAGTGAATAGTTGTCATTGCTAGAAAATGTACTATTTTCAAAAGTATTCTGAGCTGAACTGTAAATGATTTCAACTAAAGCATTTGGCAAGTTATACACAGACGATCTTTAGTTGACATGTACCTTTTCTTTCTATAATTTCTTTATTCTACCAATTGGTGACCACTCCATTAATTTTTTAAGCGCTGTAAATCATCGTCTCTGCGTCTTTGACATTTACTCTTTATTTTTTATTTAGCCTGGCATTTAGACACTGGATGTGGTTACGGCTATGGACCCGACCTACACCCTTTTGCTTTCCGGGTCCACGCTCATTCTCTTGGTAAGCTTGACTTAAGTCATTGTGAGACTGTTTACTTTACGGAGTTCTCAAATTGTAGAATGATGCGGTAATTGTTCACGAACGCAGGTTTATTTCACAAAGTATTTATATGTTTTTCATTGTGAAATCGTTATAGGGAGTGTTATTACTGGCTACAGAATACGTGATGGAAAATGGACTCTCATAGGGAAAGGAGATCCACAGCGGCCGCAGGTGGGGTAACATTTGAGCACCTTTTTGCAAATCAGAGATTAGTGACCATCAACCATCACAAAAACAACTAAACCAAAACCAAAAATGAAAGCTTGATAGATACGACAACCCTTTTTCTTGCATGACACATTTTCAGTTTTGATTTGAGGCACTTCGTTGAAATGATTTTTATTCTTGTTCTTTTATTATTCTTTTACGCTAGGCGTTGAATTCATGTAAACAACTGACAGGATGTAGTGCAAAGTTTCTTGGCATTTCCTAGAGTATTCTGGCCCTAATATATTTTTTTGATTATTTTTCAGGCGTTTTACCCAGTGGATAAAGATGTGGACATAAAAAGTGGGGATTCTATGGTAATAAAAACTTGACCTTTTTCTTCTTCCCTGAACTGTTGTGTTCCCAGTTTGGTTTCGAGCATCGTTGTCGTATTGTGGTGTCTCCATTAATTGTCTTGCATTCCATCTCTTTCATTGCGCACTTTCTTTCTAGTTTCACAAATGTCTGTTTTAGTCCTGTGCGTCTCGTAGGTGACCCATGCCTCAGGGTTTTTTCCTCGTGAAACTTGTAATAGAAGCCGAGTTTATTTTCCCTGATATCCAATATTTAATACTCTCAATCGCCAGGCTGCCCGATGCACTTACAATTCAACCCAGAGAGACCATGTAACATATATCGGGTATGTTTACAATTTTACTATCAGAAGTCATAAACATGTAACTTATTACCATATCAATACATTATCCTACAAACTGGTGACGAGAGTCGACATACATTTCAAACATAATCTTGACAGAACAGCAAATTCTGTTACTTTAGAGCGCATTTCGATTGAGTGTCGTAAAACCAAACGCCAATCAGAAGAAAGGAAAATAACACGACGAGAAAATGAGAATTATAGGTAAAAGTAAGCAGACCGCTTAAAGCGCGGGAAAACGCGTGTGACGCAGGTGCGACTGGCTTTGGTTTTTAAATCTGATTGGTTAAGAGGATGGTGCGAGTACTCTGGACCAATTACAGAGCTTACAAAAGTAAAACCAATGTGATCCTTAATTTGTTTCACAACTCGATTGAAAATTGCCCTACAAGGAAATTAATAGTTGTCTGAAGGGAGAAATTATGGGCAGATGTCGTTAACACGAAAATGATATTTCATTCTTTTTCAAATGCAACCCATTTTCACTTGAAAAGTTTGGCACTTAGCCGCATTAAGCTGTATTCCAAAACCATAGTTGTGTTTCTCTCACTTAAGTTACAGCTTAATTTTTTTTAGCTATGCCTCATTTTTTGCAGAGCAACTATGAAGGACGAAATGTGTAATTTTTACATGATGTATTGGTATGACCCAAAACTGAATGACCTGGGAGGTGTCAGTGTCGAAGACATGTGTCAGATTATTGACGAGAGACAGCTCGACTTCCCGTCAGACTCTGATGTCCCGTTACCAGGCAGTGGACCAAAAATGGAGATGAAAAGAAACCTTGGCGAAAGTAGGTGGTTCATTCAATGAAACTGTAACTATTGTTTTATGGGAAACGATCACTTGAATTCAACTTGGGAGTATCAGTCAGTCACATACGGGTTTTTTTTTCTTTTTTTCATGAAGCCTCTTCTAGCAGTGGGTTTGGCCATATGCGGGATTTTGTGGTTGTTAACGGGTTTCGATTTCAAGTCATTTTCAAAAGGCTTAGAATCGTCTGGGTGAAATTTCCTGTAGGTTACAGTTTATCTCGAGTTTTCTCGGAATCTTTCAGGTTTTACACGGGTGGTTTCGGGTTCTATGCGGAAGGGTTCGATGGCGCTTTCCTCTTTTTCCAGTTTCATCTCATCTTTTCTGCGCTCTTGACTCTGCTGCTATCACTTTCATCTTTCTGACCGCGAAATCCCTCTCGTTGTCGAGCTAAACAAAGCGCTGATTTTTTTTTTGTTTCGTTTCTTTTAATCGCAGGCCAGCTTTGATGAAAGTGATAAGCGTTGAAAGATGCGATCTGATGAAAGAACTGGTTGGAAAAAATGTTTCAATGGAAGATATTAATAAAAGATGTCATCCAAAAAATAGATAAGAAGAGTTCAACGAATTTAATTAGAAACGCCAATAATTTTTACGGTTAAAGTAACCGACAAAATATTTCTACACTAAGCGCGGTGTATTTATTTAAATGTTTAACCCAGTGAAAGTAAAATAATAAACTATGTTTTAACTTTTTGACACCAATGGCTTGTTATAACTTCTTTTGAAGTTCAATTGCATCTCGATAAAGAATAAAGTTATTTTTTAAAGCATGATCAGCAGATCTCTGTTTTTGTTTTTTTTGGTTTTTTTGTTTTTTTTTCGTGATCATGATGTTGTTATCACATCTTGCCTTGTTTTCTATGATGTATTTAGCGAAATAGGTATCAGTTAACGTCACAATCAACATTTCCAGATTCAAGAATTGTCATTTTTTCTATTTGCATTCTACCCAATCCTCTACCTGAAAGTGTTGGTACTCTCAGAGACAAGTCCCCCCCCCTCCCTGGTGCAATTCCTCCCCTTCCCCCTCCGTTAATCCCTTTTCACACGGTTGGTCCTTGGTTAAATTACTTTAATTCTGATTGTAAAGTCAAAGGTGGCCGAAAGATGAGAAGATAAAATCAAAGAGATCAACTAGATCTAAACTACCTGAGAATAATGTCTGCGTTGTTAATTAGTTTAAGGAGGTGAAGATGGGCTTAACTCTCCTCTTCATAGATGGCGAGTAGTAACGGGTGCCTTAAACTAGGTGATTATAAATTATCTTGTGATCTCACTTTTTCTTCTTATCAGTGTATGTCTTTCGAGAAGCGGGTAGCAATAATTTTAATCTTATCTATCTAATGCTGAATGTTTAAAAATAGTATTTTGTAACTTTCCGGGGTGGGTGTGGATTGGTTTTGGTGATTTCTGCCATTTTTTCTATATTTGAGAGACACCAGATCTTGCTTCGCGCGGCTAGTGTTGAACGATGAAGGTGCTCAAGGTTATAACGTTAATCGTATAACACTGTGGCTAATCGTATAATCGTATAACACTGTGGGTCTGTGAATTGTAACTTCTTCGGTTACATTCATTAAATCTGTAAACCAGAGTAGCATCAAACCATGTCTGATTGTGACTTGTTTCAGGATTCTGCGCACCGAATTGCGATGACGAGAGTTCACCTTTGCTACTTGAAGAAGATCAGAGTTGGCAAGGAAATAAGCTGGCTGACGTTATGAGACGGTCGAGTAAACTTGGTCAAGTTACTGCCGTCGACATTGATTCGGAAGGAAAAGTGCTCATATTCCATCGAGCATCAAGAAAATGGCAAGCTGAGTAAGTGTCTGCATCACGTCTGGTTTTACCCTTTAACTCCTAGGAATGAATAGTATCTAATTTCTCCTTACAATATCATCCCGGAATCAAACATTAAGATCACGAGAATAAAGGAAATGACCACCCACTAAAGAAGGTCTCGATCGTTAAAACAAATTCTCCTTGTCAGCCCCTTAAGAAATCGAAAGAAATGTACAGAGAACAGTATGGAGAATATGCATACTGATGTTAGGGTGCACGGGGTGAAAGCGCCGTAAAGATAACTCGCCGCATTTTTCATTGTTTTCCAAGCCGTGCCTCAAATCCTACTAAAAGACCTTTTTTAACAAGTGTTTTCTGGTTGCAGTTCGTTCGATGAGCACAATATCTTCTCCGCTACAAGTGATCCCATCCCAGAATCGACTGTGATGAAGTTGGATCCACAAACAGGGGAAGTTATTGACAGCTGGGGAGAACGAATGTAAATGTCTTACTTTGCTGGTGGTCTATATGTTATGGACGCACACTTTTCCTCCCACTCTTTCTCCAAGTCCGTACCACCTAGTCCTCCCTTCTCGTTCCCCATTTAACTGCTTATGCTCCCGCTTCAGTTCCGTACTCCCTGCACTTCCTCCTTCCAGTTGCGAAAATTCTCATTTCCTCCTTTAATTCTTAGCTCCCTACTTCCTGTTTGCCGTTTACCCTCGTTGTATTCTGGTGCCCTCTCTCTCTCTCCTACCGTGCCTTCCCGTAATTCCTCATTCCCTCCCCCTCTTTTCCGCTCTGTCCCCTCCCGCCTCTATCGTCCTGCCTTCCTCCCACACCCATTCTTCTTATCTACACCCATTTCTTAAACTTCTCGTTTTCCCCCATCCAGGTTCTTTATGCCTCATGGGCTGACCATCGATCAAAAGGGCAACATTTGGTTAACAGATGTAGCCATGCATCAGGTTGGTAATAAACTCTTGGCCGTGGAACTGTTTTACGTAAATATGTCTTCAATTCTCGCTTCAATTTTTCCCATATGGGTTTCCTAGAATGTCTGTTAATTTTGACAGGTATTTAAGTTTCCTCCGGGAGAGAAAAAGCGAGCCTCACTGACACTAGGAACACAGTTTGTCCCGGGGAATGATGAAAATCATTTCTGTAAACCAACCGACGTCGCTGTCGACTCAGAGGGGAATATCTTTGTTTCTGACGGGTAAACTATGACGTTCTTGTGGTGTTTCGAATTGTTTGCTCTTGGCGTTGCTTTTGTTGTTGGAGTGTCGTTCAGTTTCCTATATAATATCTCCTGATTCCGTGTTTTTTCTTACATTTCAGATACTGTAATAATCGGGTCATAAAGTTTTCCCCTGATGGCAAGAAAGTACTTTTGATGATAACGAATGAAAAATTACAAGGGCTTGGTGGGTCAACACTCTTATCTAAAGACCTCTAAACGATTGTCCAAGTGGTAGTTCTTTACATTTACGTCCACTCTTTGTGTTTAAGCGTTTGAAATGTTTCGTGTTATGAATAGTCGTAAATTATTTCAAATCTGATCGATTCCCTTTCACCTTTACCTAGTTCAAAGACTTGATCTTGAAGAACATATCTTGCAAGTGCTTTCATGGGATAAAAGGGAAACATCAGTGATCCTTGGTCTCCTTTCTTTCAGTTCCAAGTAATTTTGAGATCCCTCACAGCTTGTCCCTGGACGAGAAGAACCGTCGGTTGTTTGTAGCCGACAGAGAAAACAGCCGAGTGCTACAGTTTGACTCTGTTAACGGTCATCTCGTTCGCGAAATCAAAGCATTTGGGGAAAGAGCTTTTGCCGTACACTATCATCCTGAGCAAGGTATGCACATAGAATTTACTTTCATCCATTAATTATTAACAAGATATTAATAAATTAATGTACACTGCTTAAGACATGTAGCTATGTAAACAACTATCTTAAATTTTTTCCAGGTGGTGTGTTACATGTGGTCAACGGCCCTTCTTTCTCTGAAGCCCAGGGCTTCACGTTCATTTTGAACAAAGGCAGTGTATTACAGCACTGGGAACCAGCCTTGGTAAGTATGTAGTGCGAAGGATAGGAGGAGTTTCATGAACATTAAATTTCAGCCGAGTAAACCCCTACGCGTGCTACTTTTGTGATTGGAAATTTCTTAAAATCTTGCGCACGCATTGTGCCTAGTTGTTTGCCGAACAAGAGTAACGCGGCAGTGTGGATGTGCCTGCAGTACAGCTGCAAACGCATATTCTAAGTAGAATTGTGTATGTCCGATTGGACGGTTATTTTCTGGGCTTGATGGTTTACCAAATTTTCTTAGCTATGGTGTTACGCTTTGCACGATTTGCGAGCTCCGCTAAAATATAACTTCAACTGTGTGAAGATTGGGTCGGTCTTATTGCCGGGGGATAACTTGCGATGGACTTGTATTCACTTTAATCTTTAAGTGCTCAGGAAACCGGAAGAAGTTCCGGCTGGGTAGACTTTTTTTTTTCACTCAACTAAACGTTTTGTACTTATTGCGTAATCGACTTGTAATTTTAGAGTTTCTCACAACCTCATGATGTCACTTCAAGTCAAGATGGTGCTGTGTACGTAGCAGACATTGGCAGGAACACAGTTTGGAAATTTAAGCGACATGTCTCCAGTCAATAATACCATAACAAAAGTATTACGCAGTTTTTATTTCAAAATTATTTTTGGTCACAATTGTTACTTTGTTAAGAAAAGAAAATTTACGGTCTCCCAACAGCAATGTAATGTAGTCTCTCAAGAGTTACTGACGTGTTGATGTTTTTTTGTTTGGTAATAACTGAAGCTCGTTAGGTGCTCATGGAAAAGAGGGGGGTGGGGAGGGGTAGAGGTATAAGGGGGGGGGGGGGGACAACCTGCCGGCGGGTGAAAATTACTCAATATGTCATGTGCGATGCCACTCCCCCCCCCTGTCTTAGGTTGTGATTGGTCTATTGGTCATTACGAAATTTAAGTTATTAAAAATGGTGCTGTGTCGAGTGGCACCCTGTTTATTTACACGCGCTTGTTTTCTTTCGCATACAGTTTCACTTGCACTTTTCCTCTTCTCTCCTTTCTCTTATTTCTTCCTTCCTTTTCTTCTTATGTTTGTTACATTATTGTTGAATCACTGAAGTCAAGATTTATTGTTACTTTTTCGTTTGTTTTCATACTCATTACACTTCAAGCGAATTTTGTTAAAAGAAACGAATGTAGATTATATTTGAAGTTAAATTAAGAAGGTAAATCGTAAGAGAGAATTTTAAGTTAAATAAAGAAAATTTTGTGAATTCTAAGAATTCAAATGCATCACAAGAATTCAAATCTGTATTCAGATCATTTTACTAAATCAGATACTTTCTCGTCCCCAGAGCCATTAAGTTTCACCCAGTCCCCCTTTAAAATATCTCGTGACTAAAATAAACGGGGACTTTGGGATTGTATCACGAAATACGTGGCATTTCAGACCACTGCATCGCACTAAATTGCCATTACTTAAATGTTGTAAAACGAGGGTCTACGTAAAAATTGAAAAATAAAACTCACCAAAAACTTGATGGTACGTATGGTTGATTATTAGACGTTTGACACGAGCATTTCCAAACTTTAACCCGTTAATTCCCAGAAGTGATTAACATGAAACTTCTCTTTATGATATCCATACATCAGCAAACAGGTAATGAGATTATTTGAACTTATCAGGCAGAAGCTGCTATCTTAGGAAAGGAGGAAATGCGTAGCAGCTAGAGGAGAGAATTAACAGTCAGATCTTGGGAGTGAAAGAGTTAATTGTCTTTGTGGTGTCCCCACTGTGGTGTTATTTCCTTCGAGATAGACCAGATCTATTTTGGAGCGTACAAGAAAAGCAACAAAACATATGTCGTTAATTAAGATTTCCCATTTTCGTTTGCGATTTTCCGTGGAAACTGCTCTGGAAACGAAACTTTGCAAGAACGTAACTCAGAGAAGTTTGATTTCAAGCTTTCAGTATCACCCTTGAGCTGAGGAGTAATAATTGTCATCGAAAATTGTCACGTTGCTCTCAAGAATTGGAAAATCTGGAAGCAGATTTCCTCCCCCTTGCCTACTCAGCGACACACGACTCTTAAATCTGGTTCCAAAAGTTCACATGTTACAATGCTTATCCCAGCGAAAAATCTCTTTTTGAACTTTTCAATCAGTATTTGGAAGTAAGTAGAATCATGTTGTGTGGAAAGGTTTCCTGTAACAGGCTCCCGCTATCAATGGAAACGGAAGAAACTTTTCCTTCGGACAACCTACCATTTTTCACTCGCCCGCTTTTCCGCTTCCTCCGCCGACCAAGAGCTCAGCTGAGGCTAATAAATATCTGGAGAGCTTGGAAATATAGAAGGGTAGTGCGAAGAAATTGTTTTTAGGATAGGGTCTTTTGTTTTATTTATTTATCTATTTATTTACACATTTCAATGTACATATTGTTTTTACATTTCTTTATACTCCTCGCTTGATGCGCGGTTCATCGTCTTAGCAATAAAAAATTCTTCGTGGTGTAAAGAAAACCATATGTCAGATATGAAAAAAGAAATTTGATAGTAAATATCTTGCGGGTCAAATAAAATATGAAGTGACCATTGTGGTGATTTTTTCAAATAAAAAACATAACCAGCAAATTTCGAATACAGAATCATAACACTCAACTATCAGTTAGTGAAGAAGTCGCGTCGGCTTAAATTATGTCTCATTCTCGGACAATTGAAGTTTTGTACAGTTGCGCTTGCCAGCACCTGTTGAAGATAAACATTGCTACAAAACGCGCCAAAATTTTAAGCGAGCCATCACAGTAATTCACCTCAAGACTTACGCTGTAAATAAGGATCAAATTATCTGATTTTAAAGATTTCAAGAAATGTTGATATAGAGTTTTCATCGTGTGAAGATTAAAAATCCTGTCGTCAAAAAGGCTAAATGAAAATACGTGTCCTGTAGGCGATGAAATTCCTAAACAACAGTGATACTAAATTACAGACCTAGTACTTGCATTCGTGAGGAATTCGTTGATGTTTGCTTAGCTGGGATGCCTGTGTGAAAGATTTGCCACATTTATCACAAAGAAATGGTCGCTCTCCCGTGTGTGTCCTGATATGGTTGTTTAGCGTTGTCGCTCCAGCAAATGTGCGCGAGCAATAGCCGCACTTGAATGGCTTATCATTAGCGTGAGTGACAACATGCGTGCGCAGTTCGTTAGGTAAGGAGAAAGATTCAGAGCAGTAGCTACATGTGTAAGGTCTCCTTGGCATACGCGGGCATACATGAACCTGGAGCATGTTCTTCTGCGCGAATGACTGACTACATTGACCGCATTTCATAAGGCTCATCTCTGATCCTTCAGCTAAATTGAACCTTCTGTCGTCATCACAATCCTCAATAACAACCCTTTCCTCTTTTAAGGCGACCGGCTCCACTTTTCGAGTTCGCTCAGCCTGGACGAAATTGTTCCCTATGGGAATGGCGCTGTGAGAAATAGTAGGATTTGGAACTTTGTGGTGCCACGAAATACGAGTGTCATTTGGAGACGTAGGCGAGGGTCTCTCTTTCATGTTGTCACGAGGAACAGGGAGGGGTGATTTTCGGGAAGATGTCTTCGTAGGAGTAATTGAAACAACCGTTGGCTGACTTGAAACTGCAGGCATAGAAAATTGCCTGGTGTTGATCGGTCGATCTGAAGGTTGCGTTTGACCTTGTGCTGCTAAGACCTCTTGAAGGAGTCTGGTACCTAGAGAGAAGGACAGCGAGGTTCGTGAATAGCATTTAATAAGCAAAAGGTGGATAAGCAATCTGATTAAATGATTGAATGCTAAGTTACGTTTAAGCGGATCGGACTCCTGCCCCATTCGAGGGCACTATCGAAAAGAGCTTTTAATGATAAAACCCAACTGTGACAAATAATAGCTAATAATTAAATAAAGAAAACCTTCCTCGAGGTAAAGAATGATTTTTGTTTGCCATTTACAGTTTTAACTTCCCCTAGAAAATATGAAAATCTTTCATTTTAAAAGAATAGCACTAAGCCGACCACTGATCCTAGCACTTCATACTAATGGCTCGTTTCTTAAACACTGAGAGCCTAAAAGCAATATTTTTTCAATTACCTAAACTAAGTTGCTTCGTCATTGTTATGACATACCGTTGGGGTCCACAAGTGCCATATCTTGAACTTCCAGTGGTATTCCCATATCCTGAGGATATTTTTCATCGTACCATACGAGAAGTTCCGTCCCTACGGATATCTCTCTGAAAGCCCGGTAGTAGATGTTTCCGCAGTACTGAAACGAGAAGAGGTTCTGCTCTTCCCTATATCGTGCGCATCGGATGAATCGCATCCAACTCGAGGTGTTTTCGTCGCTGGCATCCAAGTAATGGGAGAGCTTGCCATCTTGGTAAATCTGCAAATGATCGGTGCAAAAATAAAGTAGTTATGACTCTGTAACTAATGGTAACCTAGACAACACATGTCTAACTGCAAGAAAAAAAAAACACACACACACACACACACACACAGGTGAAGCAGTCCTAAGGGTCGAAAGAAATTACATTTCAGTCAAGATTTTAGTAAATTAAATACAGTGTCCATTTTCCTACTACATTCTCCCTCAGATACTTCGATTTTGACTTCCTTTTTGGTTTCAAAATAAGGGACTTACCTCCCACATGTAAGAGGTGTCTGTATTGGGTTTAACGTCATCATATTTAACAAGTTTTCCCTCATATGGTCCAATCCACGTGCCCACAGGAATATGTTGCTTTGCGCAGACTCCACAACCCGCCCCAGGAATACTTGACACACAGAGCTGCACTTCCTCTGGAAAGGACGCTATGGCGTAACTAAATTTGACCGGTTGTTTCTGTCCTGGAATAAGAAGTTTCCTTCCAGAATTTGGAACTTTGTGCACTGGACATGCGTCTTGCTTTGAACGACATGCATCACAGTCTACGAATACAAAAAGGAAAAATTGTCATGTTATTTCTCCACCGCAACAAAGGCATTTTTCATTACTGTACAAGCAGCGTATGTGTTGGTAGCACAGACTCCCAGCCCCCTGGGTATGGAGTCCCCCACTCACCCCCTCTCCCACCCTCAGTTATCTCCCGGACGTGGTTTGTTTTGGCAGACAAACGAAACTTTTGGAGCAAATCCAAAATCACAACACAAAAAGAGACTGTCCAGAGGAGTGAATTAAGTTAGGAAGTAAGACAGGAAAGTTTTTGCCACATTCCACGCAAATTACCTTTGGCTAACATATGTTTACAATCTGAATTATACGTGTTCAGTTTTATCAGGAGGGGAAACGCTTTTTTCCTGATTAAAATGTTATAATCATTAGAGCACAACATCAGATGGTGCCAGTAAAAAATTGACCTTTGATCCCTTAAAAAATGGATTCAACCACGTTTTCCGTTTGGTAAAAGATTCTCACAAAACGAAAATGGCTCAAAATTCAGAAGAAAAATATTTGTGCAAGAGGTAAGTTAGCCATTATAAACAACAGCCACGATACAAATACAAGACTAATCATTTTTAGGCCATAATCACGTAATGGCAGTCACATTCGTGGCTTCAGCATTCTCTTAGAATACACAGTAGTGCTCAGGAAAAGGCTCTTCTGTGAATCATGGTCATGACTTATACGAAGAAAGCTTTTGACCCAGTTCAGAACCGTTTAACATAAGATTGTTCAGTAAGTTTTTCAGAAAAAAAAGCTTTGTTGAGGGAACTAAAAGAGACACATTGTCAGGGAATTACTTTAACAAAGCAAAAGAAAGGAAGACACAAAACGGACGGAACATTGTGACAGTTCAGTTCCAAAACAGAGCCCCCAGCGTGAGGTCGAAATATTGCTTGGGAGTACCTTCCCCCCCTCCCCCCTCTCTTCATTTTTTTTCGCAATCTTTCTTTTCCAATAGTGATTGTAAAGGTTAGTTCAAAATCGGGGTGATTGCCAGAACTATTCACTTTAAAATAAAGAAAACACTGTTAACGAAAGATTTTAATAAAGCTTCAAAGGTACCGACATTGGCAAAGCTTCTTCCGACATTGGATACGAAGAGTTATCTCCAGACACGTAATTGAAAAATGTGAAAAATTTCAACAAAGCGTTCTGTCATCTGTGTGAGCTCGCGCGCCATGGTAGCTCCGCCCACCAAATCTTGCATCGTGGGGATTTTCAATGCAATGATGATAAAACAAAATTTGCCGAAGTTTCCGCTTGCCGGAAATGTCGTGACCTTAAGTGGTATATCGGTTCAAGCAAGCTTCAAGGGTGATTTAGTCGTCCAGTTGGGCGGGCTAAGTGAACATGACCAGAATTTGGAAACTATGAAAGAAAATCTGTTCAATTTTAGATTTTTGCCTTTAAGAAGATCCTCTCCTTAAAGAAGGAAGTAATTACAATTCCTGTTATAGCAACACTGTTGTAGACAATGGACAAAAACCACTTTCACCATGGTATGTCTGGCGGTAGAATAAAGATTAACAGGTACTATTTTTATCACCACAACAAACAAAGTCTATTTTATAAGAAAACCGATGTTTTTCCTTCGAATATTCTAGTTTCTCGTGTTTAATGCGGTACTTGTGTAATCATAACATTCTACTTCAGGGGGTCTTCCCCTGCAACCAGCAAATACTCACAATTCACTTCCCTTTCGGTTTAAACCGGAAAATTGGGTTTCGAAAAAACAACAATTGTATTGCTTTTGCGGTTAAGATGACTCGCACCCATTTCTCGAGCGCAAGTTATCGATGTTCATTTTTATGCTGTTTCTCCACAGTTTGTTTTTATGAGACAAAAAAAATGCATAGAGGGATCAACTTGCAAAAAGCCTTAAGATCACAAATTGACAGCAGCAATAAGATTAATGCAAGACAAATTTGCTGAATACAAGATTGAATTCGAGGTAATATCGTTATTAAGTACTATAGGACATTTATAATTTGGCACGCAATGTTGTAAAGATTAAAATGGTTTGTTTTGTTAACTTACTAGTCGTTTCCTTTTGTTTTTCCGCGTCTGTTTGACTTGATTTTCTTTGTGCTTTGAATGCTTCGATGTCGATTAGTTGTAGCTCATTGTGGCGATACAAACAGTTGTATAAGTCGTCGTAAGTAAATGCAAAATTCTTGGAACTGTGCGGCGCAGTGCTTTGCAGAGATGCCTGACTGGCGGGAAAATGAGCAGTGAACGCCACCCCATTTCGCGCCATTTTCGTGCCTTTACGTTCAGGAAAACTGAAACAAGAAGTTGTAACAAACAGAGAATGGCATTTTTTCAATATATCATGAAAAAATATGATAAAATCAAATTCTCTGCTTATCTGTATTTAGAAAATAAAAAAACATAACTGACAAATTCTCACTATCAATTAAAACTTTGTCCAACAGATGTCTGTCGCTAATAGTAAACGTCGTAGTAAACTCTTTGCTACCTAAATTTGGTCGTAACTGTTACGGAGTTTATGTGCTTAAATCATCTATGTGTTTCGGGTCTCTCAAACTTGTATCTATCGCTGTCGTAATCCTGTTTGAAACGACGCTAACATAGATAACATCTATCACTCAGTAACAAAACAACGAAGATAAGCTGCACCGACGAGGGCAGTCTCCTCGGGAGACAAAATAGAGGATAACTAAACAAAATGTAATTTTTTGACGCTAAATCAACAAACCTTTAAAAATTGCGACAGAAACGTCAAGAATAGAAGTATTCTTTCTCAATGAATTGCCACCTTGCATAATAATCACGGGCGTAATAGGTTAAAAAAAACCTAATGAATGAAGTACTGACTGTAAACAACGGCATTCTTGAACTACATGCAAATTAGTTTAGGTAGCACTGCTCAAATTTTAGTTCTCACTACTTTGAAATGCAGAGCGCTCTTATTCAATTCAAACACTATTACAATTTGATGTTACAACCAGAGGAACCTCAGCGATTTTCCAGTCTTTGCCTGAGAAATTCCACGAGTCTGTCAGCTAGGCCAATAATGAAGCCCTCATGTGTGGTCAACATCCTATTAAATGAAAGCTGTACGCATTTTTGTGATAACATTCACAAAACCTCTCAAAGTGACTAGCATTTCGAGTCCAATGTGGAATTTGACGATGTACAATCTAAAACTTATGCTTTTCCAATAAAATCAAATTAAGTTTTATAGGAGTTTTCCTTAGAGAACTCTTTCATTCGCAAATACCCGATTTTTTTGGTAAAAATAAGTAAGTATCATTAATAATTCGATGAAAAAATCAATTAAAGACAAAACCTACCAAATATTCGATACGTATCTACTACTGCAGCAGATACGCGCGGTCAATGATTGTGAGAGTACTCGACATTTTTTCTGCCCACTATGCAGGACAGTATTACTTTATTGCTAATCCTACTACATGGTTGAAATTTTCGTCCCTCCAGATGTACGTCATTCTATTTTGAATGACAAAAGACTCGCGTTTCAAGACCAAAAAAGTTCAGACTCGTGAGATGAGTTGATGAACTGCCAAGTTTATTGTTTCAGCCGGAAATTGGACAATTTGATAAGGGTCGTATTTTCCAAGGAAAACTGAGCCCAGGGAAAGGGCAATCCGCTGAATGATAAGTTGATAGCTTTGCCGCAGTGAGAAGCGACTTCCTTGACACATTTTAACACAATGGGTCAGTAATAAATAATTTGTCTCCTTGGATGCAATGAGCGAAATCGTCATGGCTTTTTTTTTTTTTCCATGTGTTGAAAAGCGGAAAAGTTGTGATTCGTCTTAAGTGAAGCCAAATTGAAATCAATTATGCATTGATGTGGAAATACCAAGCAATTTTGTGACGAATATGCCAGCCAGAGGGCATCAATGAGATGAGGTTTAAGAACTTCCTCTATCATATGATTAAGCAGGTATTTAACAAAAGGACGGCTTCGTATTGCAGATAGATTTAAAAGTTATGTCACAAGCAAATAAAGATTTGTTATCTTTAAAGCCTTACTATTAATACCCCGGAACGAAAGTGTTGGAATTTAGCTGAGTAAATACCTAGATCTACGAATAGGCTGATTACTGGCTAAATATGGTGCAACAAAAACGATAACTTTGCCACAGAGAAAACCATCCGCTTTAGTTTTCCTTTTATTCAATTTGCTGATATTTCCGCATGGAGACTAAAAGAAAAACTTTTGTTTTTTTATCCCTGCCAAACTGCACGCAAGATCCGGCTGTGTCGGCAATTTCAAAGAAACAATAGGAGCTTAGAACAATATTTCTAAAGACTTCTTATGTGTATAGGGAAACATTCCTTTCGTAAATGTTTTACGCCAGATTAATTGGTGAATAAACTCCCGCAGATAGCACATGAATAGCCCCTTATAAGCAACAGAGACGGCTTTTCTTAAATTGAAGAGTTAACAGTTAATCTTTTCTTTCGATATCTATATCAGTAGAAAGTACGAGAAGGAATTTGGCTTCAATGAGATAGGTTAGGACCCGCCCTCCGAGGTGCTGATGAGCAAGGCACAGTTAACAACTCAAAAGTCACAATGTAATAACTGTTTACAGTATAAACTTTCCGCGGCTGAAATTAACCACTCAACGATTACGAAAAAAATACGTGTTATGTCGCAAGGTATAGCATCCAGGCTGAGAATGTAATCTTTAGAACTTTAAAATTCGAAAAACTTTATTTGTGAAGAAATTGTTTCCTCTTGTTTGCATGCGTGTTAGAAAATAAAACGTTATGTTAAATATCGTAATTGGATGGAGGCGCGGAAGTGAAAACCGTTTTAAAGCAGAAGAGGATTAGAGCTGATCGATATAGAATGCTCTTTTATCGTAAGGTTGTGCCTCTTTGCTGCACTGATATGGATAGTCTCCAGACAAAAAAGGCAGAAATGTAAAGAATACGCTTGAGGTGTTCGTGACATTGACGTCGCTTAATACTCAGTGATTACTAGTAAATCCGTTTTGACAAAAAAGGAAAAATAAGAAAAATTCAAATGAAATGAGCGTCAAATTCATTGTTGAATACTGCACAGAGAATGATTTGAATCGGACACTCCTTATTTCTCGACAAAGGAAAAAACGTGATTGAAAAAAAAAAGAAAGAGACAGTGTTAAGATGTACATGTGTGTCAAAGTTATGATAACATTCTAATAGTGTAAGTCTGTCGCGAATTAGTTACAGCGTTACTCACGCAAACATTATTTCACTTATTACCAAATAGCACATACAAACCTTATCTTTTCCAGGACACCAGTTTTTCAAAGTGCAATTTCTTGACTCAAAGACCCTATTCAGGAACGATCTGGTGTTCGATTTGGCCACCCAAACTGGGCTTAGTTGGTTCTGCCAAACTGAGGGTCTTGTCACTTGATAATCACAACAAACATTTGGCGTGGAACAGCGAGCGGCATGTTCTTTTACTCTCGTTTTTCTACGATCTCCGGTCGGGTGTGTGTCAATCACTCTGGGTAAACGTCAAAAGTTTTTGACAGCTTGGGACACTGCCAAATCTCGTATCGCACGACTGATGTGGGGGCTGATATGTTATTCCGACATGTCTGTGACATAATTCGTTGTGTATATGCGTCCCTCGCCAGGCTGAATGAAAATAACATGTTTTGAGATTGAGAAGTCTTAATAGACCAAGCACTGCTACTACAATGTGGATCTGGGCTTAGGGACTCCAACTGAAAAGGTAGGGGAATCTTAAGAGTTCTAAGCTGTTGTATTCATGTTTGCGTGCAGGCTTGTTTGGTATGGCGATCTGGATTTGCCGACATAACCAATCATAAAAATTAAAATGATTGAAAATTGATAACCTCAGACGATCATCATTTAAATGTCGCATTGTTAATTAGATTTCGCGATATAATTTTGTGAAGATAAAACTTCCAGTTCCTAGCACTCGCTCTGTCGGCTAATTTCGAATTACAAAACTCATAAAAAAAACTTCATTCCATTTCCGCTGATAAGAGTATCTTGTCAATATTTACACAGCGTACTCAGAGCGTCTTTCACTTAAAGGAAGTTAGCTGTCACGATTTCCCCTTGAACTAACATAGTAATGGACAGTCGTAGTTCTTACAGCGTGTTATGAAAGCAACTGGGCCTAGTTATTGCTCACGTCAGATATGCAGAAGCGCAAATGCTGCATGCGCTTAATTTTATCAATGGCATTTCCGATATCTTGTGCTGGATCTGCCTCGTAATTTGCACGCGGCCTGATATTTCTTTGCGAGAGGTGGCTTCTGGAGGGTAAAGGTGCATTATGCAATGACCGTGCATGAATAAGCTCGTTGCCACGTGCATTTCTTGTCGCTTGCACGACAATAGCTTCTGAAAACCCACAACTGCATGATGGATTAAGAAAAAAATGGTAAATCTTAGACATGACACCAGATTTGCTCTCGACTAAAATAGTTCTGGGTCACTTTGCGGTAAATTTTTTCGTTATCTGTTCCATTGATATTCCTAGGTGGTATTTATAAGAAAAGGAAAATGTGCATCTTGCAAAGCAAAATACACTTTAAAAACTTCACTGTGATGGCAATTTTTTTGATATTTTTTTAAATAAAAAATGCACGGGAGGCGGATTAGAGAAGATTAACAAGATCAAACTGAAAATTTTTAGACAGCTATAAATATTGCCAATTTTTAAAAAAGGTTTAAAATTTAATTGTTTTTGGTTCTTAAGTAAATTAAGTTCTTCTTTCATTCAACTATGTATTCGTTACATTTTTTTCCAAATTTTCCTTTTTGTCCGAATGCGTTTTGAAACCATGCACGGAAATTCGTCATTTCATACCTTTAGTTATCGAGGAGCACATGAAATTCATATATTCATTTTGCAACTACAGCTTACTAAGTGTATTAAACTAATTCTGTGAGAAATGAAAAAAAGTTAAGTGGTGTGATACTCAGAAGCTTATGGATTAATCCATTTTTTCTGTTTTGATAACCCGGAAATTATTACGTAACCGCAAACTTTGTTTCACTTGGAATAATTTGGTATGTGTCGATGTGTAATAGCCGGGCACTTTAAAGATGAAAAACGAAACAAATAAACAAACAAAGAAAATAATCAAGGTCAGGCTTTTAAATAGCGTTGGAGCCTTGGACTTGAAGCCGGGTGAAGCGATTAAGAACAAGTACGAGCGGACCGGCCACGGTGTTCTATGTGACCCAAAATAACCTAAAACAATTCCTTCAAAAGATTATGAAACCATGAAAAATTATTTTTCATATAATAATAAGTTATCACATTAATCAAAACAGAACGAAAGAAATATAAAAGGTAATAATGTCGAAACCTGAAAAGGAACAAGCGAATGATCACGTTTTCAGAACGATAAAATCAAACCCGTGACCTCATTACTACACCTCTTTTTGATTGTCGGCGTCCGCTTCGTTTTGGCGCTAATACCTGCGAGGCTTCAACCGCAGATGAGACACTACCCAACGTAATCTATCTTCAATTTTGTGCTTTCTTAACCAGAAACGAGGCGTTGGTGGAAAACGGGGTGCGGTGTTAAGGTAAATACGATATCTCAGTCGTTTTCTAAGGTTCCATCAAGCTGAGAAGCATTGCTGAGTCTAATGACTGAATGAGTTCGCTCGATCAGATCTCTCGAACAGTTCGCTCGGGCACACCAGTACGTATACAGTCACCGGTGAGATATCAAAACGAGTAGGCCGGCCGAAAATGGTGCGTCATACGTAGCTGCAACTGGGTAGAAGGAGGATTAGGAGAAATGGCCAACAGGAATTGGAAGAACGCCAAACACCAGCAAAGGTGCACGTAGCCAGAAAAGCTGGCCGTGTCTTATGGGAGCTCCACGGAAATCGAAACGGCGGAGCCGCGAAAACAATAAAAGAAACTTCGAGCTTTTATTTCTCCATCGCAAACCTTTCGAGATTCCACCGCTCAACGTCTCAAAGTGTAGACATAACCGCAAGCTATGCGGGCTATGAAAAACGGAAATCACGCTTGCAGGTCGCTGGCACTCAAGCCATAGCTTAAAGGACTAGAGATCTTTTGGAAGCCATCCTTTCAGCAGATGATCTGATGAGTTGAGAAGGGTCTTCCTATATTTAGTTACAAACCACAGGAGCTGGATTGGTTAAAACCTTTTTTTTTCCACTGTTAAGGTAAACTCATAGGAAACTTAAAGTCCTAAAATCTTCCAATTTATTGCTAATGTGCTGCAAGGGAACAGAAAAGAAAAGCGAAATACCGCATCTTTGAGGGCTTACCGTCGTAATGTCACAAATTGGATATTTCGGAAACACTCCAAAAGCCGGTTTTTCACTGTTCTATGTGGGTCATTACGCTGGTGAACCGATGAAAATGTTCGGTTAGTTGAATGGTTGTGCCGCTCTGCTATGGATATGATCCAGAAAAAGATCCGAACCAAGAGAAAATAAGGTGATTGTATAACTATCGCTTAGATCTTCCAATTCCTCAGGAGATCTAACCAGATCAAAACAAATTTCGAACTACATTAGCTTCCAATATTCAGGGATGAACTCATCTAAATTTTTCGTATCTGCGCTTCTTGGCCGCAGAATCCTCAATCTGAGGCCAGTTTCCATTTGCCAAAACTTGCTAATCAATCCGTCCCGTTCTTTCCATCGACTGGCTTTAGCCACACTAACTCAGTCCTCTGAGTAGGGTAGGGTCGGTAAGTTTTCTCGCTTTTGCAAGGATAACTTGCAAAATGCGTGGGAGTTTTCAGAATTAACTATACCATCGTCGATCATATTTTCGCGGTGACCTTCGCAGGGCGGGAATTTTGTTTCTTAAAAAAACAAAACAAAACAAAAACACAGAAAGGTTCATTTGCATTACTTACGAGAAATATTGATGCAAAATCGCACAAATATCACTACGATTATATAACAATACCCTCATTTGATAAAGGATCTCGATGTAAGTCCTTGCAATGCAAAAAGTTTCCCATATCGAAAATTAAGCAAGTAATCGGAAGGATTTGTTGTTTGACAGCATCTATTGACGGTAAGTGTTTGACACTCAGTAGGCGATGTTCTGTCTTCGAAAAACATTATTTCTTACTGCTTACATTTTTTATTTTTTACAAAAATGTTAATGCGCTTATCACAAATTCTGTAGATCTACAGGTAGTGTTTAGATCACGTACAGTTTGAGTTAACTTTCAAAACTTGAAATTTTTCCAACCTGAACTCTCATACTCTTGAATACAAGGAAGTCCAAGGTAAATTGCTTAAATATAGAGATTTTCATTTTCGTTTTTAAAAAACAGGGCGATCTATAAAGGCGAAAAAATTTCGAAATCGTTGTGTTGTAAACTCTGTGGGGTAATCGCTCAAGCGTGTCAAATGTTGCGAAATAATTGACGTCAAAGCCACTGTTTGGAGTTTCGCTTTGATATTATGTCTATTGAAACTTCCGACATTGTTTTAAAAATCTACATACACCGACATAAAGAATATGACGTCAATACCCTAATACCTGCTGCTATCAAGTCCTCTATGAAATTTATTTTTCGATATTAAAATTTTAAATTGAATGCTTGTCCTTACCAGTTCCGTGTCGGAAAAAAACAAGTTATTTGCAAAATGAACACAATCAGCTTGTAACATTATATAATATTTGCCTAGAGATCAGCTATTGAGGCAACGTTATCGGTAATATGCTCTTGAACTCTGAGCATCGAAGCTAGTGCACCGGAAGCGCAGAACACCGGAACATCGAACAGGGTAAAAGTTTAAAGTATAGGTCATTGTCCAATTTTCGAGAAAGATAAATGATCGGTACATTTCGAAATCGTCATTTTTGCATATTACACCTGGGATATACATGTGTGCCTAAGTTCGGCAGAATACAGAATACAGAATACGCTTTACATGGATATAAACCACAAGAAATATTTCGGTAAGTAAGAATTAGGCAATAGCACTAAACACGCAATAGCACTACTTATAGTAACACTTACGCTGAGTTATGTAGCATTGTTTTCTTACATAGAAATTAACTTCAGACTAACAAACAAAAATTTTTTGGATTTAATTGTAAAAATGTATTTACCCAGATTCGTGTTTGTTACATGTAAATGAGTGACAGAGAATCTCAACAACGAAGAAGGAAGGTCAAATATGTTTTGAAAAACTCACAGTCGTTTACATTGTGCCTTCAACATGTAAGCTAATTCATACGATTCACCTGGCCGCGGTTCGCAAGGCAAACTTCGTAGCGGTTTCAAAAAATACAGTTTATGACACGCGTGGAATTAAACAAAAAAAACCCTGAGTTGCATTTATTTATTATGTAATTTTGCATTTATGATACAAGATAGAGTCATAAAAGTATTTTTCAGTAAAGGTTGTGTCAATATTTTACAATAGTTTCGAATAGCTAAGTATAATTTGTGCCTGTAAGACATCATGAATTTTAATACATTCTGTTTTTTCGTATTTTTTTTTTGTTTTTTTGTTTTTCAATGCGGGATTCGTTTTGAAATCACCTTTCAGTTTTTTTTATACGTATCAAATTCGACGAATATATTTTTTCGTCGTTGCGCAGCCTGAACCGGTTTGCTAAAGGGAATTCTTTGAACACTGTATAGCCAACAGGCTGTCAACTGAAATTTTCCATCTACACAACAATAAGGTGATTTTTATACGATAATGGACAATTTTAGAACAATTTTGACAATTTCACACAACCATTTTGTTTTTATCGTTTGTTAGCTGTTATTTCAGAAGAGGTGAAGCCTGCTTCTTGTCATCAAACTTACGAATCAAATTGCAAGGAGTGTAGCAAAACTCTCTCTAATTCAATTTGTGTATTTTGGGTTTTTCAAATATTCTGCATTTTTGACAAACCACAAGATGAGTGAATTTTTAACAGCATGTATCAGGACTGTGGCAAATGAGTTTACATTAACCTTTTTTTTATTTGGTTTTCCCCATTCACACGCAAGAACTAGGCTCATCGGTTTTATTCAGTTTTTTGAAAAACGCAATCAGTTTCTGACGAAACGTGTTTTTGGCGGAATTCAGTAATTGCGTGGGAAAAAAAACCGGGGGAAATAATGCACGTTTTATTGAAGTAGCTGAGGTAGCCATGGGACATTGATGTGTATTGTGTTAAACTGTCATTGACTTCCGCCCGTCTGTTCCAACCCTTCTGGGCAAGACTAAATACGTCATTTATAATTTTGCTATTGTTTTCGTTTCGTCTTGCCGGAACCAACCTTGCGAATCTGCTGGAAAAAAACGCCAAAAATCGTAAGTTTACTCTGGCAAAAATTTTGTAGCTGATATTTAAGTTCCCTTAAAAAGTTAGGAGTTTTCATGTTGAAACTTATGCATTTTACCATGGCAACTGATAGCGTGAGCTTCCTGTGAAGCATAACGTAGCTCTTCACACATTGTTAATTTGCAATGCATGGACTACAATTTGACAAATACTTGGCAGTTAAAACAACGAATTCACGATGTGTGACTGATGTAGATTTGTTTTGTGGTGAAACGACGCGAAGCCAATCGACTTTGACCTTAAAAACATATAAACAACTTCTTAATCACGCCAGTGAAAGTCTACAACCCCGAAAAACTGCTGGAACTACTTTTACAACACACAGAATACGACGGTAGGTAACTAGACACTGCATGAAAATATCATTCATGAAAATACACGTTTCAAATGAGGATAATACTGAATTGTTAAACTATTTAGTAATATTGCTTCAAAGTGTTCACCAGCTACGAAGTACATTCAGTTCGATGAGGGATGTTTGCTTAACATATTTGACACAAACATACCATGTTGTAACGATAGTATTTTCTGTATAACTGAACAGTTTTTATTCATTGTTCATCAGGAGATCACCTATGTTATAGTATTCTTTCTTGTAAACACGCAATGGTTCTAAGTGAAAATTTTGGTCTTGAACAATATCTCCTTTAAATCGACATCTAATCTGATCATCTATGTACGATATTGGAGAATCTAACGTGATTTCAGCCATACACGGTGCCCTTGGCTCCAGAGCAAGCACGTCCGTCCAAGAAATGTGCTAGCAAGCAATTTTAACGCCATCGTTTCTTGTAAACAAATTATTCAAGGCTTGCTTCAATTTTTTTTTAACACGTTTAACCTAAATAGACAAGAATATTAAATAACCACTAGAGGCCGTTAAGACTAACTGAAAAAATACGTATCTAAACACCTCGACACAATTTCCTACTCAGTTTGCAACAATATAAGCAGTAATGTTCTAAACTGTGTTACACTTGTGAATGATGGCAAGATTTCTGTCGTTTACAACATAACGACTGTCGACTAAACTTACTCCGACGCAGACAATGGAATCTGCACCTTTCTCTTTCCACGCTCGGCTCATACCCCCGAGACAATTCAATCAGGGAGTCAGAACTCGAAAAACATGAATATGTATTAGAGATACGGCAACTGGCACGTATCATCTAGCCCGGCAGGGTCGTTTATAATCCATTAGCAAAGGAACTTTACATTAGGCTCTTGAAATAGAGTGGATAAAGTTGCCAGCTCGGAAGTGTTCAGCTGCCTTGCGAAAGTCATAGGTTTTTTCTTTCGGCGAGCAGAAGTTACTTCGCGAAAAACTCTCCATATCGAGAAAAGGTGTTATAAGACGTTTAATGAAAATCAGAGTTTGGTGCCTTTTGGGATGATGACGTTAGTATTGATCTGACATTTTTTTAAATTTATTTTTTAGTTTAGAACAGTATTTACAGCGTTCGCAATGGCGAACACAAGCCCCTGTTTTCCGCAGTTTCCTTATCATGATGTCAAGCCAGCAGTTTCCTCGGGTTGCGCGCCATTTTCGTTCACTTATGAAAATTTATACAAATGTTTGTATCAACGTAATGAAGAATCAACCAGCCAAACAGCTGTAGGAAAGGTGACAAGTGCACCGAGGCGAAAAGGTAAAGCATTCTTCAAACTGGTCACTGATAACTCAGGATGCACTATTAGTATTTCTGTTACCTAGTAACAGCAAGTCTTATCTTACCTTGAAGTCACGTATAGCAGTATTTTCCTTAAAACCCGGACAATATGATCGATATAACTGCAGATTATCAATGGAGGGAGCCGATATTGATAACTAAAGTGTTTAATTCTTTAAAAGAAACTCAGATGTTTGATTCTTCCCCTAGCTCAATTTGATATGTATGTTTTAAATCATCTTTGCTTATTTGTAAACTGAGCTCAAAATTAGCATCGTTTCTTACCGATCGTCGCGGTCTGTGAGACTGGGACCAAGTATTATGTACGTTTTGTTTCCTCTGAGGTTTGCAACAAACTTAACGCCACTTTAGTTCAGGAGTTCAATCAGGCTGCTCTTAATCCAAACGTACTTTAGAGTTGCATATCATCTTACATTCTAGAGAAAAACAAACTGACTTTCAAGGGAAGATGTTCTCCGTTTCGTCTCGAGAGCGTGACACAGAAAGCATTTGAGCTCTCTATGAAGGTCACGATATAAGGATGGATTCTTCTCGGGGTGCTTAAAAATTGTTCTGTTGCACGCTCTTGACGAAAGGAATAACAACTTTCTTTGCTTGTTGATCAAGCTCAAAATCTAACATCTTTCGTACTCTACATGTGCACACCTTGATTTTTCTTTCAGAACTCATTTATATGTTCTGCTTATCACAAATAATTTCTAACTTTATTTTATTTAGGTTCAGTGTCATCTTCTAAAATGACAACAAAAAAGAAAAATGGCGAAAAACTGACGTTTGCAAAATCCTCTTGTCCGGATGAACTCGATCTTTGTCCATCAACCACTGGTTCTCAATTGGGAATCCGCACAAGACAAGTTATTCCAGAAGGAACTTGGATGGGTCCATATCAAGGCAATATTGTTAAACCTAATCAATTCACGGCCGCCACAGATACCTCATACATGTGGGAGGTAAAGAGGTTTTTACTCCTACTTAATACCTTACGTTTACTCCAATAGGCTAAATAATTGATTTGCCATCGTAACACCAAATCAATGCTTAAAATCAAATTGGCAATCAACATTTAGGATTGACAACTTGATTTAATTACAAAAGTCGGTGCTTAAAGGTGCGGGAAAGGGCACGCGACTGACCAATTTACGATTCTGTGATTGATTTTAGCAGCTGGCGGACAAGTTTTTTCAAGCCAATCATAGAAAATGCAGTTCAAACTAAATGTAAAATATTTTTTCTGTTGTGAAACTGCATTATAATATCAGTGGCTAATTTTAGATGGGTTTTGAGGTCTGCGATAAATCTGAACCATTGAGAGACGCTCAAAGCACCTCAGTCTCCTTGTCATGTTGTACCATTGAAGTGTCCTTTCACTTCAAAGATGTCATTAGTAATTCTCCTTTATTCTGTCATACAATTCTTATTGTGCAAGTTCGAAGAATTCGATATTGGATCAACTGATAACCCCCTAATTGATATTTTTCTTTATTCCCGTCACTTGTCTGCTCGATATTGTATAAATATTGTCAAGATAAAATCTAGTAGACGCATTGGTAGACGATCTGGAAGCAACAAATAATTAGACTAAAATCCCTAATCTGACAATCTTTTTTTAGATATACGAAAATGGTAAACTGCTTCAATATGTGGACGGTAGAGACGAAACAACGTCCAGTTGGATGCGTTTTATAAGATGTGCTCGTCACAAAGAGGAACAGAACCTTTACGCCTTTCAATACAACAAAGAGATTTATTACAGAGCATTTGCTGACATTCCTGCGGGATCAGAACTACTGGTGTGGTACGAAGATACATATCCACAGTACATGGGTATACCGCTGAACATCACCGATATCAGTTTAGAGGTTTATGGCTCAAGTACGTATTACTAATCAGAAAACCTTTAAGGTAAATTACAGTGAAGTGTACAAAGTGCCTTACAATTTTCCAAACTTTGTTCTATTCATCGCTGATTGATTTTTTCGAAAACAATTCGTCATTCTCTCAACCAATCCAATGTAAAAGGATACTAGAGGAGTTTTAATTAAGTGTAGAAAAGCGAAAAAGTACAGCAATCGCAAAGACCTATCAGAAGAAAGGTTTACATCATCATTAGCCAATGTAAACTCAAAGTGAAAAAAAGAAAACTGCTTAAAGCGCGGGAAAATTCCAGTGACCAAGTTGCAATTGTTTTTGTTTTTGCATCTAATTGGTTGGAAGGATGGCGCGACTTATCTGGTCCAATCACAGAGCAAAGCTAAGTAAAATCAAAGCAATCTCGGCGCTCAATAGTGAATGGCTCTAATTGCGACTTAACGTATTTCACACAGGTTCTTCAGCACAGTTTGGTTCATCGGTCCAGCTCAAACCACCCACGGAATTTTCTGGCTGGAAAAACACCCCACAAATATCACCCCATAAATCACCAGTGATTCAAAATTCTTGGTCAGCGGTCGTTTCACTTCCCCCTGAATATGCGCAATGCCATGCTAATTATCTCGTGACTGCAGACGGTCCTCAATCTAGTCATACGCGAAAGAAACGTCACCATTCACAGACGTATCATTATGGACAACAAGGCCCAGACTCTCAGCGAAGAGCCATTGTGATAAACAGTGCTACCGATGCGCCTGATCCATTCTCGATTCTAGCAAAAGAGAAATGAAAACATTCCACGTCACATGGCCGGACTAAAAAGTTTTACACGCTTGCGCATCAGTTGATTTCCTTCAATCTATTTATCGAAGTCGAGAAAGAGGATCCAACCTGTTAGACATTGTCTTGAATTATTAAATCTAGACTGACCTTATAGTTGGATACTTAAAAAACGAAATTTAGTATTACTTTAATCCAGCCCTGAATCAAGCATTTTTTAATTTTTTTGGTGAGCACTGCCTTGTCGTCGTTACTGAGAAACACGTAGTTAACACTTGAGGGGTAGACGATATGCGCTAGAACATAAACTTTGTATATAGTTAATCTTCCACTGTACAAAATAACATTGATGGCGCACAGAAACCTGTGACATGTAAAAAAGAAAAAACAATTCTTAACTTGTAAATGTTCTATTTTTCTGCAAAGCAGATAAAACGCTTTTCGTTTAGTATATTCAGTTACTACGTTGGTACGTATTTCCAGAGTACCCTCGTCCATCCAATTTGCAGTTGTTAGAGGAAGTCGTGGATGACGGTATCCACTGCAAGGAGAAATTAATTATCATATTGCACATTCAAACGGGGTCATCAACTCCAATAGACGGTGGAAAGTAACCCTTCAGGTTAAACGGATCGAAAATGTACAAACAAGATTCTACAGAAAGCTCATTTTTGTTACTCTTTTCTTTCCAATTTGAATACAAAATATCCCTAATGATAAATGCTTCTACCGTTGAGTATCTTCTTGAGTAATTCCCAGCCAAAAAATTAGATATTTCAAGAAACGGAGTGGATGAGTGTTACTGGATAAGGGATGACATTTGAGAGACATTATAGGAAAACTTGACTAAGTTGTATTAGTGCAGTGAAAAAACCAGAGATGGACCTTAAACTGACTCGGTGTGAAAATAAACCCTACCATTTCCAAGTGCACGCTTTTCATTAACTAAAATTTTTTGTTGAGAAACATTAGAACGACTCTGTGTGTAAGTTAAGGGCTGATTGTCACGTGACAATCTGGAACGTCTCGTTTGCGCAAGGTTTTGGGGCGACTGGGACGATTAAGGCGATCAAGTGGGAATCAGGCTCAAACACGAACTTAGTTCTATCCGAACGCGCGGATCGTGCGGGCCAGTGATTGTCTGATCTTGATTTCATTAAATTCTCGATCGCTTGAGCATTGACTGGAATGATCGGGCCAAATCCTTACAAACAGATGCGGGTTTGGCTCTCGTGTTCCCATCTTTGTTTCCGCTAAGATCAGATCGTTTGATTATTCATTTGGGAAGTTACACTTTCTCTGTTTGCATACACATCATTTCTTTCAATTCCGTGTTACAAATCTATCAGTTTTTACCTCCCAAAAAAGTAGTCGTATGATCTGATTTGGGTGGCAAGAAAGCTTTTTAGCTGAGTCTGTTTATCAATTTGCAGCAGCTAAGCTGACTTTTGATCTATCCCATCTGCCAGGGAACACAGTCCCCAGGGACTCGCTGATGTCTCGCTAAATGACTAGCTTGTGAAAATGTCTTGTGGCATTTCTCACAATTGAATGGCTTCTCACCGGTGTGGGTGCGTATGTGGTTGTTTAAGGTGGTAGCCCCTGAGAAAGAGCGCGAACAGAACCCGCACTTAAACAACTTCTCATTGGTATGCGTGTCCACGTGACTTCTGAGTTCTGACGGCGTCCCATATGAAAGCGTACACTGGCCGCACTGATACGGTTTATCAGGGGTCTGGGAACACTCATGCATTTGAAGAAGAACCCGCTGAGTGAAAGTCTTTAAGCACTGCCGGCACCTCCACATACCAAATTCATCCGGAGACAGAGAAATTCCTGATATGTTTGTTCCTAAGTGTTCATGATATTGCGGTGTGTGGAGAAGCGGAGGCATAGCAGGACGAAGCGCTGGCATTACACTCTTCACTCCATCTCCATTTCGCTTGAGAGCTTGAACTTCATTCGTGCGAGGAGAATGTTTTTGATCATCTGGAAAAGTCACAGTTGGGCGTTTCTATCTTAAGTATTAAATTAACAAGAGGCATGCCAATACATTAACTCATGGGAAGTTACGTTCTGGCCTAACACGCTTTAAAATATGGCTTTTGGAAAAAGCACTCGTTTTATGGAAAACATATTTTTTCTATGCGTCGAAAGCAAGTTAGAATTTCTGTGAAACACGTAGGTCTGCAAATAACGGGTCACCTGCTTCAGCAAAGGGCTTTCAAAAGTAACACTAATTTTATTAAATCGACCCTGTGTGGAAACTTTTTTTTTTAAGTGAATAAATTTAGTACTCACTATCGAAGAATTGTAATGGCGGCATTTCACGCAGAGCGTTTATTTTTGCTGGAAGTCTTCTTTCGTTATTAGACAAGGGATCCTCATCTCTTTGCCTTTCCCAATGTTTATCAGACATATACCCTCGGGTTGAATTTTCAGTTTTCACAACTTTTTCTTGCGAGTCCTTGTTCTTTATTTGCGGCGAATAAAAATTGTTACCACTGGGCGCAGGTATTTGCGAAAAGTTCCTGAAAAATTGTCCATCAACTGTTGTCGTTGCGGTTAATTCTGTCTCAATCATTTTACTTTCAACTGAGCCTGCAGCGAAACTAGGACCACCTCTAATTCCAGAAGTGCCAAGCTTGTCTCGCGGGAAAACATTACCCGCACTGCTTGAGGGGCGTACGAAGCGTGGAGGTGGCTCACGTGGTGAAGGGAATCTAAAACTACCCGTATTAGGATTATCATGTGATTCTTGAAAACCGTGGGTTTTTGGATACCGTGTCACTGAGTCAACAAACAAACTGGCGGAACTGCAGGCTGGAGAGCTTTGGGTATTGGAAGATGACACTGTGAATAAAAAAGGAAAGCTAAATGTGAAATTTCAGTCGAGCGGTCTTAATTTACAAGCCATGGAGAGAGTAAGTTATGGGGTTCGGTTCGGAGGATTCATAAACTCTTAGCATCTTTCATACGGTCATTAAAATAAAGTTCAGGACACTTTGTCACTCAAAACAGATAAAACAAATAAAAGTTATGCTCAGCGCCTTCGATCTACACACTTAATAATATACGTGAAAAAATTACGCGCGTTTGAGTGGCTGAAAACGAATGTATTTTTCATGTAACACGAGTGCAAATTACAAATAGCACACGCACTGCCAAATTTCGTCAGTCTTGACTTACTGTGATGCGTTTTTCATGTAAATTATTAACAAGTAATGACATGATTTCTCGTGCAATTTGATGTAATAAGGTTTTATAAACTTTTCGAAGACCACAAATTGCACTCGCCCAACGGGCTCGTGCAATTTTGTTGTCTTTTTGTATTTTTTCGTATTAATATTGTATACAAATCCTGGTGGTTAAAAAATTTGATCACAGCATAGTGGAAACAGTGAATAGTAATTCTCCGTTTGTGACACTGCCTACATCTTTTCGCTTTAGTTTTTTAGTTCGACTTACTAGCAAACAAGACTTTGCAAATCATTCACAACTGAAACATTAACCAGTTCTCTTTCAACCCGTTATTGAAGATCAAAAAAAATTTTTTTTAAGGTGAATTGAAAAATCAACACCGCCTTACCAGATTCTCTGAAGAATTCATAGTCCTGTATACCAAGAGGAATTCCAAGAAATTGTGGATATTTTTCATCGTACCAAACCAGTAATTCTGTACCAGGGGGGACCTCCTTAAACGCCCGGTAAAAAATGTTGCCACAGTATTGAAAAGCGTATAGATTCTGCTCCTTTACATGACGTGCGCATTGAATGAATCGCATCCAGCTGGAGTTGTCTTCATCGCGTCCGTCAATGTAGTGACTTAGGCGGCCATCTTTGTAGATCTATGAAGCAAGAATTTAAATATTCATCATTTCACTTCTTCTTCAGGTTGGGCAAGTAAAACGAAGCAAGAGGACGGGAGGCAACGTGACCGAGAAGTTAAAGTGTTTCACTTGCCATCTGGTGCTTCCAAGTTCAACTCCCAACCCTCCCCCTCCCCTGCAACTTACTGGATTACCGCACTGTGATTTATTTCCAAGTCCTAAAATAAAACTAAACCATTTTTCTCCCAATATTTTAATATCAATTTTTCGAAGTTAGATATCTCTCTATGAAGGACTCAATCTTTTAGATTTTTGGTATGGAGTCAGTGTATTTATTTTCTTCACAGATGCGTATACTCAAAATAAACGCACATTTTCGGTCACTTTCTTTTTGATACAGAATATATCCATAAGAAGACACCTTAATACAATATCAGAAGCTCATAAGAAGACATGTGTCTTTAGAATATTTCACCTTTTCATAATTGTTTTCTAAATTATTTTAAAGTTATATTTAGACTCAAGCATGTCAAGATCTATTTACAGACAAATGAGTGTAGCAACTCCGAAAAGGAGAAAGATATAAAAATATCTCAAGAGGAATTACTTTAAGACTGAAGCCCATATAACAACCCACTAAACTATTTTTTCAAATCTCACCTCCCATAGATATCCTGTTTCATAATTTGAAGGAAAATTTCGGGCGGGCAGGCGGCTTCCTTCATACGGACCTATCCATGTGCCCAGCGGAATGTGCTCTTTCGCGCACACTCCATAACCAGCACCAGGAATACTCGATCTACAGAGATGCACTTCATCCGGGAATGATCTAATGGCGTTTGTGAGCCGAGGCTTCTCATGGTCATCGGTATTGTTCTGTTTTTTGGAAGACGAACCTCCTGTGAAAAATCGATTGAATACTTGAAAGGGAGGACTATTTTGAATGAGCAGTTGTACTGTTAAGTATCTGTTCCTCATAAGGTAGCTTGCAACAAAGGTACATTTAGCCTGAGGCTGAGTGCTCCGAAACTTTCATCTATGTCATAGTCAAGTGCCCGTCAGATGCCATGAAAAATACAGCAGTGCGAGATCACGTAGAGTGATTGGAGGGAGCTAGGCATGACCCTGAATACTAGAGCCTCTATACTTCGAATGATTCACCCCGCAAGGTGAATCAAGATCAGAGCTTATCGACAAGGACAAGAATACAGAAATGGTGCTATGAATAACGCTAAGAATTTTGTCATATCAAGTGTGGATCTGTTACGTGCTTAATCAAAGCCTTACTTACAGAATAAACAGACTCTACATGACAACATCCAACTGACCAAAACCGCAACGTGAAAGATCATTTCCGATCTGTATTTTACTTGCGTTTCAAAAGAAGCCCTTTTCTAAAACCTTTCACCGGAACCTGAGCTTTTCTGACTTAAATGCACTCTGTGGATATTGACAACCGTTGTAGTTTAAAAAAAGGTCTGGAAAATGAACAATTAATTTGTGGCTCGGATACCAATGAATAAAATTATGTAATAATTGTTAAATACAAAGACACATTCATCGTTAGGAAACCTCAAGATTGACAGAAAACTAGACGTTTTCCTTTTCACGTGATTTCTAGTCGATAAAATTTTTGCATAGGATTTGCAGAGTATCAAATGTTTCCACTCCCTCCGAAAAGTATTGCTTCAAGATAAAGGAAAGTGCAAGTGAACAATACACACAAGGGTATATATCGGCTTAAATTACTCTGCCCATGCAAATTTTTTTGTGGTAATTACTCAGGGCGGACATAAAAACCTCGTAAACACAACAGTGAAAGCGGAAATTTTTGGAACAATTAAATTAATTCAATGTCAACAAAAGAGAATAACAACTTTATCAATGCTATCCTGAATATTTTTATGAATGCTTGAGGGTCTACGTATGATTCGAAACATTTGGTAAATGGTGCGGTTTTATTTGGAAGTAGAAACGGGCTTGTATTGCTTTATGGTAGTTTTAAGAGCTGAGTCAAATTCCCTCCTGTATCAAAAATATCAGTGATATTGTTCTTAGCCATTTTTTTAGGCGCACTTGATAAATAATTGGTTTTACCGTGATGTTAACAAGCTGTTTTCGTACCTTGTTCATCTTCAACCTTCCGTTTTAGTTTCTGCACGTCTATAACTCTGACTTCGCGGGAACCATATAAAAGTAAATTTAGAGTTCTCTCATCGATCAGACAATAACCATTTCCCCCACAGTATTCTTTTTTGTCTTCTTGTTTTGAGCCGGTTTTGTCTTCCATTTGTAACCAGCGGGTTTATGCTGCATGAGAAACAAGCATTCACAATTTCATTATTTAAACATTATGTTTTAAGCATAACACTAAACTTCTTTTGTATCAACGAAAATAGATTTGAAAAGCCGAAAATTCGAACTCAATAGTTGATATTCACTGGAATGCACTAGGAAAATTTTAACCAGCTGCGAGGCAGGAAAGTTCGTTCCATTGGTTATTTTTAGAAAATGTTTACTCGTTTTGCTCTATGACTCTCTGCAACATACAAAAAGACTCGTCAATTTGTTTTCAGCAGAACATTCTAGCCTTTCTTAAACCCTAACTAATTAAGGTAAATTAAATTCAATACTTCCCTGTCAATCGTTGACACAAACCATATCTGTAGCCTTACTTGAGTTGGAGAGGTATCAAAATGATAATGAGTCTATATTAGTTATAAGTTTTATTTACGATGTAGCTAACTATTTCTTCTGGAATTAAAGACACTTTTGGATTTTATACTGAACTTTGAGTTGCCTGCAATCACGTGAAGATCAAACTTTTTTCAGAGGTTTAAAATTTCTTTCACCATGGATTGAAGTAGTGAGTTAATAGTGATGAATGTTGTTGTCTGCCTCTATGCAGAACTGGGGGAAAAATTTGGCCAGCGCTAAAAGAAGTTGATCGAACCAGACTTGAAATGTCCGTTGATCGAATCACAGACAATAAAACTATATCATCTGTATGACCTCGATGGATTTTATCATGAAGAGAATTGCTGGGTCAAAAGAGCGATGGATACATTTTACTTTCCGCCATTTTTGTTCTAATTTCGAGAAAAACGTGTTGAATTATTCGCTGTCCCTTCTCGCTGCGTAACTCTAATTGGTCCGAAAATTTTCCTTGTTTGTTACCTCGTGTAGTGGAAAATTCACTTTTTGTTCCCGTTTGTTTTCATGACCGCGGGCCATGGACCAAGAGGTCTTTCCAAGCAAGGTAAACCACACGTGAGAAGAGGGAAAATCCGTTTTAAAGCATTTCCTTCTTGTATGACAGAGCATAAGGCGTGGATGAGATGACAAGGTTGATATCAAATGGCTGTGTTTATGTTGGCCGACCGGTTTAAAGAGAGGAAGCAAGCAACATGTACGTTTTTACAGGAACGTGTCTGAGAGCGTGTCTTCTGTTTTTACGGGAACGTGTCTGAGAGCTTGTCTTCTGTTTAAGAGTTCTCCTGCTGACCGCGAAATTCAGTTCTTCAAGATGTAACTGCTGTAGGTTGCATACGTCCACATGGAAGTGATTTTCACAGCTCTCTGTCCCACAAGGCTTTATGCCGAAGCATGCTCACAGAAATTGCGATAATATTCCGTTGATTTTAGTGCAGAAACCTCTTCATTAGTGGTTTGAGTTGGGTCGCCGGGCTCAAAGTGCAATCTGAATGTTCATTTTCTCCACTATCTTACTTATTAAAATACGTTCTAAGGAAATCAAACTTTACTCACCAAAATGAAGTCGCCTTTCCTCTTCTCCTTCCGCGAGGTTGGTCATTCAGTTCGTTTTGACGGCAAAACTATGCTTCGTTAGATCTCCAGATGTGTAGAAATACAAGAAAACTTTCATGTATCACCCTTACGGAGCATAAAATATATAATATATCCTTAACCTTTTGTACTTCCATGCCGACAATAATTATTGTTCTCAAAAATTCCGCATTCCGGTGGCTGTGTCGTGACCCGCCATGACAGTTCAGCTCAGCTAAAACAGCGCGCGTGTTTACACTTCTTTGTGCAGCTTAAATTCTGAAAATGGGAAATATTTTCAGCTAAAAAAAAGTGAGGATCGAAATCAAGGCCTGTTGTTGCAGTGTGGTGACCCTTTCCCTTCAAAACAAGTAGAAATAAGTTTTCCAAAAGTGGCGAAAAGAAGCTGACTCATAGAATCTGTATATGCAAAGTAGACATAATTACTCACTCATTACGTGAACATGTTTATTGGGGTCTCTACAAAATATCATTGATGGAGTCCCCGGCAGAGAAATACTAGGTTCTTATTTGTTTGTTTACTTGGAAACGAAGCTTTTTGAAGGCAGTATCTGATGCATAATCTCTCGAGTGCGTTTAAATATAGAATGAGAACTAAAAAGACCACTTATATATTTTTTTTTCTGCGATAAGTTTTTAGCTAAACCGGATAGCGCTATACTCGAGTTTGGCAAATAATCAAAATAAATTCTGTCACATACGAACGAAGTGCCCAATTCTCTTTTTGATAATTCTGAGACTGGATTATCTGTTAATGTCGATCGCGATGAAGAAGGCTTAAGCCTGCATTTCTTTACAAAAAAAAAAAGAAGAAGAAGAAGAATTTAAAAGAAAAACATCCTTACACTCATATCCGTGTGGGATATTTTAATCTGAGAGGTCATCTTATATAAGAAACCTGGAAACGGAAAACTTGAACAATTTCCTTAGCAATATATGACATTCTTCATCGGAAACGGAATACTCGCTCTTGTGGAGGTTTCTAAAATTGCCCTGTATTTGTTTTCATTGACCGACAATGTATGCGGAACTTTGTACTAGCCAGAAAGAAACTTATTGTGCACTATAGGAATGATTGTTTTCCATAATATTGTTCACGTCTGGGCCATTATCTCATTGAGAATGACATCATTCACCCGCAACACGGAAAATCTTGGATAAATTAAAAAAAAGAGGTTTGTGTGATTCGCGCTTTGTCACGAAAGCAGGTCAGGATTGAGTAAGTCTTGTATTTACCACAACTCAGATTGTTAGTCTTTTGAAACTGACTGGTGTTCATGTACTAGCTTCAAACGGCTTAAAGTGGATGCAATATGCCTTAAAGGCGTATTTTAATATTTGTATATTGACCATACAGCCCTGATATTAATCCTCAGAATTTTGCCGGAATCCTGACAGGAGCAACGAGTAAACTGCGAAGAAGTTATTTCAATAGCATTATAGCTGATTGCAGGAACGCTTATGGAAGAGGAGCAATATTATGGCCTGGAAGTTGAATGCTGAAAAAAGCTCCTGGCATCATTTTGTTTTCTCGTCGAGGGCACATGAAAGTTTCATGTGCCCTCGACTTCTGAGAAGTGTTTTGAATTTCTGAAACTAGTAGTTTCACTCAGTCTGAAAAATCCTATTTGTTAACAGTTGCGCGGCTGAGCAAAACTAATCCATTCAACAGTGAGTTTTAAACTAGTTAGTATTCGAGGGATTTTCAAGTTCTTGGGTATTTTTTGGAACAAAGAAGGACTGTCGTAATGACTGCCTGTTGCTTCGGTATAACTGACATCAATTGATCACAAGTTTCCTCATGACCCGCGATTTTTTGGTTCTAGAGAGAGATTACAAGCTATAGAACATTGGTAAAGAATAAACAACCTAAAGAGTATTAAATGGAATTGTCTTTTCCGGAAAAAATCTTCAGGCTTTCATTCAAACTTAACGAATTTGGTCTGAAGCATAAATACAAACTAAGTAGGAAAAAGAGTTATTTGAGAAATAGTGAAGGAAGTTAATACGTTTTTGAAAAAACCCAAAGGTGAATTCAGGCCTCAATTCTCATAGAAATTTGTCACATAAGTGCAGAGGCTTTGCACATGCGCAAAAAAATGGCGGGAAAAGAATCCGGGTACAAAAGAAAGTTGAATACTGCAAGTAGCTAATACAATGCAGTATTTTTCAAACCAGATTAAACTGAAGTGTGATTAATGATAAATGCAAGTCATTTTAGAGGCTACTGGCCTCGGATGGCTGTCTTTGTTGCGTTAATCACAATCTTTTTGTCATCCTCCTCAATATAAATGTTACACCCTTAAATTTAAAGAAAAACGTTGAAGATTTAAGCTACTGACAAGTGCGCTTCAGTAACGCGCTATTAGTAATCAAACACGAGGAGGATACAGATAATACTCGCTTGAAAACGTTGCACCTTTCAGAACGTGTAAATTTTTTGTCGATATTCCACGGTGCAAAGCTAATAGTCGTAAAGAACTCGCCTTTTTCATGTGCCTGTCACTTCTTCTCTGTCGATCTACAAGAAACAGATGGCAGAAGTCTGCAGTATATGATAAAAAGTGCATTAACAGAGGAATTCGCTCACTAAAAGCTGCGACAGACGGGAAATAAAAGCAAGAATACCGAATTTCAAGAGACTCGTGGCTCCCACATCTAGTTCAGCTGGCTTGCCTAGGCTTTAACTGATCCATCAGCCAAGGTTTCAGCTTCGAGTTCCATTTAAGGACTTCGGCTTCTCACTTAGCTTATTACAAAGTATCATGTTTATAATGAATTATTAATTCAAGTGACAGGAAGTGGAAACAAGACACGTAAAAACCAAACAGGAATTATAAATATATTTTCTTGGTTTTTACCACTGGTAAAACAACCCAACTGCAGTTCTAGGCAACCACCAAAGTATTTTATGCTTTTGATTTCATTTCAGTCAATTTAATTCCATTAAATATTTCAAAATTTTATACCACAGATACATACCTCGTTTCAGGTTTCATAGGAAATATCAGACCTTCAGGGAGAGAATCGATTCTTAAAAATTTTAGTTGAGCACTCACCGTTTAAGAGCTTTCACTGGAAACACAAACTGCTGTACGCAAGCATTATGTATCTCCTTATTTAAGGATGTTTAGCGATTTTATACTGATTCAATTCTTTGTTTCATTTGATTTTGAAACCAAGACTGGAGCTTATACATCGCGTGTTATAAGCCGTTGATTTGCAAGGGTGATATCATCATAAAGAGTGTCAATTTTGAAACTTAACTTTGAATTTGTTAGCTCTCAGAAAAAGGCCATATGGCCCTAAGAGAAACAGTCACTTTTAATCGCAAAAATGTCATATGAATTGATGGCTCGTAGACGTTGTAAAAGAGAGTTGAAATTGTTGAAACGTTAGCCCCCTTAAATCTGCTAAAATCAAATCAGCAACGTTCGTTGACATACAAGGTACGATTAACTATCATGACAAATTTGTGTTATTTACTTTGAAATGTCACTGAAATTTGTAAGATTTGCTATCCATTAATATTCTAGAAAAGCGTGCATTTTATTTTTGCAATTTTATGCAGGTACGTCGGGGTTTTGAGTTCCTTGTCATTTGTTTACGTCAAACGCATTGTAGCAACTCTGCCCTGTTTAAAAGCATCGTTGAATTCCTTTTTGAAATAATTTCAAAGAAAAAGCAAATATTTATTGAAGCTGTTTCTTTTGGACTGTAAAAGCATTTGAATAGGCTGTCTCAAAACTGTTTCCAATTGTTTGCCTCTGTTATTCTGATCAGAAAGGATTGAAGGGCACAGCTCACTAATGTCAAATAAACCCCACCCCGATCTACTGCTGTCATGCATTGAAAACCTACCAGCACGTGGGTTCAAGCGTGGCTCATTCAGCTCCATTCTAACGCAATTCAAAGCACAAAAATTGAAGCTGCATTTCGTTGCTACATAGTTAAGTGAAAGCATAGAGAAAAATATTTAAACGCAAATTTTATATCTTGGCACTGCGGTTAAACTGCGGTATTTATACTTTCTTTCAAGGCTCTCTTTTTGCGGCACTTAACCACTTCGTTGTTGGAACGTAGCACTTGTTGCATATCACAAATCAGTTTTTGAAAGCCGAAAGATAAATCTTAATACTTCTCTCTGCGACAAACGAGTACTTCGCTACGTGGCTGCAAGACATATAAACTTTCTTTCTTGCCGTTTTTTGCAGTTTGATTGAAGTTACAGTATAGTATGTCGTGATTCGTGCACTCAGTGTTCCCTTGCAATAGATATTGATAACGGCTCCAAAGCAAAATGCGCACTGCGGTCATTTATCTCACTTTGATGGTGAACCAGGAACTCAAAAAAGGGTATAAAAACTAAAAGATGATTCTCGTGTTCAAAGTACTTATTGTTCCAGCTTTCAGGGCAAGATATCGGAAGTTTTTTTTCGCTCGTTTTTGAAGCTTGCCATTGATATGGCCGCCCTCATTAAATATTTATTACATTGTCTTCAGTGTTCCACAAATACGGAGTACTTTTGAACACCGCGAGGGCAAGGAGGATTCTTAATAGATCATTCTTAAAATAACCAAGTATTTGTGCTAGATGTAAAGAGGCCTCGTGCTCAAATTGATCTAATTGGTCGGTTGATAACCGAATTACATTTGGTAAAGTAGCATGCATTAGATTAACAGGGCTTTCTAAGAAACACTCGCAGTTGATGAGGCGGCGATGAACTTGGAAGAGATCCAAGAGCTTTCAAAGGTAAGGCAAAATAGGTCTGTTATTATTGATGATCATTAGAAGAAAGGCAATTATTTCACCTTTTCAGCCATGACGTATACGAAATAATGGAGGAATACGAGACTGAGTTTTGTTCAGTTTCTACTTAGCGCTGTTCTTCATTTTGTTGCCGCCTCTTTCCTCAGAACATTTTGTGGCGAGAACTCAGCTCAGTTTTGCCATCACTTCTGTGTAATAGTCTGGTTTGTTCACCATTCTCCAGTTGTTTGTCTTAAATGTTTTTCTATTTACTTTGTGAGCCTCCCTTTTCTTGACCCCTTTCTGATGAAAGTGGCTCTGCAGCCGTCGTAAATGGTCCCTGGCCGTCTTTTGTTTTACTTTCACAAGAACGTTTAAACAAAAATGTCACCGGTGAAACAAAGAATACACCAGCCCCATTATGTTGGATTATTGAAAGCTATTTCTGTGCACATAAATCGTATTTTGATTTTAAATTGTCACTGAAATATACACGTCGAAGTGTTAGGAGAGACGTGCAAACATTCAAGTGGCCGAGTTGTCATTAGAACCTCTCTCGTAAGCTATTTAATGTAAACTATTGTACCTACGAATTGAAAAGGACTTCTGCTGTTGTATATATTTCGTTTCGCAATCGAATCAATACCACTTGTTGGTTTGACGATTTCAGTCATTCAAATTTTGGGATTTTTTTCTTTTGCGTACTAGGAAGAAAGAGCTGAATTGTGCGTAAACAAAATGTAATTTAAAGAGAACAGTAGACATTTATGTTCTTGCGACATTCAGGATCACTTCAAGCAGCGACATTTTTCTTGAAACATTCAATTCTAAACATGGCTAAATTTACTAGCAGACAATGATTGAGCAACTAACCCAATCATACATCGTCAATTTTGAGTCATTAAACTCGTTATTTCACCGAGATTATAGTTCAGTTTTGAGGAATTGAACTGTAACGATTACTGATTTTATATCTTCAATCGATCAGTGTTTTAATCACAATACTGAATAGTTTCAATTTAGGAGATAGCACAACTACAGAAAATGTTCCTAAGTGGTCTCAAACAGATGATGGCTTTTACGACTAACGGTTAAAATTTGTCAATTTTAAGGCTTAACGGCAAAATGTTTTGGCCGTTTTGCGGCTGACGCTTAACCTTTCTGAAACCCTCTTTGTATGATGTATTGTTAATTTGTCGTAGGATTTTCAACGTGTATGAAAAAATAAATTACAAAAAAGAAACTCAAAGATCCATTTTCATTGAAATGTATCTTATATTCCTTCGTCGTTCTTTGCAATTTAGCAGGAAGTTTCGACACCACTTGAAGAGGTTTCCTTTTTGGGGTGCGGCCGCAATTTGACCAATCAGAGATCGAGTTTTAAGTAGCCCTGATTACCATCGTAAGCAATCGATCACGGCAGTTTCGCAATATTCAGTTGGAAGGATATCTCTTTAATTTCCGAAATCAGATGATTACGTTGATCCTTTGATTAACCGGATATAAATTATTTTCTAATCATTGAATAAACAAGACAGAGAACGATTTTTTCCATATAAATTTCCACATATCTGATTAGTTACGCACTAGCTCCGATTTCCGGAACTAACTCCGTTGCAACATTGCGCAACGACACCATGCGACAGAATTTCATTGGACACTGCTTAGCACGATTTTTCAGACTAAAGAAAATCTAGTGAAGACAGTAACTAGTTGAAATATTTGTGTCAGGAAGGTATCTTATAATTACCCAACTTTAAATCCAATTTTGTCGCTTATAAACGAATGTTGATAATGAAAATGGTAATGCTTGCTGGAATATTCACATATCTTGTACTTTAATTCTATTAGATGGACGGTCCGCCATCATCAACCGGATCTGATACTTCTTCACAGTGCCGGGGGCATTTTATTGAAGAAGATCTGCAGTATGTTCTGTACGGAAGAAATTCTGTGGAAGAGGTACACATTTTAGAAACGATGACTGAAGAAGACATGGAAAGCTCAGGTAAATTAAAGGTCGATAAAGATTTTAAAATCGTACGGTAGATTAATTATATTAAATAATTTTTGATGAATTATTAAATAATAGGTCGATGAAGAAGTAAAGCGTTAACTCTTACTAAACGATTTCGGGGTCCACACATGTATGTATATGACCAGCCACAAGTCCGTGTCGGTAGGGACCGAGTGCAACGAGGTCCGTACCGTCATGACCTTCACGTCACGATTTTTCTAGTTCGTTGTGAATACACGGAGTTTCTAACTACACATTTTACGGTCTTAGAACTATTTATCCGGTGGACAGTTACCTTGATTTGATCGGGCAAAATCCTCCCCGGAGTCGCGCGGGATCAACTGGGACATTACCCGGTCCGATTTTGGGAAAATATGAGCCCTTGCGGGACCATAAATGGAGCAATCTAATTGGTTGCTTTTAGCTCTTGGCACTCGAACCTCCTGAATCGCGTAGCAACATAAGTTACGGACCGAGTTTTTCCCTTCAGCATATGAATCAAGCGCTGGCATAAGTCGTACAGCGAAACTAAACAAAGGAGGATCCGTAGCTTATAGTGTAGACTAGTAGGTGAAGGTTAATAAGATATTTATTTTCTGTTCTGTGCGTCTCCAAAACGGTTCCACAAACAAGAGATTTGCACTTCCAGTGAAAAAGTGGCGATGCAATAACTATAAATTCTGCTAACAAGAACACCTTTAATTTTTGAGGGTCGAACAAATTAAACTAAGAGATAACGATTTATTTCTTTCCATCGTGGTGAAAAGAATAAAAATTTGACACTTAATCCCACCAAATATTATGTTCTAACATTACGCAACATTTCAGTTGCGTCCATGGTGTTGTGGCAGACTTTATTTAACTGTCAGAGTATTAGGCTTTTGACAGACTAATTCGGAATACTGATAAAGAAAATAACTTAATAGAAATATAAAAAATGAATTAGCTCCTAATAAAAATTAGTTTATTTCACTGACACTCATTATTATCCAAAAGAACAACAATCCAAGGTCCCCAAAACAACGCCAGATGGAAGATGGATTGATGTAGCCATGGAAACAGGTCAAAAAAAGTCTGCAAGGAATGCAAAACTAAGCTACGCTGTGGCCTCGTTCCCGGATGAAGTGAAACTTTGCCTGTCTGGAATCCCAGGGGAGGGTTATGGAGTTTGCGCAAAGCAGCATATTCCCGTGGGAACATGGATTGGTCCATATGAAGGAAAGTACCTTTCAACTGATATCGTTACTCCGGATATAGACACGTCATACATGTGGGAGGTATGTGCGCGCGTAGACCATAGGTTTATCACTTTTAAATTAATACAACAACTTTTAATCTTTGAAATGTCACAATCCCGAAATCAGGCACTGTTACACCGTTGCACTGTTTTGCCTGAATCGCTGCAAGTTCACTGTATCTCACTGATAAATCATGCGTCAGGTTTTCTAAGTCTTATTACTGAATTCGGCTCCTTTGGAAGACTCAACCCCTTTCCTTCTGTAAAGGTCAAGACAAATAACTCATAACTCGAAGGCTGAGCAAATAAAATTCACAACCCTTTTTTCTTTTTCTCTGTTTAAGTTCGTCATTTCTTTTGCTGATCCAATAGCACTAAGGTCAGCTCCAACAAAAATACGTTATTCTCTCTTGCTGCAGGTCTACGAGAACGAGAAACTGGCCTTTTTTTTAGACGGTAGTGATATGGATACTTCGAGCTGGATGCGCTTTATTCGTTGCGCTCGTCACAAAGAGGAGCAAAACATGTTTGCATTTCAGCACAACAAAAGTATCTTTTATCGCGCTTTCCGTGAAATACCAAGTGGTACAGAGTTATTGGTGTGGTATGATGATAACTATTACTTGCAGCACATGGGGATACCTGTCGGTAACTGGACGAAGGATATTTCACAACACTTTCCAGGTGAAATATTTCTTAAAAACCAGTTAAACAAAATTATTATATGCCTCAAAAACGTTATGTTTCTGATGCCATATTTAGCAAATATTAAGAGATTGCTCTTCAAATGGACCCAAATTAAGGAGTAAATTAACTCACATTAGCTAAATTTTTATTCTACGACGAATTTCGAAAAACGTTGCCTTTCAATCCTTGAGTTCAGAAAATACACATGCATAAATGAAGATATTTTACACATGACTGTTTTGAATCAGATGCTATTTCAGCAATTAATTATATAATTTGTTTTCATCTTTTTCAAATGAAATCCCATTTTCTTCTCTAGATTTCGAAGGAAAAGCATCAAGCACGAAGCATGCTGACAGCGTCACTATTTCAAGTGCGCAACCACAGACGGAACAAGAAAACTCTCCTGATAATGTCAGTCAAGAAGCTGACCATCAAGCAAGGAGCAGCAAGCCTAATGTTAACTACAGCTCCCCTCCTTGTAAGCGGCTGGTGGACAAATCATTCCTTCAAGAAACAGAACGACCTCTCAAGCGGCCTCGAAGGCAACAAGAATCAAGCAATAGTATGTCACCTGCAGAAAACAACTCGATAACCACCACAGGAATTCAGCTGACTACTGGATACCGCAAGATATACGAGAAAGTTTTGGAGAACTTCAGGGAGTGTGATGATTTCAAATGTGGTCAGTGTAAAATGTCCTTCACTCAGCGTTCTCTTCTGAACAATCATCTTTGTTCGCGCATGTCTTGTAAGCCCTACCGATGTGGCCATTGTCATGAATCTTTTGCTCAACCAAAAGAACTGCGTATGCACGCAGTTGTTCACGTTAGCGAGAAGCCCTTCAAATGCGGGTACTGCCTGCGATCGTTTAGTGGAGCGACCACCTTGAATAATCACATGCGCACGCATACTGGAGAGAAGCCATTTTCGTGCGAACGGTGTGGGAAGTCATTTTCACAAGCTTCCCAGCTTAGTCGACATCGTAGGATTTGCGTAAATTAAAATTTTTCAGGGAATGAAGTTAGCTGCATCCTGACTGAAATCTTAAAAATGATAACTCTCATTATGTATTACAAATAATGTGCCAAGTGAAGTGAGTAAAACACCATGGAATGACAACGAGGGGGATTTTAATCTTAAACTTAGCTTCACATGTACAGGAGGTAACATGTTTATGTCCACTGAATTATTTACTTTAGAGTAGATTCTTTAGATGAAGAACGCTGTATTGTAGTTCGGCTTGGTTTCTTTCTCTCTCGCGTGTCCCTAATATATAAACATTCCACTTATTTCACTGTTTCACCGTAAAAAGAATTGGATTTCTCTTTAGGCTATGTGATTAGCTTACATTCAAATCAACTCATTTTTGAAATTTCTAACGCAATTTATTAAAATAAATAAACCTGTTTTGGCACGGCACGGCTTTTATTAATTATCATAGTTATTTACCGACGTATGACGCGTACAGCGTCTTTGAATATTATCCTTAGCAAGTGGTTATGTATACAAGCCGTTGATGTAAAAAGGCTATTAGTTGTAGTGCACCTTTAATTGACGATTATAATTTATCAACTCAGTTAATAAAACCAAATTATCTTGAGCTGTACAAGCTTCGTTTGAGGCGAACACTGTATTGTTTATGAGGAGCAAATACGGCCTGCTAATGAAAAAGTATTGATAAGATATCGAGATAATTTAACCTAATTGCTATAGCTATATCGGTTGCATTGCTTCAAGAGCTGTTCATATTTGTGATATAACCAGTACTATTGCGGTTGAAAAGAATTTACAGGATAGATAACATTTTCGCGCAAGTGTTATCATATTGGTGTATATTAGTTCATTTGTGACATACAAGAACTTTGGAGCAAATAACAGGGCGTAAAAATCTCACTTAGATCACTTTGAATTATCATGTCAGGCTGACAACATATTATACACAACGGAAATTCTCGGAATAAAATGGAAACTAAATGATATTTCCAGGTGAAAGGTGAGGCCAAGGCACGGGTTCGAAACCCGTTGAAGAACATGATGCTCATTTTCAGGTGCTGCGTCAGTGGGAGAGTATAACAGGGTAATTTCTTTTTAACAACTGAGTTGATAACGTAAATTGGCTACCGTAAAGAGTTTAAAGTCTGACGTTCGTCAGAGCGAACGAAGGGCTAACGCTCGAAACGTTAACCTTTAAACTCTCTACGATGGCCAATTTACGTTATCAACTCAGTTGATAACACTAGATTACTCTATCAATCAATGGGTTTACTGTTGAACAATCCATTTGGCCTTACCGCTTCGTAAGTGTTATGAACACGCACTCGAAACTAGGTGAGAGCATTTCATCTCCCCTGCACATAAAAATTAATACTGATCACGATTGACACATAATAAGATCTGGGGGTGATTCACAATATCCATCCTAAGTACTAACCGAATCAGCGTTCACATAATCACATAATTTCGAGTGCAATTTGGATTGAATAACGAGCAATTTTTTTCAAAAACCAGCAAAATGCACAAGCCCGTGGGAAAGTGCAATTTCTGTTCTTTAAGAAAATTTATTAGCGTCATTCATTCCAAATTGCCAGGGAAATATCATGTGATTACTTATTGATTATATACACGAAAAAAAAAATTCGATAAATATTTTTTTTTAATTATGCAGAAGCAAAGCGCGCGAGTCACGGTAAAAAATAATTTATTTAAACCCTGTGCTTATGGTCAAAACGGTCGCTTTCAATCAAAACAACAATTTCCTGAATGTATGATAAATTATTAACCGCAAAAAAAGTTCAACGCATGGCTTAACATATTGTCACTATCTTTTACACCGAATAATCCTTTACTGCCCCGAATCAACCCTCCTCTATATCGTGTCAGCTGAACCTGCATTTCTCTTTGCCAAAGAGGATAAAAAATTTTTCATGTATGTTATTTATGACGAAATTAGATCAGAAGATAAGAAAAGACTGAGATGTTATAATGATACAGGATTAGTTTCCAGTTATGTAAACAACTGACCGATGTGATCAGCAACTTGCAGTTTCTCATGACAGTATCACATCGCATTACACATTTGTAGAACTTATGCGGTTTTGCTCTGCTTGCACTGTGACTTCATTGGAAATTTAAGACTAACCAGATTGACTTATAAATAGAGATACTGTTTCCGCGTAGTAATATATTCATCATATCTATTACGACAGTGCAATTAACCTTTCGCCTCGCCTTCTTTCACGATCAAGTTCTTTAAATAAACATAAATTTAGTGACCCTTTGAAGAACTTTTCAGTCTCAAAATAGAATTTAATTCTCATCTATTACTACAAGAAAATGAGCAATCTGGGGGGTTCAAATGAGCTCAAGCAAAATAATGAAGTTGTTTGTAGACTTATTGATTTTCAAGTTCATTGGAAATATTGAACACTTGCAATATCACATCCGTTTGACAAGCCTCTGCGTTCTTCCTGTCCCACCTTGCTACAAATGCCTGATGATAAGAAGTACTCGTGTCGTTCAAAAACTTTCAGAACATGTTCCCCGAAGGTTTTAAAATAAAAACTATATTCACTGCTTCGAAACTCATCTGCAGCAAATTTCAAGCGTTTTTCGGTTTCCCATTAAGAACGGCGTGAACGGAGCACAAACAGGAAAACTCACAGGGCGTAAAATTGGCCTCTGGCGAGCGGGGCAATTACTCTCACGACGTGACGTCAATCAAAGCGGAAAAACTGCTCGCTTAACAAGTGGCTCGAACAATGAGGTGCAGCAAAGTGTAAACTGCAAACATTCCTGCTTTGAATTATCATTAGTTCAAATCTACAGGATTTGACAACAGAGCTATGCTTATAAATTGATGCTGCTTATGAAGATGTCTGGAATGTGGAATTTTTGTATTGTTGTTTAGAAATTGAGGCTTGCCGCGTAGGAATCTGAAGTGGCACAACACCTTAACAGGAATTTTGGGCGGTTAGAGCTCCTACGCACTACTCATCAAGAAGACCTGAGAGCGGAACTTTTTTTCAATCCTGGTATCCTTAGGCTGTAGCGACGTGAGGTGCTAGATATTCATTAAGCACTGACCACTTTTTACCAAAGGAAGCAAAAAATCAAACGGAGCCGAAATATTCAAACCATCAGCTATGAATAACTTTTTTGATGTTTTCCATAGCTTAACATCTTTATAAAACTCAATGGGTTTTGAAATTTAAAATTCGAGGTGAATTAAAAACGTTTGAAGTTAATCAAATACAGTGTAAGTCAGGTCTAAACTGCAATAACCTTCTCTTAAATAAAACAAAATGTTTATAAGCGAACAGTCTTTGACACTCCGTTTCCTTTCATGGTCTGTCTGCGTAACATCGAGATATTGAAGATATGGCTATGTACCTAGGTTGTTCGGCCTTAGTTTGCTGGAGGTACCGTTCTTTCCAAAGTTTATGGGACGATAGCTCCACTAATATCAGCTAGCCACACGCGGTGTTTATCAGATCTCGTAAGCAGATCGGTGGACAAATGTTTCTCTGACATAGATTTGCTTTTAATTTGATGATTCTGCTCTATTGTTGTTGTTTTTTTTTCTACTCAATGCTGTGATATGATAATTGAGCGCAATTAAATATTTCAAGGTGAGAAATGACACGAAAGGCGTCAAAAACAAACAGGACATCAAACTTTATCATCGAAAATATTAATATTATTAGTAATATTATTATTATCATCGAAACATGAGAAATAAGAGCCAACTTGTCTGTCGTTTAAGGCGGGTTTTGCACAAGTATATCGCAGTGCAGTGAACTTATCTCGAGTAATGTTAGAATTACAAACGATTAATCAAAAAGTCTACAAACTACCTAAATTCCAAAGGTTAAAGTAAAATCCGCTCATTTGTTTGGAAACGTAAATTTGTTTTGAAATAATAGTTTTTAGAATAATTTTCGAAATAATATTGTGATGGAGTCAGGGCTTATTGTAAAGAGGGTCGAAGCTCAAGCATGACTAAACAGCATCAATCATTTTTGACTCCAAGCTTGACTAATCACGCGTTCATTTAAGATGAGACGTGCTCAATCATGTACTTTTGCAGATGATGTTCATCTCAAGAAGATGAATGCTAGTTTTCTCAAAGTTTGACCGCTCAGTATAATCTATTAAATCGTGAATTCTTTTTTGGTCGAGGCTGAGAAAATCTGACTGGTTTGAACTTGACTACATACCAGACGCACAACAAAATCTTTACAAATTTAGAAGTGATGACGTCGTCAACGCTTTAAAGAAGAGTCTACCAATTTGCTTTTATTTCCTATAGAGTTACAAAGAAAACTCTAGAAGATTTCGTCCATTTTAGAGTTCCTTTTGGTACGAAGCTCTTGATGTTGGCATGGCAGGCACAGTAATTACAATAATTAAGTCGGGCAATGCGGAACTCAGTCGAAATGATGCATTCAATTGGAAACAAAACCATCGGATAACAAAAGAGGTTATATTGGTTTCAGAAAAAAATCGATAACGTGCTGCTTAGCGGCATAAAAATGATATTGTTTTCATGTTGGAAATATGACGAATATGACGAGATGCAGTTTTATATTTCATCGCATAGTTTTCTAAATAATCAGAATTTTTTTCATGTTAATTCACGCTTTGATTAAGAACGGTAAGGTTCAATTTCATGACCTATCGGTGTAAGTCGAGTTGACATTAGAGGGAAAGATAACAGAATCTTTACCAATCAACCGGGAAAACACTATCAAAAACCAATATAGAGAAGAAAACTATCTGAGTTGAAATAAAACCGTCTATCGTATGCAAAAGAGCGGGTGATACGGTTTTCAAATGTTTCTGAGAAATTTGAAAATATTCTCTTCCAATAATGTTATTTTTTTTCCTGTCTTGTTGTTTGTAAGTCTGTCAGGAAACCAGTTCATGTTTTCGTTCATATTGCACCTTCGAAAAGTAATTTGCCTTTGTGTTAAGGCATTCCTGTCTTGGGAAAAGTCTTTGAAATATTAAGTACCTCGTGTTTACATACAGAGCATCGATATATTTACCCAAACCACATTCATTAAACTTGGAGTTTACTTTAGCAATTGAAGGTAGCACCTGAGATGCTAACGAAAGCGAACTGAATGGATCAATTTAAAACGACGAAAATGAAATTGCTGTGACAATATTGATCATCAGAGCTTTGCATGAGGACCGTTCGTACGCGCATATCTTGGGTATGCTTTATCAGTGCTCGTTTTGGGCCAGTAATTTCATTGCAAAACCTGAGAATTTTCTATCGGTTAATTATTTCAGCGAAACAGGAAAAACTTTTGAAAGCAGCTGGAAGTAAGCGATGCGTAGAAAAGACGAACACAAAAGCACATGATATTAAATTCTGTTTCGTTAACAAAAGCGTCTTTCTTTGACGCTAAATTCTTAAGTTCGAAACGTGTTGAGACAAAGCCCTAAAAAGGCGAACTCAGGGAAGCCTGACCCGCAGGCGAAAAACCAATTTAAGCCCATCTGCGCAAAAGCCTCTGCACTTCAAGAGATATCTCTTGCAACTGAAAAAGACTCGTCTACCACGAAGAACTTGCGCTCTTCGTAACTTAATAAAATTGACCTATAGTTAGAATCGAATTATCTAGTCTGCATGAAAGTTCGTTAATTAATACTTAAGTTGTTTTTTTCCCTTTTATTGTCTATATTGTATTTAGAAAGATCTTTGTTCCATCAACCGTGATAAACCATTACCATAACAAGTGACACATGATCACTTGTTTTCGAAACGGCCAAACCAGTTTTGACATCATAATAGCCCAGTGTATTCTACGACGCACGCCAGTTGTGAGACGTTAGTTTCGGGGGTGAACAAGTTAAGTTATAGTCTACGCTTCCACAAATCGCGTTCAGAGCCAAGATCATCAGATTCTCTTTAATCTTTGTGCAACAGGGGAAATCTAAAGATTTTTGAAGAGGAACAAGTTACTTGTCTAGTGACGCAGTTTACAGACAGAAAGATGATGGTAAGTTTTCGCGCCGAAACTGATAAAGTTTATACAACTTACGGACCATGACAGAGAATTGAGCCATTACTGAACAGAAAACAAGATAGTGCTTGCCTTCATAGCGGTTAAAAGAACGAAACGTATTTTACTTGCTTTTTTTATTAGTACGACGTAACTCTTCTACATGAAGCGATGTTCATTTTGCCATAAAGTTACCTGTGTAATAGAGCTACCTTAGTTTCTATTCTTAACAACACCCGACGAGTTTGGTTTTTTTTCCTGTTTCGGATTATTATTTAAATCCTCGTCGTGGAGCGTTTTATTCTGAATTTCCTTGCTTTGGAGATAAACGGATATTTTTAGTGCCAGCAGTCAGGCGCCTAATGGATGGATTATTCAATATTAGAACTAATGCTGAAAAGTAGAGGCACTGTATTACGTGTTGTGGCCGACTCCTGCAATTCACGCATGAGTGCGTTCCTATTCACAAAAACATGTGCAATCATTGGAGTGGAAAATTAATTACTTTCTGCACGCCAGAAATGTGCGCTCAAGGGCACTCGATTCACTTTCGACTGTTTTGGTTACCTCATCAATGAAGCTGAATTCACTTTTGTTACTCGGCGCATTAAAAAAGCGGATTTCAGAATTGAGCAATAACCTGTTTGCTATATTTTGGTGTCACTGTCTTAAAAAAATCTATGAAATGCAAGTTATTCAGTAAATCCTTGTAGAAACTATTGTCTAATTTATTGATGTTAAGAATTTGTATCTTGCTTAGTTGCAAAAACTTTGACAACATCACAAAATAGATAAGAAGATAAAAAAACCATAGGACATTTGAAACAAGGGATTATATAACTCTGATGAATCACTTTTCAGTGTGTTATGTCCATCTGAATTCGCAACAAATGATCAATGTTTTATACATAAAATTACATGACAGCTTTAAACTTAATCTTGCAAGTTTCAAAATTTCTTTCACTTTCTTTAATCAAGAATCGAAAGTTCAGGACGTCTACTTTTAGTTTTGAGATAAAAAATCATAGCTTCAAATAATAAATATATTATTTTTAAAATATGATGTAATGTTAATTATAACAGTCCATTATAAAAATTTATTTTTTATTGGACGAGATAAATTAATCACAAAAGTTTTCCTATTTTGGATAATCAAAGCGTCAAACAAACTATTTTAAGGCCAAAAGGGGATAATAATCAGCAGCACTTATAGTGGACTTTTTGTTCTGCTATTTTGTCACTTGGAAACCGAAGAAAACATTATAGTGTAAACAGTGTATAGCGACTCGTAGCAGAGTAATTCGCTTGGAGATGAAACAGACAATATATCCAATAATGACAGCCAATATTTGGAATATGAAGGCTTTTATTTGTTACAGTGCTGATTTTTAAAGAACTTGTAGTGTTGTAGTATTGGCTGAAGCGGCAGACAGCGAAGTCGCAATATTTTTCAGAAACAACATTAACTTCAAATGGACAATTTCCTCGTGTCTTGTTTTGGTGCAAATTTTGATCTCTTTGCCACAAATTTGCTTCGTAAAATATGAATTGTGTTGACTCTTACTGATCCGGGAAAAAAATTCCGGTCTTTTTTCAGTATAGAAAATTTTTCCAGATACACGAGTCAGACGAAATTATCTTTTGGCACTATTTCAAGACCTATAATACCTGATTAAGACAGACGTCGCCTTTGACTGCTCCGTCTGTCCTTAAAACACAAAGTACAATATCTCGAGTTGTTATAATTGGATAAGTGAAACAGTTTGGTGGTAAAACACAGCAACTATTCCTCATGCCTATGATACAAGTCAAGGAAACCATCTCCATTCATTTGCAAACGAAAGTTGTTGTTGTTGTTTTTGTTTTTCATCTACAATCCAGTTAAAAAATTCTCATACTTCCACAGTTACCTCATTCTTACTCAGTCTCGACACATTGCTGTTGACTCCAATATTTATCTCTCGATATATCTTCAACTGTTATGATGAGACCACTATATCTATACTGGCCTTTTAAATATATTGATTCAAGTAAGACAAGACGATGGCATAGAGCTAGAAAAAATACTTTTAATTGTTGTTGAACTATATTTTGGTTATTGGCAAATTCACTCAGCACAAAAATATCAAAATCAAGATAACTTTGGGAGAGGTCACGTACGCTGTTTTTCTCGCTTTTTCTTTCAAATCATGAGACCGTTTACTTTGGCTGAGGTTAATGCACGTGTCATTATTAACCCAGATCTCAACGTCACCTGCAATGCTATTGAGGTATCTTTTGTTTGTTCTAAGGCTCATTGTTAAGATCAAAATTAATGACTAGTTTTAAATACACTTGCAATGTATATCATTGGTTCCTTTACGTCAAAGTGAAATGTGACGTGGGTATAACAACATCATTAAATAATCTTACAATTAAACCATTGGGCAAAGTTTAATTTGTAAAATTCCCTGTAAGTTTCAAGCCTTTTCGAGAATTTTGCCAGGTTACCATAGCAAAGGCCCAGAGTATTTTTAGTGTGCTTCATAACATAACAACAAGTATTGCCTCTTAATAATGCCAATTTTTATCGATAATCGTTTTACCTGGGTAAGATCATTCACAAAGGGGGTTACAGTCAGAGCTCTTAATTCTACAAGGAATTCTACAAGCGTGGGAAATCGCTAAGAGATAATCACATAAAGCTTAGTTGGTCTGATGTCCGGCGCGGAGAAAGCGACAAAGATTTCCTGTTTACTAAGAAGAGATTGTGAGTAAAAAATACGATTGCGCTAAAAACAGTCCATGATGTCAACTATCAAGGGAGCTGTTATATATCTTTGAACAGTTAAATGCAAGTTGTACATTTTCAACTTCTGTAGACAAGAAATTCGGGAAATTTCCCATTTTTTACATGATCATCTGTTTCTACAGGATCATTCCCTCACTGAAGTTTCTTCTTCCTTGAATTCTTTCGTAATACATCCAGCTACGATATTGATAACTTGAGCAGCAGAAAACCTGACTGTCAACTCCTCCAAAGAGAACACTGAAGCAATTCTTTTTTTTCATTGGTAGATTAAAAAAATTGAGAAATCTTCTCCCAAAATGTGAAGGAAACATTTGCGCCATCTATCCATTCCACCTCAAAACTCTTCATGTGATAGAAACCAAGAAACGCAATTAAATATTTGGCGGACAAATAAATCATTTTGGCTATACCAATATAAGGTAGTTTGACAATTGTTTAGTTTTTTTATGATACCTAGGCTGATTTTCCGATTGATCAAACATCGTATAAATGGATTTTAATTGTTTTCATTTTACGCTTATTTTGCGTCAGCGCTGACGTGAGCAGAGGTAATCCCGACTTTGAAATGATACAAATCTGCAAAAACAAATCATTAATATTTTATCTAATGATGACTCTTTCCTGCCCCAAATAACCCCAAGTGCTGCCTTACCTAAGCAACGCTTACAAGCAACAATTGGACCCCTGGACAGCAAAACCGACACACCTCAAACGAATCCTTGATTCAAATTTTCCTCTTATAAAGGCGAGGAAACTGGTACAAACTGAAAAAGCAAGAAAAAACACTGAGTTGTATCTTGATTTCAAATGATAGTTGTTTAGAAACGAATTGTCATTGAACTAAACGCCAATGAGTTTTATTTTGTATCGTTTCTCATGTGAAACATAACCCTTTTTCTCCAAATATTGCAATGAGCAATGCTGTAGTTTTGTCAAAAACACATAATAATTGCTTTTAAAACAGCTTTGGACTGTGATGCCAAGTAAATGTACGCACCAGGAGTCTCTGACAACAATAAGAATTTGTTTAGAGTTAACCGCCTTTGTAATTGTTTTTGCTGTTGTTTCTAAATTTTGGTTTGGTTTGGATAAAAAATTGCTGTTTGATGATGTTACAAAACTTATCGCTTTATCGATTTTCAATAGCACACAAAAAACACGCGTCAGTATAGTAAACAGAAGCCAATATATAACTCATATATTGACTTAATGCTTCCCCGTACTGCTATTTTTATTTTGTGACGCGTGAGGATTTAGCGTAGTAGTAAAACCGCATTGTATATGACCGGCATATATATTTATCGTGTCTTCACTTAAGTGATCCTATTCCTATAGTTACACTCGTACTGTTTTTCTTACGATGCAGGCATCCACTGTTGAAAAGACGACACTTGCGAGACCACATCTGAGCACTGTCAAGGCAAAACAGCATAAAGAAGCAATAAAACCACGGATTTTTTCCTTCACTGCCGAGGACCTGTATAATTATCTGCACCAGAAGACTGGAAATGTTGAGACGATTAATATTGAAGAGTATAAGAACAAGAAACTGGAAGAAAACGGTACAGGAATGGACAAGCCATCCTCGTGTAGGTTGATGTTGTTTTTTCCAGACATGATTGTTTGTTTGAATTATTATTTACAGCTTGTTTGCTTTCTAAGAGGCCAGCGCCAATTTCAGAAGAAAACTATTCTGTTAACCTAGCTCTTTTCCAAAATGACTAGTCGAGCGATTTCCGTTTTGGCTGAATCACTTCCAAACCCGAAATATGTCGACAACAATAACATACAAAAAGGTTTCTTAATTTCGTTGTGGATTTGTACGACCTAAAGCCTAAATCATAGGAAATATAAAGTGTAAATTTAGAAGCGAATGGTTCTCGGAAAGAATTTTGATTTAAAAAAAACGTAACGATTTTTTGGAGTGAATATACATATATATATATATATAAAATCGCTGAAGTTAGGAAGAAATTAAAATCTCATTCTTTTCTTCAGTTTGCAGGATCTGTAACAAGATTTACACAATCCGCTGCCCTGTTCATCCTCCTTCTAGCCAATCAGAGCCGAGCGTTCCAGGGGACTTGAACAGCTACGCCATGAAGTCGTTCCCAGATGTAGTTCAGTTGTGTAAGTCCAGCATTCCTGGCAAGAAATATGGAGTGTCCGCCAAACAACACATACCGGTCGGAACGTGGATTGGACCGTATGAGGGGAAACGGATTAATCCAGAAGATGTAAAACCCAATATGGACTCTTCCTTTTTGTGGGAGGTACGAGACAAAAACTTATATATAGTTTCAAGTTAGGTATTGAGGAAAGTATTTTTTTTTTAAACCTGGAAGCTAAGCTTAAAAGCAGGATTTCCAGGATGTGCAGTTTTACGATGAATGATTGAATGGAAAGTACTTTGCTTTCTGCTCGTCAATTTACTTGTCAGACTACTTCTCCTCTCTTCATCAACTAATGTCGCAGGTTTACATAGAATTTAACCATTCCAACACAGCAAACAGAATATATAAAAAACTTTCCATTGTGCTTGCGTTTCGATGGATGACTTAAATTTGACATTTCCTCATTTTAGATCTACAAAGAAGGCCAAATTTTGTATTATCTCGATGCAACGGACGAGAACTCGTCCAGCTGGATGCGATTCATCAAATGTGCCCGCCACAGAAGCGAGCAAAATCTCTTCGCTTTCCAGTACTGTGCCAACATTTACTACCGAGCATTCAGGGATATTCCTATAGGAACAGAGCTGCTTGTATGGTACGAAGATATCTACCCACAATACTTTGGGATTCCGATGAGCATTCATGACTTGAATTCAATGGGTAAGTCCAGGTTTTCTCGACATCTCTTTCATACTCGTTGCCTCTAACGAGGACACAAACAGAATGCCACACAACTGGCTATATCGCCTTCGTTTCGATAATACCCTTTAATTATTCCCACCTGTCAACGTTGGAAGAAAAATGATCTAATTGACAGGGAAGTGAATGGCTTAGACAAAAATTAATAACGATTTTGGCATTAATAACAAGAAATGTAAAACTTGTCAGGCAGTTTTCCAAGTTCGACAGTGATTCTAACTTTAGTGCACTTTACCCTTTAGGGTCCAGGCCTTACCCGGTAATGGCAACGACCAATACAGATGGACATCAGGTCTCCCCCATTCCTCCTCCGACAATAACAGCAGTAAAACAGGCCTCTCCTCAATTACAAACATCTTCTAATAGGAATACACCACTTGACTCGCCTCCTACAAGAACTGCGCAGACTCCAAGGGCGACAGAAAGAGAGGTCCATGTAAACAAACAGGCTCAAAAGGAAAACATCAAGAGGAAACATGAGGAAAGTAATGGCATCAACAAGAGGGCGAAAATACAGAACATGCCTAAGACTGACGGACCCAAGGAGATGCTTAGAAAATTGGAGGAAGCACGTCTCAAGGACCTTCATGACAAGACGGAGTTGCCGTGTGAATGGCCTCGTGTTGCTGATGGGGAATTCATCTTGGAAAATGGCGAGCCAAAGATCTGGCATTGTGGTCAATGCGACAAGTCTTTCGCTCAGCGCAGCTTGCTTCAAATGCACATCTGTGCAAGGAATCCAAACAGGCCTTACCAATGTGGCCATTGTTCGCAGGAGTTTGCGCATCCAAACGAGCTGCGCACGCATGCTGTCATTCATTCTGGGAAAAAACCATTCAAGTGCGGATTTTGCTCACGTACTTTCGCCGGAGCAACAACTCTTAACAATCATGTCCGAACACACACTGGAGAAAGGCCTTTTACCTGCAACAAGTGCTACAAAACATTTTCACAAGCATCGCAGCTCAGCAAGCACAAGAGATCTCTTTACGAATGTTTCCCCAGAGACAAGTATTGATTCATAACACATTCGTGTTGTTCGTATTACACAACATTCTGTACAGAGGAAACTCACACTCTAAATGTACTTTTAGCAGCACCGTCTTTCAAGATATTATAGTTATTGACATTACCTAAAGGTTATGCTTACGCTACGATTTTCGCCTTTCATACACACCGGAATATAAATAATTCGCTTGTGCAGTCAGCACTCATTTATTAGTTCATAATTTTTTTAAAAATATTACCTTTCCAATTCTGTACAAAGACGAGCAAGTAAGTGAAACAAAGCCGAGGGATTGATTTTTTAGACATCTAACTTCCTCGTAGGTTAATTTACGAAAATAAATCTTTTTTTATTCCAGCTCATAAAAACCGTAGTGAGGTTGTGAGAAAGTCGGAGTCGCTTTTTATTTTACTTATTTCATTGTCGCGATGAGTTGTATTCAAAATACACCTGTACTTAAAAGTCCAAACCAGTTGTATAGAAAAACAAATCTAGTCTATATTTAGATGCTTACTTAGCACCTCGTTATCATGATGACTGGACTAAACAGAAAAACAAAACGCTTGAGGATCATATTGATAGAGAGGAATAACCGGACATCAAGTTCAAAAATAGATAACAAAACTAAATTTCTTATCTTTACTCACCTTAGTAAATAATTATCTAATATACTTATAAAAGTAAACATTTAAGATTAAGGCAACTACTTAAAAGCGTTCAACATATATCTTTATAGACTTCATCTTGTAAATAGTCATCGACATTTTGTACATTTATCAAACCTTTCAAAAAGGTACACTCAGAATTTAAGCCATTCGTTTTAGTAATGTGAATTAAAAAGTCAATTATAAGTAAATAATTTCCATGTTTTATCAAAAGTTTTTGTTCGTCTTTAATATTTGGGGTGATTATTCGATTACGTCACTTTGGCAAATGAACATTATAGGGGACCGCGGCATTTTGGATTGGTGGTCTCCATCCAACCCCACTAGTCTGTTACACTCAGCGATAAGGTATGAATGCGACATTATCCCTTCACTTTTTCACTCACATCTAAAAGCAAATTCAGCCAACAGATGATCATAAATCTCATTATTGACACATACTAAGAACTGGTGGTTAATCCACTCAGTATCTCTAAGTAAAAGAAATGAGAAGACTCCCCTAAAATTCTAGCATTTCTTATCATTATTTTAACTTAAAATTTGGCAAAATTTTATGAGAAGTTGGCCTGTTCAATACGCTTACTTAGTAAACGCAGCACCATAATCGCGCTGAGCAGAAAAAGGGACAGAAGTTTGAGGAGGGTCGCGAACAGACTCAGTTCTTATCTGCGTGCAAACGGCCATCGCGCACCGTTAACTAACTGGAAGCCTGGAACAGGCTGGCAAGGAGTTCATTCTTGTCATACATGGAATTCGGAAATAAAAAAAAAGTTCCATGCATGGAGATGACTCGACGTATAAACCATTTGTTGTTCGTAGTCACGTATTTTAATCTGCAAATGTGTCCAATGATATCAGCCCGTTTTTAGGTAAAAAACATCCAGATATTAATAACTGGTTGATTATGAACTCACTATTAAGTCATCACCGTAAATTTGATATTTTTATGTTATACGAAAGTAAACATATAAAAAAATCTGCTCTGTCAGCGTGCGTGTTCATCATGTCATTGCCTAAGATACTAACAACCAACCTCGAGAAAGTTCGTCGTCCGAGACAGATTTTGCTGATTCACGCGCGACCAGAGAACATGACCGAGTGAATGAATATGTGAGGAAGGCTGTTTTAACTGTGCCCCAAACTGCAATTTTTCACTTTTATCATTTAAGAACGAGAGACTCTTTGAAAAAGGGCTGGGTAGCCTTGATGGTACCAGTGATTGCTCAATACTCAGAGTTTTACCTCCGCCGTCGATAATTCGAAGTTGAGTATAAACCACGACATTAAGGTAAGGAAAAAAACAATGAATGTATATCCTGCATATGATGACATGCACCTGTTATTTTCATTCATGTATTTACATTTCTATGAACGAAAGAGAACTTCAGTTTATATGCTAAACTGGCCTTTTATCATTCAATAGTCAATTTGACATAATGCAGCTTCAGACAGTGTTCTTGCACTCTCTTACTCCTTCACTTGCGTTGTATTAGACTTCAGATTGGCTTGTGACACTGCTTATAAGTCATAGGATAGCTGTTGGAGGGAACTCGACGGTAAAGAAAATTTACTCTGGGTTTAATTTGAAAACCGTCAAGGGTTCTGGTTAAAAGACGAGGGAATCCAGGTTGGGTTCCCACCAAATATGTTGCGTCGCAATGGCGGAGAAACTAACTTCTGAGAAGCTGACCCGCGCTAGTGAGAGGTAACAAGACTCTTCTTTATACCATCTTAGTTCTTCCTCTTCGTCGTAAAAGTTCTACAGTCAACTACCATTACTAAATCGTCTCTCTTGTATATGTCTCTAAGTACCGACTATTGGCCAGCATGTTTGGGTTAGGGGCGACTGACTTTGGGGATTAAATCTCTTGATCAAAGCGCCAACCCGAAAATACTTTCAAGACACTTGTAGAAATAAACAACAAAGTAAAATAAAACAAAAACAGGAACTTTGGCGTTGGTCCTAACCAAGCCGGTCGGTGGAAAAACCCAAACATGACCACTATCGGAAGTCATTGTTCGAGAAACACGCTTCACAAACAACTCAAAGGTAAAAACAACGAGCTCTGTCTTACAGAATTTCGTGCACAAGACTTACATGAGGACCTCAGAATAATCAGTCAAACCTGAACAGTTGTAAAAAACTTACGATAAAGTACAAAACACGACCAATTCAGAAAGACAGAGATCAGACAACTAGACAAAACAGACGACAATCAGGAAACTCTCTGTGCGGGGTTCTTAGACTATCCAAGAATGGTAACCTTGAAAAACCTTGTACTTTGATACTTCACAACAATAACATTTGCAACAAGTCGACACCTCAGAGCACGTCTCACCGTTTAACTCGCTCTCAGTCCGGACAACAGTTAAAATATAGAGTTATTTTTGGTTTGTTAGACTGTAATTTTCAGTTTTCCATTAAGTAGTTCGGTTTTACCAGCCGGTTCAGCTTGAGCGCAAATGAGCCCAACTCCAGATTTAACACAGCACCAAGTCGCTGAAACCGGCCGAGGAAATCAGTCATAAGTTGTCGAAAACTCCCAATATGCTTACGTCCTTCCTCGAGGGAAACTCTTAGTGTGTATCGCTCACAGGGCTTTTCTTCCGCTTTTACGACAAAAGCTGATGACGGCTTTCAGGACGCCCGACATGATCACAACTTGCTATAAGTTTTTATTTGGTCGAACGGGGGAAATGGCGTAGCAAAGCGCGTTATGAAAGAATTTATTAACGTAGCCAGCTATCTTTTAAATATTTAATTATCCAGTAAAATATCACAATTTGCAACGTGCCAGTTAAGGCGAAAATTACAGAAAGTGGCCTGAAAGAGAACAAATTTGGAAACCCGACTAAGACTACTGGTTCACCAGTCTTAAGATGTTTCGGGATCTAGAACTGTTCGTGGCAAGCGGCTAAAATAAAAGATTCTAGAGAACTTTAAAACGTTTGACGGCTACTTTTGATCGGTCTACTTTATGACAGTTCACGGTTAAAATATTTTTTCTTTTTAATGGTTGACGGTGAAATTTTGCTCGTTTGACCCCATTGAGACCTTCCTATGACGTAATGACTCATTTATTTCATATTTGAGTCAGTTCGTACCAATAAAGTCTGGAAAAATGATTAAACATTAAAATCTCACGAAGTACTTCATTGTAGGCTCATGAGTCCGAATAAGTATGTTTTGATACTGTGTGAAAGCTATTCTCTTCTCCGCCGGTTCTGACATATTTCCGGATCCTGCCGTTAATATTTGTTGATGATTCGGATGTTCGTCATTTAAGGCCTAGAAAGTTCACCTCCCAACGGAAGGATGTATTTTTAGTACGCAGTCATTGTCTTTTAGCGTAATTGAACACCGTTTTGTTATCAAATTCCTTTAAAACCTCGTTCAATTGTTCGGTGTAGAAGTACGTATTCCCCGTTCCAAGTCTAAAAATATTCAAACCACAAGTGCGGAGTACAGACGAGGCGAGATGAAACCTTTCAAGTATCTTCACTTCGCTAATTCGTTTTCTTCTACGTCATGGCAAGACGATTGAAGACAATGACTGCTCATTATGTAGAGAAATCCATCGGTGAAAGGAACAGATCACGATTTAAAAAACTGAGTCAACCATTCCTCAAGATTTATGTGGTTTTAGAAGTCTATATGTCTTGAAAATTGTCTGTTCCTCTTTCGAGTAAGTTTGACAAGTTTCAATCAAGAGCAATTGTATGGTTTCATTGTGATTACTTAACGCTTATAATGCAAATTATGACTACTTTTCGAATGACCTTAGTGAACTTTTGCCTTCTTTGCTAATCAAAGAAAACTAGAGAAACACTTTGCGGAATATCTTGCCTTGCTTTCAAATGAATTAATGATCTAACGTCTCGACGTCACCACGTGTCAAACAGAATTTAGCCTGAGCTTTTTTTATATCACACACTTTCTATGGTTGAGTGGCTTTAGAAATTCTTGAACAATTAACTCAAATAAGGACATGATCTATTCAAAGTTATAAACGAAAAGACACAAGAATGGAAATACTTCACAAGAAGACCCTATGACGGTACAGACGAAACTACTACAAGACCACAGGCTACACATTGAAACAGCCTGCCAAAACTTCACGTGCATATCTCGTGCTGCACTCACTTAGAAATGGGGTTTATTTCAAATTCAAGTTATTTCATGATGACAATGAAAAGAACACTATAGAAGTAAAGGGTAAGATTGACCAATCACATAACTTTATATAGCTTATTTGAAGCCAAGCGTGAATAAGTGACAGCTTAAACTGAAAAGAACATTTTGGAACTTTAATTCAACGCCCGTCCAAAGTGTTCAGATTGTTTTTAAATCCATCGGTGCATTTTAGCCTTCAGCTAACAGAATTTATGACAGAGGACTCAAACAAACCAGACGTGTCCAGCCAAAATGTCTCATCTGTTTAGTGAAGAGACTAAAAGGAGGCTAGAGATAAATTTGGTAAGCATTAAACAGAGAAAGTAACTCTGGGAATGTTCCGCGTAGAGCAAACGAAATATATTATGATTTCAGCGGGGAACAAAAAGGAGGGTTTTATCACTTGTCTTCTCTATGCCTCCTAGCTAAAAAAGAAAACATATTGTGTTTCAGGACTGTGGCTATATATTTGTTAATTTACTGTTGGAAGCACTTATTTCCACCAGACTCTTTCTATGATCGACTGCTAAGGCAGATATCACTCATTGCATTTGCAATTTAAAGCACCAATTGTTCTGCTGTGACACTCAGACCTAATTAATTTACATATGCTATCTCACGTAGATTTAATGTTCAAGTTAATTCGAGAAACGGTGCCATTGTTGTGACATATAAAATCTTTTTAGTTGAACCAGATTGCTTTGCCGTCTAACCTGGAACCGAATGCACCTTCAAATCAGAGTCCCAGATATTTCACCGCTTCAGAAGTGTTTACCGTCCTTTATGGCCAGACAACACGATGGCAGGTGAATAAAGACGAACTTGGTTCTCAGTCGGCAGGGCGTTTTGTAGCACAAGAGGCACTCAATCCAGGTAATTTTTGTAAACACCTTTTACAACGTTTCGTGCACGGAAAATGTTTTGCCTAAAAACCAAAATCAGTCACGCGCGACCTCGCGTCAAGGCGCGTGTTTGTGAGAAAGGACACGCGCGCATTTTGACCAACTTTCTGATTTACTTTCGTTGGCCTAAGATTGTCTCTCAGGTATTTACGGTTTTGTAGAGGACGGCTATGCCTTTTTGCTTGGCTTTAACAATTAATGATGCGTCCAGCAATACTGTATTTCCTCGTCTGTACCTAGCAATTGAGAAACGAACCATCGCGTTCTCTCCTTTACGATCAAAAACAGCAAATATTTATCCTCGAAAAAAATTTGTGCTTGAAAGCAAAACCATCTAAGCCGTCTAAATAGTGTCTTGTGTATAATCACGTAAGATGAAACGGGCGGAAGATATGTCGCAACAATAGTTATCTGAACTGCTATCCGGTGAGGCTTAGTGAATATTGTTAATTTGTTATTTGAAGGGCTTGTTTCCGAGAAGATCAAACAGCTGGTGCTGAACGGAAATTGGGTCATTCATAAGGCCTCGGTCAAATATTATGCCCCTCAAAACCACAGTGGTTGTTTGAAAAATTATTTAATTCTATGACAATTACTAACATCATAACAAAATATTAACATCTTAACAAGTATTTTAGCATTTAGAAACATAAATTCGGAATGATTGGTAGTGTATCTAGATCTGATGTTTTTCCTAATTGTGACTTGCATTGGAAGCGCTCTGTTCACCGTCTGGATGCCATATCTATGATGTGTAGTCATGCAATTAACTAAAACCCATTTACAACTGAGTTTTGTCGCACGAAAATTAGGTCTAGACCGAACGTGACGTAAATCCAAACATTTTCGTCAAAATTGTGCAATATTTTCTAGTATGTACCGCAGATTTCCGTTCGAATAGGCGAAAGAAAGCTAAATTGGTCATTATTTCAATGAGTGCTATTTGCGATAACAGTTTTGTGGTCTTTAAAGTTCATAATACAACTCCTTAATAAATCTTTTCAATCAAAAATACGAGACTGGGGGGATACTATTCAATTAATTATGATAATAACGTACACGGATGCATTGCTGTTTAAAGTAAAAAGGTAGAAAATATTTAAAGTATTTTCATTCCTGAGCTTTTTTTGGTTATATCTTAAGATCGAATCCTCAATACACGTTGGCTTTGAAACTTAGCGAATGCTACATAATTCCATCTTAGGCATGGATCAGGGAACTCGTTGATGAGCATTGGGATTAAAAAAACAACCTATAATAAAGCTACTGATCATCAAGTTCCATTCTTAATTTAGTCACAAGAAATTTGATTTAATGATCTTGAGAAAAGTATGGAAAATTTAAGCAAACAAATCCACAGACTTTTCCACTTACTTGAACTGACAGGCAGCGTCGCGCGAGTGGGCAGATGGAATGTTTTATCTATTTGAAGCATTGCTCAGGGCAAAAAAAATGGGGAGCACAAAGAGATTTATTGAAATTCTAATTGCCAGAGATAATTCTAGTTTTTATAAGTATCTAGCGTAGACAGAACATGTCAGAGCCTGCACTTTCATCAAGTACTATCCACTTAATCATGGAAAAGATAACGACAGAGTTTTAATTTAACTCAATCGTGTGAAGTCTGATTTTGCTATTATTACTTACAAAATGAATTGTCCAGGTCGTGATGTTGCTTGACGCTAAATCGAAAAATATCTCTCAGTTCTTTTATATGGTCGTTGCCGAATAACCAGAATAAACCAGTGATAACGTAGGGGGAAAGCACTAACTGGTCACTCCTGAAAAGATCAGTGAAAATATTCCTAAAGAGGGTCGGAGCAGTTTTATTGTGATCACTAATTTTTCCTTCAGCGTGTGAAGTTTGTCAAACAATGCCCCCCAGATCATGCGCCCTACACAGGCAACCCACTCAGCCGTTGACCGACAGACGTGTGAGCTACGCCGTCAAGTCCTTACCACCGGAATGCAAGTTTGGAGTCTCCTACTCAGCGGGGGAGGGGTGCGGTGTGTACACCAATCAGCCCATCCCTACGGGGACATGGATTGGTCCATTTGAAGGAAGACGAATTCGTCCAAGCGACGTCACATCAGAAATGGATACGTCACATATGTGGGAGGTAAATTGAAATAGGAAGTATGAAAACGCTTGCGAACTTGAGCCTTATCTCGCTGTTGAAAGACAGCGGCCAGTTGTTACCGAAAGAAAAAGAACAATGATGAGAAATTTATTGTAAAAAGGCAAAATGTAGGAGGCTGACCACAACTGTAATACAGCCGAACTGGTTTGGGAACAGTTATATAAAAAACTTGTTTTCCTCAAGAAAACAAGACCAAGACTTATTGGGAGAGGTCGAGTCCTTCCCGACAGGTTAAATTTCACAGGTGAAGAGTTAAGGGTTAAGACACTTTTATTGTAGTTTTCTCCAATGCCTGCCAATAAACGATGAGTCAGGAGTACAAGTCCAGTTTGAACTCTGAACGTTTTCTGGGTATCAAACAGTTTCCTGGTAATCGTCGAAGTAGTTTGAGATGAGAGCACAGGTCTATCATAGACCCGTTTGCTAGCCTCCTAAGTGGCCGCGAAACACGCACGAGAACGATACAAATACGTACATATCTGCAGTTTACTTAAATTCAATCATAAAGGAGGTAAGTTTCTAAAGAAATTGTGGCGCCGCGTTGGTAAGAGAGTATAACAGGGTAATTTGGTGTTGTCAACTGAGTTGATAACGTGAGTTGGCCGCCGTAACGAGTCTAAAAGCTGACGTTTCGAGCGTTAGCCCCTCGTCAGAGTTATTCAATCGCTCTGACGAAGGGCTAACGCTCGAAACGTCAGCTTTTAAACTCTTTACGGTGGCCAATTTACGTTATCAACTCAGTTAACAACACCAAATTACCTTGTTAACTTCAATCAATTCCACAGATATACGAAGGTTCCACATTGTCTCATTACATTGACGGGAGTGACGAGAACTGTTCCAGCTGGATGCGGTTTATCCGCTGCGCAAGACATAAGGGCGAACAGAACCTGTATGCATTTCAGTATAACGGAAACATTTACTACAGAGCATTCAAAGATATTCCTACAGGCACAGAACTGCTTGTATGGTATGACGACAAATACCCAATGTACATGGGCATTCCGCTCGGGGTACAAGTTAACGCTATGCCAGGTGGAGCTTCTTCAGGTGAGACATTGGGTCAAATCGATATTCAAGTAAAGGTAGTAAGTACCTTATAAGCTTTTCTTCAATATCTTGCATCAGGCCCTTTGCATCAGTCAGTAAGTGAGTCAAGATGGATTTAGTCACAATAATAACTAGACCAATATTAGTGGAGACCGGAGACAAATGACTGGGAAAGATAGATAGTGGTACTCATGCGAAGACAGCTGGATTGATAAAGAGGCGAGTAATTAGTGAATAAGTTGGCTGAAAATTCCTCATTATCACTCTGTGGGCAAAACTGCCAGCCAGCAGTTGAGCTGGTTACCTTCTTAGCTGATCACTCCATTAAACCTTGCAGTAATTGCTTCATAAGTCGAATGTGTGTCAGTCAGCTCTTTTGTGAGTCGTTCTGCCAGAAAGTCAGTTAATTGACAATCTGTCAGTTATCCTATCAGTCACTGAATCTACCATGAGGTCGCTCCGTAAGTCAATTAGTCAGAAAGTCAGCTAGATTTCTGACATTACAAACTAAGCAATCTTCACAACTTGTCAATAACTCTTCATCTACAGCCACGCACGACAGAAAACAAGAAAAAATGGCATCGCAACAGCCCAACCGACCAATAAACTCGACATCATCCCCATTTAAACCTCAAGACACTACTCGATATACCAGAACAGTCACTAGTTCTCAGTTCCCGCTCAGTACAAGCCCTCTTTGGAGTTCTCAATGTACGTAATTAGACGGATAAATAGCTAATCACCTAATAAATGATGCTATGTTAGCTTTATGTGACCCGAAAAAGGTGCAATAGTTACTGCACATGTTAAATTTACCATGAACAGAAAGAGGTAGAAGATCTATTGTTAAATATCTTTGCACACACATTGTTTCATTTTTTACTTAAGTTACCACAAAACGTATTTTCAGGTACGAAAGCTTCGCCACCTGAAGCAAAGAAACTTCCACCACTGATTCCAACATACACTTTGCATCAAAGACGATCATCGTTAGAAAGCGTACCACGAGATCAGCGGTCTCCCTTGAGAAGTGACGTGGAAAGTGACGTCGGTAACCGTGGCAACAATAAGATACCAAGCCCTACCAGCCAAACAAGCGAGTTAACATCGTGGCGATGTCAACAGTGCCATAAGACCTTCACTCAGCGAGTTGCATTGCAAATGCACGTGTGTCCAACCCAACCCACCAAACCTTATCAGTGTGGACAGTGCAGTAAGACATTCACAAACTCCTCAGACCTGCGCGCGCATGTGATATCTCATACAACAGAGCGGCCGTTCAAATGCGGCTTTTGCTCACGCACGTTCGTTGGGGCAACAACGCTAAACAATCATGTGCGGACCCACATGGGTCAAAAACCTTTCAGCTGCGAGAAGTGCGGCAAGACATTTTCACAAGCTATGCACCTCGCGAGACACGCGCGGGAATCGTGTGATCTTGTGAGTGAAAAAAGTAGAACGGATACTGTGACTACACATACGTTGTCAACATGAACTACGTGAGGTTTTTTTTTTTTTAGTTACATTTATAAAAAAAAGTTTTTAACTACTAATTCAGTCGAAAGAAACCACAGTTAAAATGTAAAAATGAGATACTAGATCAAAATGGAAAACAAAAAAGTCAGAGAAGTTAAGCTTTTAAAAGGAGAAACTGCTCGTAGCGTCCTTGCACAAAATGCCAGCGCGTTTATCGAAAGACTTTTTCTAACAAGTGTACATTTGTGTATAGTTTATCAAGGTTCATAGACATATCGCATTACTATTTCACAGCGTAGATAGACAAAGGCAATAAAGTTATTTAACATGTCACAGTGTCTTCTTTGTTGTGAAGGAAGCCTTATCTGCCCCACGACAGAGCAGATAATAGTTGATAAGTATAAATATTTTCTACAGAGCGGGAGCGGAGAGAGGGGGGGGGGGGGCGCGTGGAGGGCTGTTGGAAGGACTAGTGGGTGATCAAGTTCCAACCTTTTACCCAGATCATACATATTTATTGAACTGTACGGTTGTGAGACATGGGTATGAGACTAACCATCTCCGCCCCTTGAAACGTCAGGCTGTCAATTTCGCTTATCTAGGTAAGCATGTTAATGCGCTGTATATTACATGTCTTTCTTTCCCGCCAGTTTTAATTCACAAGAGGTAATAAATCTGCTTCGCTTGACTTCTTTTATTTCTGACGGCTTCTTTTATGTACAGCAGCCGTGCTATTTGCATTTGGATATATGTGAAAGAGGTCCTTGTCAAAGCTCAACTTGGGCAACTTATATGAAAACTGTTCTCTTTAACTTAATCTGCTGACTTCTTTTTCTAACAAGCTATCGAAATTACTGCAGTAAAGAGGCATGAAACATTGATAACTTGGGCCTTCTGCACAGCTTAACACACTGGTATGTTGGATTCACAAAGTAATGTCTACCAACAATAGGAATTAGGCGATTGTTCCCTACAAGATTAAAAAGACTGCATTCCATGCCAAAACATGCAGTGTTTTCTTCTTTAAATCATGAATTAAAAGCTTCTCAGGAATCTTTCCTTTTGTCTCCTGTTTCCTAAAGATATCTATCGGCCATTGTTGTTAAAAATTGACATTTACTAATGAGTTCTTCACGGAGCAGTGAGTTCTTTTGCAGCGGACAATTCAAAAAGTCATTTATATTTAGAGACACTTTTTACAAAGTAGTCCGGTGTTTCGGTATTTAAATAAGAAATTGATTGTGCATAACTTAGAGCTCAAGGAACCGTTCTCCTGTCAAAACTTGACGCAGTGATGATAAATTACACTAGTAATGCGTGCCGTTATCTGTGCACGAAAGGAAACCGTTCTTTAACAAGACAAACGTCAACAGTTTTTAATGAATTGTACCGTCGCAGGTTGCTTTGATAAACAAAAGAGACTGAATATTTAAATCCTTTTTCTTCTAAGGGCTCTTTAGAAACATTACGTTTAGCTTTTAAAAGGATTACGTAAGAACATTGTAAAGATTTCATTAACTCTGTACTAGCAATGGTTCCGAAAAGGATAATTAGGGTATTGAAATTCAATTTGTGTGAGGGTAAAACATTTCTAAAAGGATTTTTCCGTGTATGAGGGATCTGACGTTTGGAAAATTTTACGAAAATTCAAAGTTATCATGGGTTTGATTCCTTCGTACATTTGAGCAAAATTCGATTACACGTGATAGAAACAAGAAGAGGACTGCTAGCAAGACAGCCGAGTGAAGTAGAACTGCTGTTTTAAACCAAGAAATGGAATCATCAACGATGAATAGTCCAAGGAGATGCTAAATAATCAAAATAATTACTTATACGTGACGAACTGTTCGAAATGCTGTAAACAAAAGGAAGGCAAATGTGTTAGCATAACTTTCGAATATATTACCAGTTTTGGCGCCAAAAAACACAATTCAGTGCAAGTTAAACTTCTAAAATTTTCAAGCGAATTTACCAATCTTTTCTAACTGCGTCAGATTGTGATAAATTTGATAGCCGTACTATTATGATTTCATTCACTTTGAAACAGCTTAAAAACCTGTATTTGGTGTTAAATATTGGCTTGAGGGAAATGGTTGCGGCTCTAAAATTATGTAGCTAATGCATGCGAAAATGGCGCGAAATTAGTGAAACCAGTGGCATTGTTTTCGAGCCCACCTGTATTACATTATGCAGTTACTCTGTGTGAAAACAATACTCTCTTCACACGAGGACATTTAATTCAATGGTATAAAGGGCGTCAAAGTGTTAACTGTCTCTTTAGACAATAAATATCACAAAGTTGAGAAACAGACCGAGGCGCACATTTGCGGATTGTCTTGCGCGCGTTCTTGCAATAAAGACAAACCGATCGGGTTTTGTATCACAAGAACTGAGTTGTTGCACAGCGCCTTGGTTAAACCTACAAAATACTTCAATTAGATGGAGCATATACACGAGGTAAGAAATTGTACGAGATTTTTATATGAATAAGTGTTAAGTTAAAACACATAAACAGTACCATCCCGAATATGTCATTGTTTGAGGAAGTAGGTCCGATATGGATTTGTATTTCAGTAACTACCGTTTAAACCTGTTAGCTAATGTCCCAACAGGTTCATATCCATGCAGGTAAATACCGAGTTTATATGGGTCATTCAAAAACTGACAATTTAGTTTGGTCATACAACACTGCGTTAATGTTTGACAGCTATTTCCGCTAAATCTAAGTTTCCAGCTTTGTAAGTGGAAGGAAATATAGTAAAAATTATGTCTAGATTTTAAGCAGCCTAAGCTGTTTCTTACCTTAAATCTTAAAATATCTGATTAAACATCCTGTCAGTCGATGCATTTTATTTATTCTTCAAAAATTAGTTTTTGATCATTGATTGTTACTTGAAGCGAGTTTATTTACGCGCTAAAGAGTTCCTTCGAAGTCAGTCAAGTGTTTATTTATCGTCATCATCATTGTTTTCGTCATTATTATTAGCATTATTGATAACTTAATTCACACCTAAAGGAAGTTCTCTTCTCGTTCCTTCAAATAAAGACGAAATCTTGAAATTTCGACAGAGAATTTTCTTCCCATTTTTTCAGAAGAACTACGCTAGTTTCAGTCCTTCTCAAAGAAATTTGACAGGAAACAGCTTCAGCTATAAAGATTTACTTAGCTGTTTGTTCGACAAGAATAGTATTCGACCCATTAACATCGGACAGGCAGTGGTAACGGAACAAAAAGATTGCTTCTGTGAGTATACTGGAGTAAATGATTGCCATTTTCCAATGTTTAATTCTTTTTTTATTTTCATATATTGATGCATTATTAATAGACATTTAGTACACAGTCCTTCTTGGATTTTGATCTCCCCGAAGTTTTCGTAAAAATTAGCGTATGACAGCCTTTCTCTTACATATGGTTCACGATAAATAATAGAGAAAACTATAGAGCAAGGGACTAGAGAAGCGCAATGGGTCATGGGAAGAGGGATGCAATGCCTTATTTAGGAACCTTCTTCAACTTGACGCGTTATTTTTTAGTTTTGCTCTGTGTTTTGTGTGTGTTTTTTGTGCTTTGTTTATTTTTTTGTTTTGCTTTGTTTCGTTTTTTTTCACACAGGGTAAACTGCTCACACCTAAGGAATAATATAATTTTTGTGATTTTAATCATTTTTAGGGTGTAACGCAAGTTTAGTAGAATCAAAGTTTCAATGTCCTCAACACAAATTAGAGAGCCCTGGCATGAAGCAAAAAAATCAATTACCACTTGCAATAAGATCACTTCCGCCGGAAGTTGGCCTGTGTCGGTCCGGCATTCCCGGGCCAGGATATGGGGTGTGTGCCAAGCGAACAATACCTATTGGTGCGTGGATTGGGCCCTATGAAGGAAAGTTTGTGAAGCCTGAGGAAATGTCTCCTACTGCTGACACATCTTACATGTGGGAGGTAAGGCTTCTCAAGGGAAATACACCATGAAAAATATTTTAAATGTAAAATTTTCAATCGCAAGGTAGACTCAAAACATTTATATATTTTTTTTGGGGGGGGGGGAGGAGGGGTGTTTGCTAAATAGTCAATTACGTATTTGCATTTCCCACTAGATCTACAGAGACGGCATACTAGCAGGATACATTGATGGCAGTGATGAAAATTATTCCAGCTGGATGCGTTTTATCCGCAGTGCACGACACAAAGGAGAACAAAACATGTTTGCTTTCCAATACCTGGGTAAGGTGTTTTATCGCACATTCAAGACCATCCAGCCAGGAGAAGAAATGCTGGTGTGGTACGATGACAAATATCCACAGTACCTTGGTATCCCCTCTACTATGTTTGACATGGGTGCTGTCATACCAAGTGGTAAGTGATCCTTTTTCCTCTGACGTTCAAATATTCCTTGTGAAAATAAACCAAAACAAACTAACAACAACCGCTGAGTCCTGAATCGGACTCGAAGACGAGAATTACACGAGGTATGTCACCATTCTTGGTACTCTGCGTAACTTTCAAAGGAGGAGTGTGAGTATTTTCTAATTAAATTCAAAGACACAATTAAGATGGCCAGCCTAAGGCACTTCCAGACAGTCCCCTGCTGATTTTGGGCTAAATTCGTGAAAGAGATACCTGCAATTTAACGGATATCCTGAAGTAACAAATGACGGAAAATAAAACAAACGTTATTCCAACTGTAGTGGGAGATGTAGCTGAGGAGTTGAAGCGCATGTGATGATACTTCAAGGTCTATAAAGTGACGTCAACCTAGTTGCGATCACCTTGAAATCTAGAGTTAGCCTAAGGGGAAGTGTTTTAAAGGTTTCAAAGGGGATCCTGTGATAGATAAAAGCAGTTTACCTCTGGTAAAGAAAGCGTTAAAGGTTGTAATTATTGTATACCAAAGAAGGTAGAGCTTAGTTTGGCTTATGGTGATGTGAAAGTTTTCAGCTGCTAACCCTGCAGTTTATATTTCTTGTTAGGTGCTAGCTCTCAATCTGATGAAGTGATTGTTGTCTCTCCACACGCAACAAACCAGCAGTTCGACCCCAGTCCACAAAGTTCATTCTTTCCCAGTCCTCCTCCTTCGCCTGTTTCTCATCCTAGGAGCCAATTTGGATATAATCCAGTTTCTCGAAAAGGAAAGCGCTCTCCTATACGTAAAACCTGCGTTGAAAAGCTTCCCTCTCCTAAGAAGCAAGGCACGATGAAACTTGTGTCAAACATGAAGTCCGTCTTTGAGAATGGTTTTAGTCCGCTGAAAGGGAATAGGGCTGATGAAGTAACAGAGGCAAAGCCAGATCGTTCTGAATTATTTAAATCACTCTCATTGCCAAGAGATGAATTAAATTTTGCTGAAAAGGAGACAGCAATAGTAAATCACAAATCCAGGGCTACAGAGCTTAGCGTAAGGACAGCTCCAACTTTTCCAGAAATGTCTGTGAACCAGAAAGCAATTGGTACCCAGGTTCCACCAAATCCTTACCAGTGCGGTCACTGCCCAGCCCATTTTAACAATGTCTGTGAATTGCGAGCGCATGCTGTCATCCATGTCAACAAGAAACCCTTCAAGTGCGGATACTGCTCACGATCTTTCACTGGGGCAACCACTTTGAACAATCACATTCGATCTCATGTTGGAGGCCGATTGCTGGCCACTAGAAAACGTCTTCTCCAGGGTGAGGAAGTGTGAATTCCTTCGTAGTGACAAATTAAAAAACAGAATAAAAGCAGGACTTCGTGTCACATCAAATGCACAGCTCCAACGATTGTTAGCCACTGGAAAACGTCTTCTCTAGGGTGAGGAAGTGTGAATTCCCTCATAATGACAAATTAAGGAACAGAATGAAAGTAGGACTTCATGTAACATCAAATGCACACTGACCCAACAGGCCAGAAAAACGTGAAGAACCGCAGTTGTATTGGCGCTAAGTTTGCAAAAATCATTCAATTGAATGTATCACGCGAAATAACGCCTATTCAAACTTTTCAGTTTACACTTCATTCTTAATGGGAAAAATGCTGCGCAAATACCTTTTAAAGCAGATTTAAATTTGAATCATACCGATTGGAGACAAACCATCATGAGTGTTGAGCAAGACTCGGACTAATACGCCTTCCCTCTAGTATTCACTTATGTTTCTCTTTTCCTGCAACAACACAATGGTGTTTGGAACATGTAAAGGAATGTCCCCTTTCAATTTATTTATCAACAGAAGAGAATAAGACAGACTACTGATATTGTATTAAAATCCTGTATTGTTTGAAGACATGACTTACCACGACCATTGTAACTTATTACAGAAACTTAATATTCATTGTTGTGGCGTGGACATTATGTAAACGATAAAAACAACAATCCTGTACAAAATGAGCCATAAAGAGAAAATAAGATTGCAAGAGTAAATCATTCAGAGTCTTCCACGTATTCATATCATTGTTTTGTACGGCTTAAAACTGCAAGGCTCACGAGAAATATCTGGCAACACTGTTAGAACCGACCGTTTGACCATCTGCTTGTAATTATTTATAAGTTTGAGTAAATTTCACCTTTTATGAGCCCCTCAGACATTCTGGAGTAATAAAGACCTGAAGGGCTTCCAAACCACAGTGTTTCAGAAGAGGTGTCAGGTTCAATAAACATCCGGTAATAGACTTTCTTCTCCATGCTTCCTCATGATCTTGAAGTGCTATATCATTAATCATGCAGCTTTCATTTGTGAGATCTACACGCCAATCAATTGCCATTGCCTCTCTCATTGGGTTAGAAAAATAAAGAAGCTTTGAAAAAAATTTAATTTCTCAAATTCCCTGATATGGAATCCAGCATACTTGAGCTCTGATCTTTACGCAGAGCTAAGGAAGCTGTCATAGAAATACACACAAGATTTAACTCTGTAATTAACTTAAATTTTCATCAAGGAATATCATTTATGCAGCGAAACCCTTTCGAACAATGCGCAGGTGAAAGTGACGTCGCTCGTATGTCAATCAAATGTTGACATTTCTATTGAGCCAGTATGAGTAGCCGAGCACACCTTAATCAGTCTCCCATGAAAGCAACGAAGAGTTTCTTGCACGAAACAGGCGTTGTTGCTAGTTTTTGCAGCAGTTTCCTTGAGATATGCCTTGGAACTAAGTACCTTTAAGGTTATACTTTAGGCCTCCGCAATCCCAGCTAGGCGATCCGCAGGTAAGGCAATGTTTTGGGAACTGACTTGTTGATGTAAAAGTTTGCTTATATAACTTCTGATGAGAGGTGCATATTAATCGACACAGAAACCAAATAACGTGTTCTGGAAGACCTAAAATGTTTACCTAAGGCTTGTCTGTTTGTTGTAATAGCCAATTGATATTTCAGATGGTTATAAATATCATTGCTCTCAGCAGATCTAGAAACTTTTGTTCATAACAGCATTATTTAAAAATAATACTAATCGATAGCAATAATAAAAAAGTGGCAGAAAACTGATCATAATTAATTCGTGTTTTCAGCAGGTAAGTAATCGAATGCGTTCAAAAAATCTCCGTTTAATCAAATGTACCTCAATTTGAAATGTTCCTTGAGATAGTTCATTTGGATTCAAAGTTTTGGAAGTTCTCACGCAAAATTTGCATTTATTTTATCTCCAAGTTCCGCTTGATTAGTTAAAGAACACAAGACTCGCCAAATCTTCTGCGCAGCAGATCCGATCTCGTGTCACCACAAAAAGATCACTCAAACTTCAAGTGATTTATCTTTATAACTGCAATGGTACAATGTTTTCCAACTGCCTACGCATAACCTTCTAGATAAACTTCTGTCGAAAGTAGCAGCTGGAGTTGATCGAGCGAAGAAAAAACAATGAAGATGAGCAAAAGGAACTCTACTCACAGGGATAAACACCAAAAGAATGCATTTATGGACGATTTCTCTGCCCAAATTTGACCTTAACCATAAAATAACTTTGGTACTTGCTAAAAATAAATTCACGCTAACGGTCAACTCTTGGCCATAGTCACGGTGTAAGAGTTCATTACGTCACAAGGTCGTCAAAGTCGTTCAAGTCAAAACAAAGTAATCACACATTGGAAACCTTATTGAATCTTAGCAACTCGAAAATATTTTGTGGTGATTGTTGTGATTTCAACCACAGTGGTAACCCTCGCTAACATCTTTGTCAAAATGGTACTAATCTTAATTTAGTTTAATCTGGTCTTGGCGCGTATTGCGTAAAATCAAAGTATTTTCTTCACCTGAATTCCCTTGGGTTATTTCAATCGATTTTGCGGGGAGCAGCGATGGATGACAAGGTGTTATATAAGTGTACTTGCACTTGAGTCCTGCGTCTCTTTTGTGATAAATCGATTTACCGTTTGAATTTCAGATGAGTAACGCAGGCATTTCAAGACCTAAATCCGCAAGTGAACACACATTATCATCTCGAACGCCGAGAAGAGTTCGCTCACATGCCGCGGATGTCAACCTCTGTAGCATAGAGGATCTTCATCAATGTTTATACCAGCGAAATCAAGTCATTTCTGTGAGCACGGACGATTTTAGAAGTTCAGGTCTACACAAAGAAGAAGCGATCCGCTACTGTAAGTCGCCATTTTGTCAAATGTTTGCCAAAGTTATTTTTAACGAATATTTCCGTAACCACGGTTTCGCGGGTTTACATCGGTATTGTTAAAACAACTCTGTGGTTTGCAGTTTAATTATTCCTGTGATAGAAACTAACTGTGCTTAAATTTCTTGTAGAGTCATAACTTGTGGATAAAGATTTATTTAAGTTGTTCATGAGTGTTCTCAGAAGGTAACCAGGTGGCGTTCATTTTGCCTCATATTTTCGGGGTGAATTGAACAATTCGCCGGGACAAATATACAATACCAAACACAACTTTGAAACATTCATCCAACACATTATGAATTACTTTCGCGAAATTCACTCACCCACCGCAATTGCGAATGATCCTGAACAACAGGAAATTAAAAGAAACTGTGTACCTTCAGTTGCTGTTTAAAATTAACTGACCGTTAACAAGCACTAAAGCTTTCGGCCGAGTTTTCGCTGTCAAGCGAAAGAGGGATGACTTGAACGATTCTGGGCACACGCTCGAAATGCAAATGCTAACGAAGTCTCGAGGTCTGCACAATTTTTTCGTACCTCAGAAAAATTGAAAAATGCATTAAGCAAAGTGCAGTCTTTCGTGTTAAAATAACAAAAGAATGAGGCATATGTTTAGCTAAATTTAGATATCATCATCCGATATTTTTAGACAGAGATTATGGTGTTATTTATCTGTTCAGTTTGGTTGTTTGAAATTTGTAGCTCGCATAATATGTCATTGTATAAGGAAAAAAGGTTCGGCGTCAACTTGACCAGAAGTCGGCTTTCACTTTACGGCGAAGGGTGCCTCTCACGGGTTATTACTAGTAATTATCTTCAAGTCTAAAGAACTTATATCAATTAACAGGGTTTGTTTGACGCTAAAATGTAACCTGAAATTTGCGCATCTATCAAAGTGAAACGAAAAAGCTCGAAAAAGAACTTCAGTGTGCTCAAAATGAAGTTTTTATCAAGAGGAGCCTTCCAGCACCCCAGTTATTCGCTTGTTTTTTACTGTCAAGTTGCAACAACAGTTATTATAATCTGGAATCAAAGAACTTTTATGAGTTATAAATGCCGGTTTAGCCATTGTTATCATAAGCAGATCAAACCGTTCCTCTTATTTCTTAGAGCAGTAGCTGTGTCGTGGTTAATAACTTCATATAGTCACTTCTTCACACGTGCCGCGGTTCGTTTGCCTCTAAATCGGGTCGATTTGACAAATAGATTCCAAGTTGCCGTCCGTCTGTTCAATAATAGATCACAGATGACGTCAAAATATGGTAACAAAAAAGTGGCACACAAGGCGCAGCCGAGTGTGTCACTTATGTTCTTACCACGTTTTGACGTCCTCTGTGATTTATTACTGAGATATATATATATATAAGTGAGAACCAATTTGAATACGTACATAACTGAGCTTATTATATAATGTTAGGTTACTTGAAGTTCAAAAACATAAGGTTATAAATAGCTCCACTCAATTCACGTCGTTTTTTTATCCTTGTCAGTGAAATGGGCTAACACCCATTTTAGGATTCGTTAGAATCAAATGGGATGAAACATACTGATGACTTTCTTTATAACGTTTCAAAAATCTTTTGTCAAACGAAGTGTTTTGCCATATTCCAAATGAAAAACAGTTACATAATCGAGCTGACAACGCACGCGCAATCTTTCAAGCATATCAACGTTAAGTTGTATCATACCCACTCTCCCCTCCCCTAGGGTGTAAAGGATGTCATCTGGAACGGACTGAGCCATGTCAGCTCCATGGTCCTCAACTGTCATTCCGACTGACAAGTAAAGTCAAAAACAACAATGACACAAACAATAACATCGTAAAATTGCCGAATGCGATCGAATCGTTTCCAAATGAGGTGGGTTTGTGCATTTCCAGTATTCCTGGGGCAGGTTATGGAGTCTGCGCAAAACAGATCATTCCAGTGGGCACGTGGATTGGACCATACGAGGGGGAACTGGTGCGGCCTGAGGAGGTGGTACTGGGGTCTGATGCGTCATATATGTGGGAGGTAGATTTGGTTTTATCTACGATTTTCATGTAAAGATTGAATGATAAGTATCTAAATTCAGAGTCATCCTCGTGAAACATTTTGTAAATTATCCTTTGAGGTTTGCGTTAAATCACAGGCTGAAATAGGGCGATCCACACAACTGATTTTAATTGAAGCGTTTCCCAGTGATTATTTTATACTTTTCTTTTTTTCTATACTTTAATTTTCAAATCTTCAAAATATATTTGGCAGTGTAACCAATTAAGCCTCCGAGAAATCAAGTGCTAACTTATTTTCAGTTCTTAAGCTAATTTTATCACTCTCTTTTCAAAAGATATTTCACGAGGGAAAGTTACTTTATTACATTGACGGACGCGATGAGAACAAGTCCAGTTGGATGAGATACATCAGATGTGCAAGGAATGGAACCGAGCAAAACATGTACGCCTTTCAGTACTGTGGTAACATTTATTACAGAGCTTTCAAGGACATTCCTCCGGGAGGTGAACTGCTGGTTTGGTATGACGAGAAGTACCCGCAATATATGGGCATCCCTCTTGAAATATATGAAATTTCCCTCGATAATCCTGTTGGTAAGTAAAGTCACTATAATAGCAATCATTCTTAGTCCGCTACCAACATAAATAATTTCCTAAGAATTATTTTGCTGGATGTGGAGAAATTGTGCCCATTTTAAGTGAAGTCCTGTATTACGTCTTCATCATCATCCGCCCTCTACTCCGAGATTTTCCTGTCCCAATAAAATGTAACTTCAATTTATAAAGTTAAGTAACGGATGGTTTAACGCGTATAACTGGCATTGATGAGACATATATTTCTAATTTTCATTTTGAAAAATTGTTTCCTGAAAATGAAAAATACCCTGTTAACTCGTCGAAATACAGTAACTCTCCTCCCCCCCCCTCCCCCCCCCCAACGCGGTTTTCAGACAACTATTTTGTTCTTGATATAGAAGAAAGACAACATCCCGAAATGGTAGTTGTAATACCATATGATAATTCCAATCCAGGCTCCTCCCATTTAAATCAGTCTTCATCCAGTCCCTGGAAAGATAATCTTCAATTTACAACCGGAGTCAGATCCACGCTACCGTCACGTGATCAACCTGGTGTCAAACGCCGCTTAACTCAAAGCACCTCTATCAGAGGCGACAGTTTACGTGCATCAGCTGAAGAATACATACGCGTCCGCCATGTTTCCTGGACAGCCGATGGTGCGCCATTACAAAACAGTGTGCAAATGATTGAAAATTCTCCTTCTTCGGAGGACGCGCGATTTCTTCATAAAGGTCCAGTTAAACCTTCTGGATTAAACAGCGGACATACACAAACGATTCAAAACGACAGCCATCATGACACCATGTCTTCTGGAGGTCTATACAGTAACGGCTCAAAAATCGCGCTGTCAAAAATAGGCGAGAGGCATGCGCAGTTATGGTCTGTTGATGAAGATGAAAACAGTTCGGATGGTTCCGATGCGAACCTTTTCAACTGCGGTCAGTGTGGGAAATCGTTTGCCCAACGCTCGGTGCTTCAAATTCACGTATGCCCCAACATGCCACGTAAGCCCTATCACTGTGGACAGTGCTCTCAGACATTTGATTATCCAAACGAGCTGCGCACGCACGCTGTCGTTCATGTGGGTGAGAAACCATTCAAGTGCGGTTATTGTTCACGATCATTCGCGGGCGCAACAACTCTTCATAACCACGTGCGCACGCACACCGGTGAAAAACCTTTTTCATGCGTGAGATGTGGAAAAAACTTTACTCAGGCCTCCCAGCTTCACAAGCACGAGAATATACCCGGAGATTGTGTTCCCTATGACGGCCTGCCTGACTAGAGCATTTCTAGCAATCTGGCTCTCTTTTTAGGAAACTTGTGATTGTTAACTATATGTAACGGTTTATAGTTGACAAGCTAATCAAGTGATTTCGCAAAAAAAGAATCGATTCAAAGCATGTTTAGAGAAAGATTTTTTGCGACAGTAGTAAAAAAAAAGGTAAGAATCGATTCAAAGCATGCCTAGAGAAAGATTTTTTGCGACAGTGGTAAAAAAAGATATCTCGTTGCAATTTTAAAAAAATTGTGGATTCATCCATTTCTTTTCCAAACATTTAGAATCCAGAATAACTTCGTTCTTCTCAAATCAGATGTAGGAAGCCTTTTCTTGCGTCATTGCACAAGGATAGCAATAACGTCATTAAACTACATATTTTTTTCATCGTTACATTTGCAACGCACTCCTCAATGGCTTTTATTATAAGTAAACTTTTTAACATTAGCAACAAATGAAAAGACCTTTTAGCTGTTAGGGACATTTTCTTCAAGATATATTTTAATGAATAAAACAGAGGTGAGCATTTGAGTAAAAGTTGCCTTGAAATCCAGCAACGATATAAGTTACGAAAAGTTGCACTTATAACGAACAGAAGCACATAAGTCATGCGCGTTTGACCCCACATGTTAATTTATTATGTTATTACTTTTAATAAATACGCGCAAAAAAGTCTACACAAAGGCAACTAAGTTATGGAAGTTGGAAATCGTTATCGGAAAAAGTGACGAATATCACCTGAAGCGGGGGCTGATGATGGCGCACTTCCGTTTCCGTTATGTTTCAATTTAACCAAAAAAGATTGCGCATCCGAGAATATTTTAAGGAGTTTTGAGTGGCTACTTGCGATTTCCTCAACCTTTTCTCATGCTATAAATAAAACAAGCTTTAAGGACTTCATGGTCACGTCCCAGGAGTAATTTACAAAAAAGAAAAACAAAAAAGTTTTTTCTTGTTCGTTTTTCGCAGGTTGATGTCGCACAGCGAAATGATGGCCGTGCGCGGATGATCACACGACCAGTGGTATAATATTAAAGGAATTGTTTAGTCCTTTTAAACCCGGTTTTGTCTGGTAGGAAGTACGACGAAAGATTATTATGCAGAAAAGGTTATCACCAGACTTCTCTTTGAAAAGCCGGGCTCATTACTACTCCTGTCATATTTTAATGCGACGCTGTAATTAATAACAAAGTCAGTTGCGCATTAAACTCTCGCATACAAATGAGCAACTCCAATGTCACTGGGTTCCTTCACTGTTTACATCAACTCCATTCAGAAAAATCAGTGAACCGTTTGGGGAATCGTAGTGAATTTATTACTATTAATTTCAATGGGCAAACATGAAATTTTCTTGTCATTCCTCGATTCCTACAATCTGAAGTGTACATGTCTTCGATTTGCGATGCTAAACTGAACACAAAAAGGGAAAGTTCGGCCATTTGGTTGTAGCACTGAGAGCAGATACGTGGTTGTGTTGAAATCAATGGTATGTGACGGCTTTCTTGGTAAAGGGTATTGAAACCTGTGGGCGAGGCAACGACAAAACACTTTGAATAAAGATAAAACAACTAAAACCTGACGCAACTAAAGAAATTCGTCTGATGGTTCATTTTAACAGTGCAAAATTTGGCAAAAGATCGTTTGCCGACCGACCGGTCGGTAACTGCGCTGAAGGGTAGAACCACAATTGCCAAAAGCGGATAGATATAATTTTTTTTTTCGTGCCTGCTAAATTGAGATTTATATAAATAGTGGCCATTCCTGGGAAGGCTTACATAAATTGCAAAACAATTATACCTTAATTATACTCAAAAGCATAAGTTTCTTCTCTCAATCCAGAACTCGTTAAATTTTTTTTCACGGCATTGCGTTTAGCAATTAATTATACTCAGAAGCAGATGTTTTTTTTTTCGTGGCATTGCGTTTGGCAATGTGTGAGGCTGAGACAAAGCTGTGAACATGCAAATAAGGAAACACGACTCTAAGGAAACTTATGCTGAAATGCTGATGGCACTTTTGAAAATGTGAGAAAACTTTTACGTGAAAAAGTGCTCTTAAACGCGTTTGAGCATCTTGTGCGTAAGATCTCGCACGAAACAGATATCTTACGAGTGTCTTCCGGAATTAACTGGATATCAATGGATTCGCAATTACATGTCGGAAGATTGTTGCAACTTTTCAGTTACACTCAGATGGAATGACCACAAATGGTTTGGGTCAGATGAAGCCTTTTATTTTCAAAAGTCAATTAATTCGAGCAACAACTTCTCAAAATGTCCATCCGTATGTACAATTTTTCATCTTACTAGTAAAAGTGGTAACATTTATGTCACGCAGTGAAACGCTCTGGATATTTACATTTTTACGACAAGTAATTACAATTACGACTTTCTACGTTTCTTAGACATAAAACTCGAAGTTGCTTTAGTTCTTAAGTTTCGTCTCCACGCACTTTCCCGAATGAATCACTTGTGTTTTCCGTTTTGAATGAATCGTATAAAAATCTACAAACTTTGCCACAACAAACAGTTAGATCTGAGATCTGAGCCATGAGCTTTCCTAAGGAGCACTCAAAGTTTTAAAAACTATCAGATGAAGGTTAATTGTTTCCATTCCTTTCACGCTCGTGCCACACAGTCTCCAGGTATTCTCTGATGTCTGCTAAGTTGTGATCCTTGCGTAAAGTTCTTTCCGCACTTGTCGCAAACAAAGGGGCGTTCACCGGTGTGCGTTCTGATGTGGTTGTTCAATGTGGTCGCCCCAGCGAACGCACGTGAACAGTATCCGCACTTGAATGGTTTCTTACTGGCGTGAATGACAGCGTGAGCGCGCAGCTGAGCTGGGTGGGCGAAGCTAAGTGAACAGTGGCCGCACTGGTATGGCTTCTTTGGGGCTTCATTGCACACATGAACTTGGAGCATGGTTCTTTGAGGGAAGGACTTTTTGCACTGGCCGCATTTCCACAAACTTAGTTCTGTGATGCTACTAAACGCGGGCTGATTGATTTTAGTGGCGTTGTTTTGCCCGTCTTCATAAGAAGTGGGTGAGGGAGGATTGCTCCTCTCGCTTTCTGGCGATGGAAGTGGATTGGACGAGTTGGCTGCAGTGACAGAGGAAAAGTCGAAGGCGGAGGACACTTCCGTCTGAAAACCATTCAAAGGCTCTCCACCGATTGGCATGGAAGGTGAGTGTTGGCGAGGGCTGATTGGCTGGCTGTTTGGTGATTGTGGGCTTCCAGGAGAAGGAACTGAGCTGGGAGGGGTAGGGGGATACTGATTTTGTGTCAAGGTTTCGGACGGCAAGCGTACAATTTCTGCTGCATCCGAATTGTTTGACTTTCCTGTAGAAGTTATGAAGAAAAGACGTTTCAATTTATCCGTTTTTCAAACTTAACAAACCTTCCCACACAAATCGCAGAAATTATCAGCCAATGCTTAAAACATAACTTAAAATCTCACCATTGACTGTAAGAGAACCCAAATCAAAGATTGAGCTTGGAACGCCAAGGTACTGAGGATATTTGTCATCGTACCACACCAGCATTTCTTGTCCGGGCTGGATGGTCTTGAATGAACGATAGTAGACCTTGCCCAAGTACTGGAAGGCAAACAGGTTTTGTTCCCCTTTGTGACGAGCACAGCGGATGAACCGCATCCAGCTGGAATACTCTTCATCACTACCATCCACAAAGCCCGCCAGTTTACCGTCTTTAAAAATCTGTGAACGTAAACGGAGAAATTAACAAAAAAAACTCCACAAAGAAAAAAAACAAATCATACTTTATTCTAAGAGTCGATCATTCAACTTCCCTACCTCCCACATGTAAGAAGTGTTGGAAGTCGAAGAAATTTCCTCAGGTTTCACAAACTTTCCTTCATAGGGACCAATCCATGCCCCGATAGGAATTTTTTGCTTAGCACAGACTCCATATCCTTCCCCAGGAATGCTGGATACACACAAGCCAACCTCCGGCGGAAATGATCTTAAAGCGAGAGGCAATTGTCTTGTCTGCTTCGTGGCAGTGGTTTCATGTTTATGATGCGGGCAGTTAAAGCTTGGGTCTGTTGCGCTTGCATCACACCCTAAAATAATAATAATTTATTTCAATATTGCTATGATTTATGACACAATAGAGAAGGGATAAAGCTGCATTAGCTCTACGCACGCAAAATCGCGGTGAAAAAAATTATAACAAACTTACACTTATCGATAACTATTCAAAGCTTTTTTTTCGGTAATAAAAGAACACGAGTAATATCACGAGAATTTGGTGCTGTTATATGATGTATGGAAGGAACAGACACCACCTGGCTTGCTTTTATTTAAAAAAATCCATCGACACAGAATTAAGTGCATCATTTCGCGCAAACAACTCCCACACGAAACACTTACAAAAACAACCAACTCCATCTTTCTTTCCTAAGGCTTCACGGCTGTGAATTGGATGGACAGTAGATACGTTAAAAAGGCACTTCTGTACATCAGCCATAGTAAAAGATAACTGTTTCAAGTTTGAAACCGGTGCGCTTTTGGATGAAGGAGGCGTGAGCTTCACTTTCTTAGTCACGGGCTGATACACACTGCTTACGCTCTTTCCTCCAAAAGGTTCGTTCATTTTTCTCGTCTGTAAAATGTGGAAAAGTTTGCGTTAGTTAGAATTCAAGCACAGAAACATTAAAATTTCATTACAGAAAAATTTGAAAAAAAAAAACAAATAAAAAATGTCAGTGAAAGAAGGAAACACTTAGTCGATTTTCCTACGGGATTCAATCGAAATTTTAAGCAATTGAAACCTTCAACTTGCACACTTAACAATCGCAATGTTGTGTAGGAGTTGATTTCAAGATCACCTTCGGAAATCGGAAGTTAATTAAGTTTGACTAAACTTTAGTGATTAGTGAGCAATGTCAACTTCGTCCGTGATTCATTCACTCGACAGTAATGATTTACGAATACCTCATTTCCGAAGGCACTGAAGCAGATCGGTTTTTCGGTTTAATGAATTACAATCATTGTTCCAAGCTGTTAGCAAGATTTTTCAGAAAGTTTGTTTCTATTCTAAACCATGACCGTCTGTTTACCCACAAGAACACTGAAAATGGATGGCAACTTTGAAAATTGTTTTCAAGGGTGAAAATATATGAAAAACGTCATGCAAATAACATCGGTATTTAGCTTTTGTTTTTCCCCTTCAAAAGTTTAGGTTCTTGCATAATGAGATTTAGAAACTCAATTCCACGAGTTTTCAGGGGTGAAATCGAAGGAAAACCACTTGAAATGTGTTTCAAAATTGTCTTTCGTTGCTTACAAACGATTGGTGTCGAAATCTCGCCTCCAGACGCTTACGTGCGTCGATCAGGACGAGTTGGTAGGAAACTCAATTCGGTGGGGCGTAACAGGTTTTAAACAACAAGAAGGTGAAGAAACGAGAGAAATCAAGAACGATTTTACAAATCGTTACAAGCAAAAAAACTAGTCCTAACAATCGAAAGCATGAGAGACATGCAATGTTTCATGCAACTAAGGCGTTATCCCCCCATTTATTAAAGATTCGTCGAATTGGTGTTTGCGTTCCGATGGATCATTCAACGTCACTCTTAAGGTGGTCACCCAAAATAAGATTTCTCTAGAAATTGAACGTACCTTGTTTTTAACTTCCATTTGCAGTCCTCTTAAATCGTCGATCTTTAAATCTTCTTAAGTTTGGGGAGTATAGAATCGTACGCCTTCTGACTCGCAAAGCGCTCTCTTTTCACCCCGTGCGTAACTAAGAGTGGACGTGTGATTAGACTTTAAAAGGACAGAAAACTACTTTGTCCAAAGACGGTGGTGTTTCCACGTATGCCTTTTTATGCACTATTCACATAATTTGAATTAAGACAAAAGTCAATTACCTTCACGGAGAATTACCACAGATAATAAGAAATAAGGAACAATAGACTTTAAAGCACTTTTCTTCTGATTTTCTCTTCAGGTTAACCTCAGGCTCTTTTCATAAGATATTTTGAAAACGCTACAGCAAGGCTGCAGAAACAGAGTAAAATCTCAATTCCAGCCCAGTAAGGATTTCAAGCATTACACAAGATATTCAATTTGTTTTGTGGCCCCCATTTGAAGCTGATGTGATCACTGTTCAGTTTGGCTGCTCATGCGGAGAAATGAAGCTGATGTTTCCACAGTTTCAAGTTTATCTCTGTTGTTCATCTGTAAATTTATTCTATTTTCGTAACTTGTTTGGGAGCGAGTTTTTATGATACCAGTCTGTTTTGTCTCAATGCAAACCCTGCACCAAACGACAAAAAGTCTTTAAAACTTGAACTTTTAGTTCTGGTGCAGAATAAAGACTTTTAGAGTTGATTGGGGAATGCAAAAGACAAAGAGAACAAAGACAACTAAGCGAGGTTAACTAAGACCACGTATTTATCAATGCGCAAATTCGGTCACTAGCCGTTTGAAAAATGTGTGCAAGCGGTGCTCGCTCTGCTAAGTGAGCATAGCTTCCTTCATCAACGTTCAACGGATTTTTTTAATTCTACGTTGCTCTAATGGATGCCACGTCAATTTTCTTTAGTTCTTTCCTTTAAACATCACTAGAAAATTCCAAGCTAATGAGCCATAAAAACAAAGGAAGATTAAAATGAACTCTACGGTAAACGAAAGATAAGACAATGATCTAGAATTTTTTCTTTACAAAGATGCCGACATAGAGTTAAATACCAGGGACAGCATCAAAACTTATCGCGTAAACATTTTGCAAGAACATAAAACGTAATCCAGTCGAAAAAACAAGTCGACTGAGTCAGACGAGATGTGACCAGAACGCCTACGAGACCTGCAGGCATAATTTGCGAGCAAAATATCTTCATTTGAATACCCAGAACTCCTCTGAAGAAAAGGTTCTCGCATGATCAGTCTTTAAGGATAGGCTTGGTCTCCAGTCTCTCTCCTCCTTCCTTTATCATGAAAATAATAATATTTATGTTCGAGTGCCTTTGCTATAAAATGATTTTTATGATACTAAAAATAAAAATAAAATTATTAAAACTCGGTATTATCGATGAAATTAAAAAACTAGTCTAAGCATTGTTCTCTAACTTTATTTGTTCCATTTGTCTGTTTTACTTATTGCTCCATACATTGGCTTTTTTTGCTGCGATTTTAACAACTTGAATAATTATTCACTTTTATTTTTCCGCACAAACTATATGTGTAAAATTAATGAAAACTTGTCAGAAGTCCTCTAAATGGCCAAGAATTTCAAAACAAACACTCTTCGACAAATTGAACTGTGAGCGGAGGTTAGCTATTGACGGTTGGAGGGGATACGTCGCTTTTGCATTCGCGGGGATTTCTTTGGTGCTTGGATAAAAGTCCAGGCTGAGAAAACGTTTTTCCGCACTTGTCACAGCCAAAAGGCTTCTGCCCGAAGTGAGATTTAATGTGATTGTTTAGTGTTGTCGCGCCGACAAAAGCGCGCGAACAGAAGCCGCATTTAAATGGTTTTTCACTTGAATGCGACGTGACATGCGCACGGAGCTGAGAAGAATTGCAAAAAGCTAGGCTGCACTGGCCACACTGGTAAGGCTTGGATGGTTGGCATGGGCAGACATGAAGTTGTAGGGCCACCCGCTGAGTAAAAGTCTTGCGACACTGCTGGCACCGCCAGGAAGTAAATTCCCTTTCTGGAGATTTTTTGGGAAAGGGCACTAATGTATTTCCAGGGTCACTGACGTCACTTTCTACGTCACTGTTAGAAGAGGATCGCTGACCATCTACATCGCTGTCAGATGATAATTGTCTGGGAAGTAAACTAGCAGGAGCACACACAGGTTTCTGCTGCGCAGATTTGTTATCCCCTGTCTGCTCTTTTACCATTGGCCGAGCATCTGAAGAAGATTGACAGACAGATGTCTCATCAAATATACGGATACAAAGGTAAATCATTTTTAAAGTCTGTATCTTACATTTTTACTTGGAAAGACGTCTGACGTGTTATATTTTTCTTTAGAATATTTTAAATGCTTGTGCAAACCATATTGATGATACTACTTAAACATTTCCAATGGATAATTAACAACCATAATTACCTTCAAAATCTTTGACGAAGGACATGCTCTGATATCCAAAAGGTATTCCAAAATGCTGTACATATCGTTCATCATACCACACAAGAAGCTCTTTACCAACAGCAACGTCTTTGAATGCACGATAATAAACTTCGCCCTTGTACTGAAACGCATAGAGGTTTTGTTCAACTTTTGAGCGTGCGCACTGGATAAAACGCATCCAGCTTGATGTCTCTTCATCACTGCCGTCAATGAAACAAGTTAACTTGCTGCCGTCAAAAATCTAAAAATAAAGAATGAAAAAAAAAACACATCAGCTTAAAATGTCCATTATAACCTTTTAAAAAATATTTCCTGTTTAGTTTAAATAAGTTCTAGAGATTTCTATTCTCTTGGCTGTTCTTAGCTGCAAATTTCCCAAAATCAGTATTTCTTCTTCCCATACATTTTTAATATGCATATAGACGTTATGGAACCAACAAGTTTCCTGCAAAGGGTTCGATAAACCTTGGCTTGTACGATTTATTTGGATCACTAAACAAAAAATTAGCAAATACAGCTAGACTTTTATTATTAATTCCCCCCTCTCCACCCAAAAGAACTCTTGAGAGAGCCTGATAAAACGCTAATAGGTAACCTGTGATGGAGAAGCATTCCACCGAAGGAGGGACTAGAGGCTGATAGAACGCTGGTAGGTACCCTGTGATGGAGCAGATCATTTCACTAAGCAATAGGGCTTGGTCTCGTAGAATCAACCTCCCAGAACGCTTAAAATTTTCTTAATTGTTGTACAGGACAATCTTTCGTTTGATCACTACAGAACCCAACGTATCAGATATGGTAAGGAATTAGCCTCCTACCTCCCACATATACGACGTATCCATGCCCGGTTTGACCTCCTCTGGTCGGATTCTCCTGCCCTCAAATGGCCCAATACAGGTGCCAGCAGGAATGTGTTTTCTAGTACAAACTCCTAACCCGGTCCCAGGGATACTTGATCTGCACAAACTCACTTCCGGTGGGAGTGACTTCATAGCTCTGCTCCCCTGCAGACGTTTGTTGTCTACGATCGCATGGCCCAAACCATGTAAGGGACAAGGTTCTGAATAGTCTTTCTTACAGAGAAGACACACTGAAAAAAAGGGTATTCTCATTTAACCACGCGTTCACGTCTTCGGCGCAAGATTTACGATCCGGGGTTCAAATTTTTTTTTGGACGCTTGTTCAGGCGGTTAAGCGTCTATAGCAAACAAAGAAAGGCATAAGTGTTTACTCTTATGAGGTGTGAGAAGATTGGATCCCTCGGGTATTCCTGACGAATTGTAAAACAATTGCACAAAACAATTGCACAAAACAATTGACCTTTTTAAAAAGAACTGCTCAAAACGAGTACTTCAGATTTTGGAGTAATGTGGACTAGACGCTAGCAAGTTTCTACAGATAGCGTGATTGTTTTCTAGGAGTGAGGGTTTCTTGCGAAAGTTTTCCTGTGATAAAGGGGTTTGAATGAAAAAGCACGGCGCACGTACACAAAGCTATAGAATAAATTTAGCATTTAGATGTAGCCTTAAATTTTTGCATAACTTAACGACACATTACCTTTCCAATTGAGTATTTTAGAGAGTTCTGTAAGCAAGTAAAAAAGTGACTACAAGGCTTCCTTAGCCATCTGCTTTTTGCTTTCTTGATATCTTCAGAAACGTGTCAGTTAAGTTGCAATAGACCTGCCTTATTCATACCAGTAGGCGTTGGAATTCTACTTATTCTTAGTTACCGTCAGAAAACTTTTAACAATAGCGTCCATGTTTAAAGAGCACGGTTCATTAAAGCTTTCCAAAAAATGACAAGCGGTATTTCTAGCTTTCCAAGACAATGGAAAAAAGGCGAAGGTCACGACTTCAAATGAAACGACACACTATCCTAAAACAATGAAAATAATCTAGAATGCAATCCCTAGTTATTAATGAAAAAAAGTTTAATCATTCCAGGACAAATTAAAAACTATCTCGAGCATAACAACAGGTTTTATGAATTACTTCTCCTCTTTGAGTAAGAAGACAAATAGATAGAGTCTGAACTTTCAAGAAACGTTTATAAGGACCGCTCTATCATTTATAAGCGTGGATCATGTGTGTGCCAGAAGGGAGGCTATGGTTGACTTGAAAAGTTCGCGAACACGCTATATCCGGTATCGTGAGTAAATCTAAAATATTACGTATTAGGAGAGACTAAGCCTGTAAAATAACGGATTTACGAATGAATAAACTTACATAATTGCTTGTTAAAGCCCTCAAAATTCAGTCTTAGTAGTTTGTTTGCGTCGATGAACACCAGTTGTTTTCTTTCGTACAAGCAGTTCCTAACAGCGGCAGAGGTTATTATGTATCGCTTTCCCTGCGACTGAGAGCTTGCCGCAAAGGCCCTCTTAGTCGAGGAGCAGTCGACCTGAAATAATCGAATCCTTAATAAGATCCGTTATTTAAATGCCTATAAAAATAAACTGACCTTGCCTGCCTTGATGTTATTGTTTGTAAGGATCAAGAATTTTGTCTGTTACGTGTGAGAAACCACGTCTTATTTCAGTAGATGATATTAATTGGAAGGGTTAAACTTGTAAATGTAACACTGTATAAATTAATGGTAGAGTAAAACAGTGTAAATTGAGTTTAAGTGATTGTTCTGTAGCTTGCGAGAGGCTTCAAGTATCTGAGTGATCTTGAGAACCGTAAAATTTTTTTTCACCACTACTGTCACCACAGATATGATATGAATCTTGACAGAACTCACCACAACATGTTATAACTTCGGCAGTGTATCAAGTGGGATAAAAGATTTAAACACCTCCCATTGCACCAACTAACTTATTTGTTTTTAGCGCCAACAGACAGAGAGTTGCCTTCATTGCTTGTCTGGTAAGAGTTACTTGTTATTTAATGAGGCCGGTGTCAGCGCTAGTCTTCTCGTAAGATTGCTCTTTTTTCCGCTTGTTCAGGTGACCAATTAGAACCATCAAGAACTACAGAAACTATGAACTACTGAGTAACAATTTAACAGTCTCATAGACAATTACTCACCAACTCATTTTGATATGTCCTTTTCATCTCCTCGAAGTACTCTAATATCGAAATGTCTCTCGCTATCGTAACCGTAAGCTGATAACTGGTGATGACTACCAGGAAGAGCTTATTTGTTGTTAATGCCTTATGTCTAGCAACAGAGAAGAACCCTTCTCGCGGATTCTAGAATCAATTATAAGCCCATCCCACGTGGATCACGGATTTGTTCTCTGCACGGATCTGATTGGATTATTATCTTTCTGGTTGCTGATTTTCAATTATTCGTGCTCACTGAGGTTTTCAGAGACAAGAGAATATAGTATCATTGATGGACGAATTGTGTATTTGTCTTTGAGCCTATATCTGATCTGTTCTATTCAGATAAAAAGTCATTTCTTCCACCTTTATAAAACACATCTCCAAAAGATTGAGTTTGTTTTTTTTTTTTTGAAAAGAAATATCAAAGGAAATTTATTTAACACGAACACAAAAGAATTCTTGAGGCACTCAACCATATCTGAAATATTCGTGAGTGGATCAATTCAGCGACGATGCTCAATGGAAATTTATCGGCAGACGCTATTTGCGTTTGAACGAATCTTTTTCCAGTTGGCCTTCTGCCTTACGTGGTGTTATGGCTGAAAAGAGCAGATTAATCTGCGCACCGAAAGCGCAGCAAAGAAGCCATGTATTCTAGGTCTGCGAAAGATTGAACACTGATTTACCATATAGTTTCAACTTGCAAACTTAATGGGGCTAGAGCACTCGCTTTAGATTCTATCACACAGGGCCGGAACTTGACTTTCCACTTGGCATCAGATGCTAAGCTGTTGAAGCCCAACCCACAAGTATTGCTGCGGTTTTTGGTCGACACACAATTAGTCCAAACTCTGATTTGCATTTGAGACAGAAGAGGTGCAGAAAGTGGGAGTGGTTGGCTCCTTTGAAGACAATTTTTTTAAAAGATTCTGTCTATCTAGGAACAGATTGTGAAACAACCAGCGGTAAACTCATCCATTCGCTCACCGGACTTCTAAAGTGAAGTTCTTTTTCAAAAGTACGAACAAAATTTTTTCCCATGAGGAAAAAAGCAACCATAAAGTGATACAATGATCAAAAATCCAGGCTACTCCAGGCGTTCAGTTAGTAAATCGAATAAGACAAGAGAAGGCGTCCAGAAGCAGCAGAGCGGAAAAACAAGAGAGGTTTGAGTCGAGTTGATCTCTAGACCGGACCCAACCTTCGTCGTTTTCCCGCTCCACCGTTACTACGGCGCTGTTTGTTAGTGCGCTTACCAAAAATAATTCTACAGTTTCTTTCACAAATGGTCAAACTAAACAAACTAAAACCAAAAAAAGGACACGCCTATGTATATTTACAAAGAAACTTTGTAAACGCATTATATTCAGATTTTAAACAGCGAAAATTGCATTCATTTAGTTATTTAAATTACTAGTAGATTCAAAGAATGCTCGGAAAGTAAAAATACTTCATCAACAACATCTGCGTCTTTGTTTTGCTTTGTTTTTTATCCAAAAACTGTGATGGCATTGTCTACGGGAGTTCGATGGGGAGAAAGTTTCGTTAAGGCTGCTCCTTCCCACTGCAAACTTGGCTGTATCAGTCAGAGTGCGTCTGAGTGTCCTGAACAGCAGAATACGTACAGCGTACAGATTTTTAGTTGCAAACCACTTTCACACGCCTTTGGATAGACTCTTTACTCTCCTTGGCAACAACCTCAACCGGCGTCACCGAAAAATAATGCAATTTTTCGAGCAATGAAGCCAAGCAGCAGCAGAGATTGCGCAAGAAATTTTTAAATTGTACGAAACGTATTGAAAGTGAATTCGCTTCTATTTCTGGAAGAGTTAGTTGCATGTCTTAATTTTATTGGCATTAATTTTGTTAAGGTGTGTACTGTGTTTCAATGAAGGAGTCACACTCACACACTCACACACTCACACACTCACACACTCACACACTCACACACGGTTCTCGCAAATTAAATTACTCAATGCTTTCAGTTCCGCGGAAAGGTCTCAGAATTTAAGTTGGTCTAAGTTAGGAAGGGTCTCTTCGCGCTATTGAAAATGTTAAAATTGTGTTCTGTGCCTTGTGCGAATAGCGTCGTCAATAAGAAAAAAACAATCAGTTATTTCTTCCAGTGTCGTAAGAAACCCAGTTTCAAACACATAACACAAAATCTGTGATCGCTCCACATTTGGTTTAAAGGATTACGAATCAGCTGTAACACTTGGCCTTGACTTTTAAATCAGTAACTACAAAATTATAGGATTATTGAAGAAAGACCATAATTGATAAGCTCACAATCACTACTCAACTCTTTTCGAGGTTCCCTACACTACGATCAGTCCTCCTTTTCAGCCTATACTGTCATGCTGGTCTGTTGAAATCAGCGGTCTGTTGAAATCAGCGAGGCCTCTAGGAGAGCGAAGCCTCGTCGATATTAATTGAATCTTCCCAGAGGGACTGCTCGTAGTCTAACGATTCCGGGCCCCTTCTCAAATCTCAAATGTCCCCCCCCCCTCCCCTGCCCTACCGGAAGTGCGCAGTGCTTATTTCAACGATTCTTACTTTTTTTTCTCTAGCATCCCCAAACCCCTCCCCTCCCCTCCCTCTTTTCTTCACCGCACTACTCCTGATTTTTCACATCAAGAAAATTGCAATCAATAAACCAATCCGGATTAATTCGAACCAACCCTAACCTTCTCCCCTTATATCACGTGCCCCTACTGGCTATAGCGTCTCTTATTTGTCGATCTAGTTCAACTATTATACGATCATCAGTGGTATAAACTCCCGTATGTAACAGCGTATCTCTTTCCTCGATCAGTTTCGCTATTCTGCTATCAATGTCTTCTTCGTCATGTTCATGAACAGATGTGAGTCCAGGTGAATGCTTAACACTTCTTCTTTGTGACGAATTGGCGGCTGATGTTTTTTCCTGCTCTTCAGTCGGCGCTTGATTTACCCGTGCTTTCGCCTCCTCCTGTTGTTTTAATCTGTTGCAAAGAAGAAAAAAACTTCCATGACCTCTCAAAGTTCATATAATCGTACCATAACAGGGCTAAAAATTGGCGGTCGCACGGTCGCCATTGGCGAGTTAAAACTGACCAGGGCCACTAAAAGTTAAGGTTTGAACGCCCGATGTGCGACTATGCTACAGAATTTCGAAAAGTTGCAATGTAAATTATGCGAGGGCTACTTCATTTTGGGATAGGGCCACTAAGAATTTAAGGAAACTGGCCCGACTGGCCACCAAGCACTGGAGTTAATTTTTAGCCCTGCCATAAGGTCAATAAGAGCCTATTGGACATTTTAAAAAACGCTTTACAGCATTTGACAACAACAATAATACCAAACTACTCACCTGGCTAACTCAAGTTTTATTTCCTCCAGCTCTTCTTTCTCAGATTTAACAACCTAAATAATAGAACATATTTAATAATGAAAAAAATACAGCTCTGTAACAAATAATTAAATAAAAGGGACTATGCTGGCACAAGGTGTAGCAGGCGCACACAATATATACCTCCTTCTCTTCGGCGGCAAGATAACGCAGGCGCATGTGTTCCAGCTCTTGCTCTTGTTTTTTGAGCCGCGCTCTGGCAGCGGTCTGTTCTTGCTGTTTCAGTCGCGCCAGTTCCCTTAGCGCTCGGCCCCATTGCTGTTTGTAGTGAATCTTTGACTTGTTCGCCGTTTCTAACTTACGTTCAAGTTCTGTCTGTTGGGGGAAAGATGACTCATAACAGTTAAAACAGACCTTTTCATTCAATTCAACAATTTTTGTCAGAAGATAAAAGAAAAGAAATAATTAAACAACATATAAACGTTCGTAATAACAGTTTACCTTTTCCATTTTTAAAAGATTTATTTCGGACTCGAGCTTTACTTCAGGTTTCGTCAGCTGTTGCTCCTTGTAAGCCATGAACTCATTCTCTTTCGCTTGATATCGTTTCTCTGCTTCGTAAACCTGAACAAAATAGTAATGCCGAGTTATTCCACATAATAATTCCACGAAACAAAACTGGTACCTCAATCGGAGAAGGAATGTCACTCACTTGCTCCACTAGTCTCTGTTTCTGTTCCTCCAGGTCCTTGACTTTCATTCTTGAAACAAAATTACTCAATTCAAAGTCTGTAACTTTGACTGCGAGGAGGAAGCTCACAACTAGCGCTATAAATATGCAATAGCGTGGTAGAGTTTTATGAATATTTCGGTCAGTATGCGAATTTTTTTCGTAAAGCGAACGATAACACGCCTGGAGAGAGGAATGTTAAATACTAAACCTTGATTACCACTATATTGTAATCTCTGTTAAAAAGTCTGCAATCGCTTTTTTAACAATGGAAGTTTTAACTCCAAAAGCATCTGTCACAAAACACTCGGAGTGAAATGATATTTTTAAGGGAAGGAGCAAACAATGATTTTTGAAGGTATCGAGAGGAAGCAAAATATCATGACTCCTTACAACAACGATGTCAGCTATGAAAAATCGACGCACACTTCCACCACCATCACCCCACCCCCGCTTGCCCACACCTCATCCTAAAACGTGAATCGAGCGTGTGACTCTCTTATCAATAATACGATGAACAGCGATGCGCAAAGCAATGATTAAAAGGCAGTCATAAATAAAACTAAACCTCTCCATTTCTACTTGATGTGAGCAGTCATCTTTCAATCTTCGAGCAGCTTCTCTCATTTCTGTAGTCCGTCGTTCGTGTTCTCGTTCCAGTTCTTCCTTCAAGTGCATCACCTAGGCAACCATTACATTCAATTTTGAAAGCGTTGCCCATCAACTATTTAAAAGCGATCGAAAGCAAAAGGCATCTAATGCTCCCTATTCTCAAAGGTCCTCAATTTTGCTTTCTTACACAAGTTAACGACTTCCGTGTACTTTAAGATTGTAACTTCCATCATTTGATCCATAAGCCCAACACTAGCCCAACACTAAGGGCTAACTTACGTACTTTTAAAAGCTTCTAAAAATTAAAATGGAGGAAATATTCGCATGAAATCAAATTAGAATCTTGCAATCCTCTTACAAACTCTCTAACAAACCTGAGCCTCATTGGTGGACAAAAGTTTTTCTCTCCTCTCCAGATCAGCGATGGACTGTTTGATCTTTTCTTCCAATCTTGAATATTCTTCCAGCTAAAAATTATACAAAAGTACATTCCATCAAGCCTATAGATTAAAAGGCAAAAATAGATGGATAATTAAACAAAATGAGGTTTCTGTTGCACCTTTTTCTTCACCATCAGTTCGCGCTCTTTATCTCGTCTTTTCCATTCCTCAGCAAGAGCTTTCATGTGCGAGTTTTCTCGATGCTGCA